TAACTCGGGGCTCTCGCGAATCGCGCCCTGCCGGCTTGTAGCGCCTCTCACCGTGCGCTTGATTTAATAATGACTGAAAATCGGCCTCTTCATATTCTTTCCATTCTATTTGGGCCTGGTAATTACTATCGCCCCTAAAAACCGCATTTACCCTAGCGCCATCGTCTGAAAAAAGTTGCCGCAAAGTACTTATATCGTCATCGGCGCTTTCAATAACTGAAGCTACTTGTGGTACCAATATTTCGCTGCAGGCAACTTCCTGTCGCTGCTCTTTAAGGTCTCCGTCTTTATTTAACCACATTCTCACTTTATTTACTGCACCTTTAACGTCAATTATTCCTCCCGAGGGAATGGATTCATCCGGTGGCGCGTTTGCTCTGTGAATGCAGCTATCAAAAAGTTTATTTTCAGTAAAAACAAACTCAGTAGGCAGCTCATATTCACAGCATTCAACGCGCTGACGCGGAAGGTTAATTTTTAGACCCAATTTCATCATCATCAGAAACCCAATAATTCCATAGGGCATTTTAACCTCAGGTGCCATCACCGTAAAATTGATAAATCCGACGAATCTGCCCCATTTGACCAGTAAAACCAACTCTCCGGCCAACTGCAGATTGCCCCCGGAGACACTAACTAGACTGTTAGTGCCCCTTAGATTGGCCATAGCGCCAATAGGGAGGAAAGAGTACGGCAAAATCCCATAAACTGCCGCTCCGCTATCAACTAAAAATTCACCCACACCAAATTTATTCTCGTGAAACAACGTCATCTTTGCATATATTCCGTCAAATTTTCCTTCTTTGTTAACATTTGCATTTATTGAGGGCCGTCGTACCATACAAACTGGCCTGGGTCCCCACCCCCGCCCTGCTGAGGGTGGCCCTCTTCGTTTTTTGACTCGGTAGCATCATGTTCCTCTTGCGCCGGCATCTCAGGGCGGACGGCATTTATGCCAGCCTGCGGCGCCGCCGGTGGTGGCAGCGACGGCCACTGTCTGTTAGGGAGATTTACTCCATTATTAACAGGCACCGCCGGAGGCATCGGCCAAGGTCGATTAACTTGCGAAGGCGCATTTATTGGCGCCTGCGGCTGATTTATTTCAACCCTATTTTGATTATTTCCCGCATTAGGCATCATTGGATTCGCGACCATTGTGCCTGCCTTTAAACACACCTTTGAAATGTGTCCTCGTAAACCGCACGTGAAGCAATTTTTCTGCCCGTGAGGGCAGTTTTGCCTTAAGTGTTGATTGGATCCGCACCCTCTGCAACTGTACCCCTGCTGGTTTTGCATTCCCCCATTATTTTGCCCAAAATTGTTTCGCCCTGAATTATTTGGAAAATTTCCCTGGCCTCCAAAGTTCCCAAAATTTCGCTGATTCGGACGCTGGCCCCGAAAATTTTGGCCCGCAAAATTGGACCTGCCAGAAAAATTATTCGGTCCCCGAGGGAATCGCGGCTGGTTAAAATTTCCCCCAAAATTTTGTTGTTGTTGCTGCCCTTGTGCATTGAAAGAATTTTGTTCATATTCCATGTAAGGTGCGGGCTGAAAAAACCCCTGATTTGCCGCAGAAACGGCCTGAATTGGAGGTTGAACTGGAGCTGGCGCCGGCTGAAATACCGCGGCGACCGGCGCGTGTGCATACGTAATTGGCGCGGCCGCCTGATATGCGACCGGAGAAAAAGTATGCTGAGGCGCAGTGATAGCGTGAACGCCCATGTACTGGCCGCCCTCCGGGTGCAAATGATTAATTGGTATACTTGCGCCGGGCACTTGCGAGACGTTTGGCTGTATAATGGCATTTTGCAAATTCGGGTGCATCGATAAGAATGGATTATGTATTGAATTCGGCATCATGGCATTTTCACCTGCCTGCATATTATATATATTAGGGGCCATCGAGACCTGCCTCGGCGCCGAATATTCAGCAGCCCGTTCATTTGGCGCCTCCGCTAATTTCGCGAGAATTTGCTGAATAGCGTCATCATCGAATCGCCCTCCTAGCTGGTCTTCGGCAGGACGTATTTGATTTATTCCCGGCCTCTTTGTAACCCGTATGTCTTCGACTTTATCTAATTCAACTTGCGAGCGACGGCTTAATCTCTCCTCTATGTCCCGCGCGAGTCGAACTGCATGATCAAGATCAGTAATTTCTTTACGACAGGCTACAAAAAACGGCTGATAAACTTGCGGCAGTCCGTCAATGAAAATTCGCGTGGCTTGACTTTGAATGAAAGTTTCTTGAATTTTGGCTAAATCTGCATTTTTCTTATCTTTTGGTACTGACCGTAACGCGGCGGCATAAACACGGTCTTCAAAATCAGATACTTTTTCATCCGAACGCATTTGGCAGCTCAATAATGTATTATGAGCGTCGAGGTCGTTCTCCTGTGGCTGGTACCTTCGAATTATCTTTTCCTTGAAAGTGTCATAATCATCAATTTGATATAGCTGCTGCCTGCGGAGGTACGCGAGAGGATTTGATTTCAGCCGCTGCTGCGCAATCTGCAATTTTGTCTTGTTGCTTAATCCGTGGTTGGCCCCTACGCGATCTATCATCTCGAAATAATCCCTCGCCGAGTAATTTTCTGAAGCTTCTGCCCCAAAAGAGTGAACCATGGAGCACAAATTGGATAATAATCTAGCTTCGTTTGCCTGTACGTCAACTTTTTTAACCCCGTCAGGTGCTCCCTTGGCGGCCGCATCTGCAGCGGCCTTATCGGCGGCCGCTTTGGCTGCGGCGGCCGCAGCCTCTTCGGCCTCCGTCATGTCTGGCATTATCGCAGAATGAATTAGTTCTTTTCCTTGAATCGGATTTACTTCTCTGGTAATTATATCTGCAACTTGAATTATTTCTTGACTGAACTCAGCTTGTTCGTTAACTTGAAAATTTGTTAATTCGTCCTCAGTGACGGTAATTTCTAAGTCGGCACTGACTAAGCTAATATTACTAAAATCCGCGATTTCAATGCTCTCATCACTTGATTCACTTGTTTCGCGTCTGAATAAATCTCCTAAGAGTTGTCTCGTTAATGAATCTCCATCATCGTCCGAAATTTTGTTTTAATTTAAATTCCAAGAAGAGAGAGAGAAAGAAAGAATTCCCATTTAGTTCTGTCTGCTTTAACTCCCCTTCCTTTTTTTTTTTTTTTTTTCAATTAATCGTTCCCCTTAAGGGAGATGCCAAATATGCTTACTCTCCCGGCCTAGTTAAGTTTAACCCTTCAATTTAAACTCCCTTATTGGCCGGAGGTGTCGCGCCTTTTCTTCCTCGAACCTCCACGATATCCAGAGAGGGTTATTTATAGTTGAGGTTGGCGTCTGTCTAGGATAAATTGTTGTCCCTTCTTAACTGGATTCAGTATTTCTCATAATATTGAAATTAATTAACTCTTAATAAATCATTAATGAATATGGGTATTAATCATAGGAATTAAACGTTGATCGATTTGGACGGAACTTTTCTCATGAATATTTTATTGTGAATAATCTCGAAAGCAAATACAGAAATGTTCAATTAATTCTCCTTACTCTCAATTAATACAATTTGAAACATTTGCAATAGTAAAAGGGAACAGTTGTGCGCGTGTGTATTCAAAATTGCTCTTAAACAAATGATCTCCGAATTAACCCTTTTTAATCAAACTCCCGAAATAAACCATATTAGCGCGCCCGCTTCGCCTAACTCGCAACTCCGTATAATTCACGAATTAATATAATAACGTTGAACGCGCGCCCATCCAAAATATATTCAAGAAAATGGTACTTACACAAAAGAATTGACTAAATTCGCAGCTGAAATCGGCTCATGCCGGAGCGATGAGAAACCACCCGGGCCACCAGCCATGGCGAGATTCGAACGTCTGAATTTCCCACGAGATGATGATGCGCGAGACCAACTTCGAATGCCCCTTTCATTTCGCGACTCTGCCTTTTATACTGTCCGGTGACCCCCGTTTTTCCGCAAAAAGATAATTGTTCCGTCGCAGTGTCCTTCGCGTGCTTCGCAAGAGTTAAATATTTGCGCAACTTGGGCTAAATGCCGCATGAAAGAACGAGCAAAAACATTTAGCACGTCCTCAAAGTGACCTCTAATTAAAATCAATTTTCTGTCGCAGTGCATTAAGTTCTCCCCTTTCTTTAGGCTGCAAAAATCGTTGGGCCGGCCTTCTTTGGGGCGCCTCAGCGTTGCCATGACTACCCTCATTTGCATTTAAATGTCGGTGTCTTCGACCGACCTCCTTCTCTTTTCTGCACACGCGAGTGGCCAGCCGAGCACACGCCAGCCCTCTTGCCCCGCGCATTCTTGGGCATCATGTTATTTGCTCGAGGCTCGCCTAAAAATCCGCCCTGCGAGTGAAGTCCGCAGTGCGAAAACCAACCGAGGGCTTTGACCTCGAGGACTCCGCAGCGCGTCGTGTCTGCTCGCCGCACGAGCCGCTGCTACGTCCCATAATTATTTTTGCAACCCCTTTTGAGAAGCACTCAACTGCAAACTGCCAACATTGAATTATGACCTTGATTAAAATGTCTCATTTAAGAGGACTTTGCCTGTTTTTAACTTGCTCTTTTTACTTTAAGAAATTATGCAACTGGCGTGACGCTGATGTCGCGCTGGTTGCCTACTTTAAGCATCTGTGCAATCATTAAGCCGTAAAATGAATTATTTTAACAAACACCGTGCTGGACTAAATTTCACTCTCCTTGCGGAAAACGCGCGATCTTAATTCGCATTATATTCTTTTGTAGTTTTGAACTATCGTGTGCTCCCTAAATTTGAATCGTGACTAGTAATAATTTGTACTTCTAATTTTGCTTTTATTATTAATTAGTGACCTCCGAGTAATTTAAAACAATATTTTTATTAATCCTTTATTCTTATGAAATGATGTATCCCAGGGAGGATACACTCTCGGTCAGATCAGCTCAAAACATTACATTTTTGCTATGATTAAACATTATGTTGTATGATTATTATTATTATTAAAGTAATATACCCGCTTGACATTGTTGTTGGAGGTTCTCCCTTCTCAACTTGTAATAATAATAATCCCACTCTAGTCTACTCAAGAGCAAAATGAGCCCAATCAATAGAGGTAAATCGAAAATGGGCGGATGAATTCACCTGTGGAAAATGAATAAAAAAACAAATCTGATTACAAATAGATTATAACACATAGTGCGTGCTTTTGTTACTTTTTGCTATACATAGATAGAAAAACTCATTATTTGTGTAAAAAGACTAAAAAGTCGAGATTTGCATACTCAAGCAAGAATTTGCATGGATCTTTTAATTGCTACTGTATGAATAATAATCAATAAAAAAATAAAAGGTATATGTACACATAAAAAAGTCATAGCTTTGCAATAAAAATAAAGGAACATGAAATAATCCGAGCTAGGACGAAAATGTTCATTTAATGAGTCAAAAAAGGTGAGGGTTCTTTTTTCATAATTATGAATTAAAATATTTTTAGAATTTAAACAGTTCTTATTGAATCAATTGCAAAATATTAAGTTTTCAAAAGATTAAAATAACGTGAATATCATACTCAGAAAATCTGGTTTTTATACTCTTGCTGCATTTTACAGGGAAAGAGTCTTTTACTCATTGAAAAAAATGTGGCCTTTAAAATTCTAACAAATCACTGAATATTAAAGGTAATCTTGCCACTTTATGCATAGGGTTTCAATTTCTGATGCACATTTTATCGAAAAATAAAATTAGAATAATTACAAAACCTCGGATGTGGTGGATTCTATAGTCGGATTCACCTCACCTGTATGTAAAATTTCCACGCCCTCCGCGCTCTATTGGGCGAGCGTGTCACGTGATATTTATCTCACGTATTTTTTGTCTCAAAAGCGCGCTAAAACTATGCACGTGGGTTTATACACAGGCTCAATATTATAATTCTAAAATATATTTAAGCAAAGTAATTTCATGTCAATTCAATTTAAGGGGCTAATATTTACAAATTAAGTCGGCGATGAATATTTCTTGTCGCTTTGCTTTTGGTTTTATCGTAAAAAAATTTTAAGAGCAAATGTTGAAAAATTTTTAACGGGCGAACCTCATTGCAAAGAGAAATGAAAAAATAAAAGGAAAACTGAGCCCGAAAGGCGGCCTGCGGTCTGCTGGTACTTTAAAAACCTAGGGTTTCTCGTGTCCAACTAAAACTAAGTGGGAGGAAATAATAAAAAATTTAAAAATAAAATTGGGAGAATCAAATTTAATAAACAAAAACAAAAATTGCAGAAAATAATTAAGCAAATGAGTCATTCGTCATTGAATGGATTCATACTGTGACTTTGGCAATAAACCCAAAGATTTTTCTGGCAAAATCACAGTAATGTGCCACTCTACTGATCAGTTGTCCTTAAATATTTTATTTTTTATGCAACGAGGTTGACCCGGTTTCATTTTCATAAAATCCATCTCAAGTGTTTGCATTCAAAGAAGAAATGTTTTTTTTTATTAAAATTAATTATATAAATTATTGTTTTTAATTATTTTAAAATAAATAATTTTTTTGACGAAGTGTTCCTAAAAAGGATATATTATATTTAAAATTATACTATAATTAAACCTAGCCAGTATTGGAAGTGCTTTTTTAGGGCCTACAAATGTAAAAATCAAAGGACTAGTGGATTTTATTGTTAATTAATTAATCTCAAGCATTCGGCGCCACTCATTATGCGGAGGTGAAGCTGGTCATACCGAGCGAGAGCGCCCTAATGAATTAAAACCGTCTGAAAATATTAGCCCTTAGAATTGAATTTATTTACCAAAATTTTGATACCGTCTCTTTTGATGTCTGGCGTTTTGCAGAGGTGCTGGTTTTCAACAATGCCTTATCTTTTTTGTAATTCATAATTTTCAAAGGTTTTTATTCACCGAGAATATTAATTAAAATATGAATTACATGAAGCTGTTGTTGTTGTTGAAGGTTAGGGTTTTGGCGGGTGCCATACAGCCAGATCTATTTTTAAAATCGTCTAAATTTTTATCTTTACACGGAGCGATGGAGCCTACGTAAAGACCAAAGTTTTGAGTTTTAGCGCGCTTTCGAGGCAAAACAGTACCTGGGATAAATGTCACGTGAGAGTCACGTGACACGCTCGCCCAATGGAAGCGCGCGGTAGAGATTGAGAGGGCGTGGAAATTTTACATACAGGTGAGGTGAATCCGACTATAGAGGATAATTTTTCGCCGTCAACTTTTTTTTCTCGTTGTCTCGGCGGGCAAGGAGGCGAGCGTAAGGTCGCAAATACAAATTTGCGTCACTAAAAACACGCTCAAGTCGTCGGTATTTACGTTTGCAGTTGTTGGTACAATGACGTTCGCTCAATAATCACGTAAAAACACTGCAGAATCATGCACGGTCTGTGTCTGTACCTGTCCTGTAGCTCTCTCTTTGTATACAGTCTTCCAAATAAAATTCGGAGGGCCAAAAAGGTCGTTTTCAGGGTAAATGGGACCCCCAGAGTTCGAATCGAGGGTCAAAAGTGACATCCCACGCGTCCCCGGCCCACACTCGTCGCGTGAAATCGGCCCGGCTGCCGGTTTTTAGCATTCAAAATTGGGCAGCCATTCTTGCAGCTCGGGCAAGGGGAGGGGGAACGGAGCGCGCCGAGCGCGGCAAGCGGCAGCAAGAGAGAGGGGAGCTGCTCGTCGCTCGTCGTTGTCTCCTCTCTGTTTTATGTAAACACCGACCGGCGGGTCGTTTTCCCTTGACCTTTTCCTCCCTCAGGGTGCTTCCAGGGCAGGTGACCGTGCCCTGAGAGATCGCGGGATCACTCCAGTGGTCATTCAAAGGTTGTTTGTGTCGTCCGACAGCTTCAAGGCGCGCAAAAGACCGTCCATACCGTCCGCGTTCCCGCAACCCAAGGTATTTTCACCGGCGGCTGATTTTCCAACATAATTTTTAATTTCACGTCGCTTTATCTGCACGTTTTCATCATGCTTTATGCCTCGTTTTGTGCTTAACCAGTTCATCTACCTTTTTCAACCGCTCCTCGCGTAATTTTCCCGTCTGCTCTACTTAAAATCGCGCTGTTGTCCGACATGAAAATATTTTTTTTTTTTTTTAAATAAATATGTTTCCATTTATTTATTTTTGCACAGTCACTGAAATTAAATGCTGTTTTTGTTTATTTTCTGAATAGCGCCTTGCCAGATTGTGCATTTTTGTTTTTAATTTTATTTAAAATATTTACTATTCAATGTGCACACACATTAAGATTTTTCCCCGAGCAACTTTTATGTACTTTTCATGTACACAATCATGCCCTCTCGGCCTTTCTCTCAATTTAATGCTTTTTCTCTTTATGTAAAAAACGCATCCTCCAACCCCATTTCATTTCGAAACACGTCGCTTTGTCAAAAGGTGTTTTATTTTAATCATTTCACGCACCATAAGTTCTTTTATTCTTTTAAGTACTGTGTATGCATAATTTTTCACACATAATTTTTGCACTAACGTTCTGTTTAATTACACTGACTTTTTTGCATCTTTGTAATGACTGACACAAAATTTTTCATCGACAGAGACACTTTGAGATCATGTCGGACCAATCCGACGGCTGCCCGGACGGCCCCCGGCGGTCTGCTACGTACCCTCGCATCCTGGCGGCAAACGCGACATCATGTAAGTTTTGATTTCTCTTCTCATTATTTTTCATGACAACCCTCATTCTGGTGCCACAGCTTTTCTTCCGGCAACGCTGCGCCCTCCAGCACAAGCCGCCCAGTCTACCCAGTCTACCCGTACCAGAAGTTCGATGGCAACGTTGTTTGGTGGCACTGCAGCTGGTAACAGTATGTTGATAATTTTGTCCTTGTACAGAGAATTCATTTTTCAATCTCAAAGGTCCAGCTGGACTTGTCCGATCAACACCTTCGGCAAGGCAAACGTTGCCGGCGCCAAGAACCAACTCGACAGGTTCTTCGATGGGGCTGCTCATGCAGGCGCCTCTGTCGTCACACATGGTGCGCCCTCCCTCTACAGCACCTCTGGCAACAGCACCTCGTCACCAAGTTCAAGCATCTCCGAGTGAGTTCACTTTATTTGTTATTAAAAATTTTTTTGGCCTTATCTCGTATATTTTGTGCATTGTTGCAATTAAATCAAGCAAAAAGTTGATACATAAAGTAGAAAATTCAATCAGCTTCATTTTATTATTTTTATATTTTTTAATTGCAAATCTTGTGGATGGGGTCTTGTTAAATGTGACTTTTCGGTGACCTTTTCTATGCATTGTCTTGATTTAAAATGCTTTGTCAATTTGAAAAAAATAATAAGTAGTCTTGTTTTTATAATGACTTTAAGGAGGGCATTTTTTTTAAATATTTAGTAAATATCTTAATATCAGAATATATCATTACTGCTAAAATTAATCTTAAGTTGCCTTTCTAAATGGAATGCTCAAATTTTTTATTTATTCGTACTTTTATGCTGCACCCTCGCACGCTCAACCATATCCTTCTTGTCCAGCCATCAATGTTTATCGAGCACAATCGGACAGATACCCACAGAATAGTCAGTCAGCAACATTACGTAATTCTTCCCACTTGTATAATTTTATAAAAGCGATGAAAGAAACTAAATATTTGTTCAACTTTTCAGGCAGCAGCAGCCTGCCTGCACCTTTCCATATGAGCCGGCCCCAGGACAGAAACATTCCTGCTACCTCATGTCTGCCACTGACGAGTGAGCGCAGGGATGGATCGAAGGCAGCAACCGACTATTGCCCGCCGTTAGCCGACGTGCCTCCTCTCTCGGAGAGACTGGACACTGATTACTCCCAGTGCCAGACTGAGCACACCTCTTCAGAGCCACTAGGTACACTTTCCAAAATGCACACTGCCCTTTTATGTCTGCGTGGCAATACCTAATTTAAAAAAAAAAATTGACAGCACAGTCCAAATAGCAGTCGCAAAGGATTGAATGAAAACAATTATTTTTAAATTTTCTTCACTTAAGCCATGAATTATACCTCTGCACTTTTATTATCATATTTCTCTTTTTGTTTGGAATTCCCAATCAAAGTTTTTTATTATCTGCAGGGCACCAACCTGATGGCTCTGCTCACTGTCAGCTTGAGCCCGTCCACAGTGCACGTGTTCGTTCCTGGACATTGTCACCTAGTCAGTCAATGCCAAGAGCAGCACCGCCTGCAAATCTGACGGTGACTGTCACCCGGCACGCACCAACCAGACTAAGCAGCAGGTCCACTTGGGCAGTGCCCTCTTCTGTCAGCCAGTCTTCTCAAGGTAATCCAACAAAACAAGCCCCCCCCCCTCCCCAGCAACAACAACATTCAACTGTCGATCAAAGCTTAATGCACGCTCGTCCACTTTCCAGGCAGCAGCCAGGCATCCCTGACCTTGTCGCAGCGCCCAATCCAGCGTTCTCCGCCTCCGAGCACAAGGCCTGTGATGCCTATGAGGCAAGAGAAGGGACGCCGTCGACGTTCATCCTCGGGTTCGACCACAAGCGATGGTAAAATTCTTCTCACTTATTTTTCACTAACTTTTTTCAACTGCCAAAATATCTGCCCCAGGCGCATCACCATCCAAACGTGCAATTGCAGTCACAAATGACGAGGCAATCATCGAGAGCGAGCACGGCTCGCCTGCCTCTTCTTGTAAAGTTATTTGCCAACGTGAGTTAAACCATAAATCTTTTTATTGAAACAAATACACTGACCTTTTAATCTTTGCCTGGCAGTGCAACACTCACCACCTGCTGTCAGCGCGAGACTCTCGGGCAGCTCTTACGACTTTGGCTCGCTGTACGGCAGCTATAGTAGCTCTGAAGGTCGACAACCTGCTGCACCTCAGAAGCCTTGGTCAATCCCCGACTTTGAAGACCTCGTCGCCGCAAATCCCAGCAGTAAGAACTTTTGTTTTTTTTTTGCTAGTCGTTCTGTCAGATGTTAACCAGCGCCACAATATGTTTTATAGCACAACAAGTCTCACAATTAAATTTTGTCACCTCATTTAGGTTGCCTGTTGCATTTTTTTTTTCATTCCAAAATTACAAGTGTATGTTAAAATAGTATGTCACAGAATACAATTTAATTAAATCCTTTCAATTTAGTGAATTAAAAAGTTTATTTTGGCTCATTTGGAGTGTTGAGACTGAATAAATAATTGTGTTAATTATTTTCCTACTCTACATTCATAATGTTTTACAGAACCAATTTCATTCTAAATTTCCCTTTTGTTTAATTATACCCCACCAACTATCAACTGCGCTCTCTCAATTTTTAGTGACTCCAGCTCCGACTACAAATGCTCGTCCTCCAGCCATTAAGTCGCCCGTCGACAACGAGGCCACCCGACCACCGTCAAGGGCGTCTTCCCTGGACGCAATGACGTCGGAAATTAGAGTAAATTCCACACCACCTTTGACTTTGGAAGGATACTCGCCTGTTAATGGCTCTCCAATTGTCAGACCTCGTCGAACAAAGGCTGTTTTATCACGACTGATTTTGCCAGCACAAAAGAGCCCAACAGAGACTCATCATGGTCTTCATGAGCGTGCTAATGAATTGCCGCAGCCAATTTCACAAAGCCTTGATGGTCAGTTAAAAATTGAATCTTCATTCAACTTTGAATATAACATTTCAACAAAATAAAATTACTTGTTTTGTTTTTAGAGAGAATATCTATTTGACTAAAATAGCGTGCTTTTGATACAGATGAATACCATTTTAATAAATGAATGAAGCTATGTTATTTTTCCCAGAATAAAAACTGTTATTTTTCAAACATGTAGAAGTTTAAAGTAATAGAACTTCATTAATAAGGATTTTATCTCATTTTCTTTTAAAATTATTTGCTCAGGTTTAAACAAAGATTTTGGAAACGGTGACTCTCCTAATGAAGAGCTCAACGATCAGAGAGATGAAAGTGAAAATAATGCAGAAAACGAGCAAAATGGGGATGTGGTCTCTCAACCTCCCCATCAGCGACGGTCCACTCGAGGTATTCTCACGCGATGGACTAATTAATGTCTTTAAATTTTACATCAAAACTTAATATATGTTATAGTTTCTAACGCTCCTCTGAAATTTTCTGACTCGGCGCTCATCGGACACTTGAACAAGCTCTCAAGGCACCTATCGTCAAGACAGGTTTTACATCGCATAGAGCCTCAGGTCAATCAGGCCAAGACTAGTGGAACTGCTCAGATTGTTCAAGGTATTATAAATATTTATTTTAAATGTTTTTTATTTTTAAGTTCATTTCATATAGAGGCCCGCCCAGACTGGATAAGGAAATGTTTCATCCCTGGGTGTGATATCAACTCAAGGAAGGATCCGACTAAGAAATTGTTTTCCCTTACAAAGTCTGTCCCTCTGCGACATGTGATTTTTCGGATGATCAGAGAAAGAATTGATCCGAACTATCAGTCCAAATCAATTCAAAGCGGACTATACTGTTGTGAGCTTCATTATAAGGTGTGTGTTGAATTTTCAATGGCGTTTCAGTAATTAATAAATATTTACCATTACTTAAAATGGTAGCATTTAATAATTTTTCAAAATAACTGCAGATTCCGGGTGATGTCAGGCCTGAAACCATAAATGGATTCGATAAGACACAATGGCGACTCAACCCAATGACGGTGCCTTCAAAGCTGAAGAAAATTAATGGTGCAGGAGGTAGCATATATAATCATAAGCCATCTGATATGCTATATTCTTACTTGCTGCATTCTTCAGGTACCATACTCTGGGTGGAATGGCTGCAAGTGTCCAAACCTGACGAGCAAGTTCATAAGTCACAGAACTCAACTGCTCAGCCTGAGTCTCAAGTATCGGGAGGCATGAGTAATGCAGGTATCATTCTTTTTTTTTCTTAGTTATTATACCACTTTTTTATAACGGTAATATGAGCATATTTAGCAGGAAGTAACTTTTATCTAATTTGTATTGTGTTCATTTTGTATTATATATCTTTAATGTGGCGCTTTTCCTGTGTGGTTTTTTTCTAGATAATTATTGTTTATTCCAATGCAAAAAAAATATCCTTCTCTGTGTGTTTTGCTGTTAGCAGATTTTATGGGCTGTGTTAAGATATTTTTTAATAAATTGAAATATTAAATTATAATAAATCTGCAAGGATAAGCTCCACTCTCTCCTGGTGCGAATAAATTTTGGACGACGGTGCAGTGAGAGAGTGCGGACTGGAAAATTTTGCTACGAGTGAAAAAATTTTTATGTTTAAATTTATGTTAACTGAATTTGCCCACAATATAAGAGAGCGGAGCGAAGGAAGCAAGAGAATAAAGTAAAAATTTTCTCCGAATCTGTAGTATGATTTTTTATCCTGGAAAAATATTGATTAAAATTTTAAAATAATGAAAAAAATCCTTAATTACTTAGTGGTTTGTTATATTACGTTTTGAACACTGTAGACATCGCCGCAGATTAAGTAGGTTAAGTTCAAAAAGACAAACTACGTTCGAAATAATAAATATAAAAGGAGCGAAAGAGCACGCGCTCTTTCAGATAATTCAATGATGCGATGGGAGATATAAATATTTACGATACTAATAAAATATAATTACATAATAATAAATATTTAATTTATAAAATTTCTTATATGAGGACTGTGCAACTTTTCTTTATGTTGGGTCAGCCGCTGGGTCAAAACTTCCCATTCCGCCACCACGCAAAACAATGCGGCTGAGGCTCCTACTTAAAAAACCGCTATGCAACCAGCTTGACGCGTTTGCCATGCGGTGCAGCATATCCTGCATTTATAGGCGTTTGGTATAAAATCTTTCAACTCCTTTTGTTCCAGACTCTCCGCGTTTGCGTTTCACAGAACGTGAAAAACAAAAAGACCCCGATTTCATCTTTCCTGGATCCCTGGATACAGAAAGTTCAAGTCAACATCATGTTGAAAAGGCCATTAGAGCTGAAAAGGCATCACTACGACACTCGGTGGCTTTGGACATGATGCTCGAAAGACCAGACCTTTTTTTAGGTATCAGCAAAGAAAATATTCACTTAATCGATGCGTTAGCAAAGAAAGTCGGGCCGACACCAGAAAAGGGACGCGATAAGGTTCTCTTAACCATTCGAAAAGTCAAGCTTAATGAGAGCTTTGAAATTTTGGGCCTTCATTTTGGCATTTCGAAAAGCAAAGCAAACGAAATTTTCAAAGCCACCCTACCCACAATCGCAGATTGCCTAAGAGAAACCATTGGCATTCTGAAACCCCAGTTACTAGTCAGAAATTTGCCGATTCCGTTCCGCTATGAATACTCGAAAGTAACCCACATCATCGATTGCTTTGAAATTCAAACTCAAATTCCGTCCGACGCGTGCGACAGAGCAATCACATTCAGTTCCTATAAAGCGTGCAACACCATAAAGTACTTAATTTCTTGTACGCCTGATGGATATTGCAATTTCGTCTCTGCCGGTTATGGTGGACGCCGCCATGACATGGCATTCATTCAGCAATCGGGCATTTTGGACCATGTTATTCCGGGAAGAACAGTGTTGGTAGACAGGGGGTTCAAAAACGTGGACACTGTTTTTGAGTCAAAGGGTGTCAGAATGGAAAAGCCACCTTCAGTGCGAAAAGGAATTCCGATGGATGAGGATCAGGGACCCGGTTGTAAAAAAATTGCAGCTCTTCGAATCCACATTGAGCGATTGATCGGTCGAGTGCGAAACTTTAAAATGGTGAGCCCGCACGCGTGCATTCCATCATCTATGATTCAGTACCTAGACGACGCAGTGGCGGTAGCAGTGGGATTAGCAAATTTCAGCCCCCCTCTTATTAGACGCTGAAGTTTTTTATTTAATATGTAAAATAAATTGGTTTGGACTTTCTTTTAAAAAAACTTTTTTCGCATCGCACCTACTTAGTGCGAGTGCAAGGAGCAAGCTCATGTGCATTTTCACATTACATGTATAAATTTAACTCGATTGTACACATTTTTTTTTTTTGTTATCAATTGGTTAACGTTATAACTTATTAAAATTTACTATGTGTTAATAAAACTGTCAATTACAAAAACTGCCAATAAAGCGCCTCGGAAAGACATGATTGTTTTAATTTTCTGCAAATTAAAGGTTACCACAATATATGTAAATGAAAAACCTGTTTTCCTGAGATATATATTTATATATTAATATCATCTTTGTTTAATTGAAATTTTTAGACATCAAATTATAGCAGAATATACTTTACAAATTGAGCTGAAAATTATAACACAACAAATCAATCTTGTACATGACGGGAAGCGCTCAACAGCCGTGGGTAAATGCTGTGACGCCAGAATTTGTTTGACCTGTCTAAGCATTTTTTAAAGAATTTCTGCTTTTCATTGTAGTCGTCGACCTCGCTCTGCTCTGTAGCTTTGGCGTTAAAATCAATCACAAATTGCGAATAGAAGCCATTTTTCTCATAATTTTCGTCCGGGATCAGCAGATAACAGCGAGTTTTGTTTGACAGACGGAGCTGCAGCAAAATTTGGGCCAATACCTTGGGTGTCGGTTTACCGTCCCGGACGAAATTGGTTACGTTTTCGTTGCGAAACGGAGATTTAATCTCAATTATGAAATTTTTCCCCACACCGTCGGGGGATGCACCGTACAACGGGTACTCGGCACTAAGGCAAAGCCACCCTTCCGACACTTTCACGTTGTTTTCTCTAGCAAACTGTTTGCGCAACTTTTCCTCCAGCGCGAGACCCCTCCTCATTGCTTCCGTCGGCTTAAACTTTGCCCCAAAAACCTTCCTCACCAGTGTGGAACCACGTTTCCAACGACTGGCTTCGTAGAAAATGGAAGCTGTGATGCGTCCGTACCGTAGGGTATACCACAAAGGTGAGAGACTTTGGTTTCGGGTTTCGTTTTGCACGTATTTGAAGTAATGAGGCTCGCAATTTCTCAGTGAAATTGTTACAAGATCAAGAAAACCGGCCAAGTTGACATTTGAATCAGTGCGCAAGAGGTCGCAAGCAATATTGTGCAAGCACAAGGGAGAATTTGTGTCCATTACCTGAGCTCTGAACATGGACCTTATTGCAAATCCTGCATTGTTATCAGAGTTGGCAACCTCAAGCTGCTTCAAATCATCAAGGAACGACCCGTCCTTGGCATAGGCCGACGTTCGCTTCCTTTTTTTCCCGTTTGGTACAATACTTGCTGCTGGCTTGTCTGTGTTGATGCTAGAAAGGAGACTTTTTCGCCAGTAGCAAGGGACGCTCGTACATGACTCGTCCACTGATGAACGGTAGTGTACCCACGAGAGCAGCACCAAGCAGTGCTTGCACACCACTATTTGATTAAATTTATTTAAGTTAAAACATAGGTATCAAGATAATTAACGTACTGTTTTGCGCCGGACAACCATAGCATTTGAGCTTTAACACCTTTGATGATGTGCACGACAACTGGACGTTGTACGGTTCGTTTCTCACTGAGGTTTCCGGTGTGACTTTAGCGAGGACAGTCCACTGCTGACAACCATTTTCATCTCTTTTGGTCATTACTTGAACGAAGCCAACGGCGGCATCGGTGTATTGGCGTCGCATGTTACTGTAATTTGTGATTTATTCTGAGAATATTTTTGCTAAAAATTCTGAAGGAAAAAATTTCAAAGAGCACTGCTTAAGGCATAAAATTGGTACAGGGTACCAGAAAAGTGATTGCATTTTTGGTAAATTAAAAAAAAAAAACTCACTGGTCGTCCTTGTAGTGTCTGCTGGCAGGATTCTGGTTACGTATTAACATAAGGAAATCAACTAGCATGAAAAATGGTACATTTGGTAGGTTGTTGCTGGTCGCCTTTTCAAATCCAGGCAAGATTGCACATTTCTTGCTATTGATCTGATTATCACTAAGTTTAAAAGTAGAAACGCATTCTGAAAAGAAAATATTTTTATTTACAAAAAGTTTTACATCCAAAATAATTATGATGCACTGTTACAATTCAATTTTTACTTCACTTAAAATAAAAAAAAACAATGCATAATTCAACGACACTAAGAAAAAACGCACCACTTTCATCAGCAGATTCATTTTGTAAATTTTCTTGTGAAAAATCAGACATGTCTGTAGACGACGCAGGCCGCACCATGCCAGAAAAATCTTTTCCATTTTCCGACGCCACTGCGTCCAGGGAAGACGCCCTTGACGCTGGTCGGGTGGCCTCTTTGTCGACGGGTGACTCAAGGGCTGGATGACGAGCATTTGCAGTCGGAGCTGGAGTCACTAAAAATTGAGAGAGCAGTTGATTGTGGGGGTCATTAATAATTGAACAAAAGGGAAATGTATTTTGTAATTGGTTCTGTAAAACATATGAATGTAGAGTAGGAAAATAATTAACACAATTTATTTAGTCAGTCTCTACACTCCAAAGGAGCCAAAATAAACTTTTTAATTCACTAAATTGAAGGATTGTAATTTTGGAATGAGAAAGAAGCTGCAGTCAACTAAACTGAGGTGACAAAATTTAATTGTGAGACTGCAGCATTTGACTTGTTGTGCTGTAAAACATATTGTGGCGCTGGTTAACATCTGACAGAACGACTAGCAAAAAAGAAAAACCAAAAGTTCTTACTGCTGGGATTTGCGGCGACGAGGTCTTCAAAGTCGGGGATTGACCAAGGCTTCTGAGGTGCAGCAGGTTGTCGACCTTCAGAGCTACTATAGCTGCCGTACAGCGAGCCAAAGTCGTAAGAGCTGCCCGAGAGTCTCGCGCCGACAGCAGGTGGTGAGTGTTGCACTGCCAGGCAAAGATTAAAAGGTCAGTGTATTTGTTTCAATAAAAAGATTTATGATCTAACTCACGTTGGCAAATAACTTTACAAGAAGAGGCAGGCGAGCCGTGCTCGCTCTCGATGATTGCCTCGTCATTTGTGATTGCACGTTTGGATGGTGATGCGCCTGGGGCAGATATTTTGGCAGTTGAAAAAAGTTGGTGAAAAATAAGTGAGAAGAATTTTACCATCGCTTGTGGTCGAACCCGAGGATGAACGTCGACGGCGTCCCTTCTCTTGCCTCATAGGCATCACAGGCCTTGTGCTCGGAGGCGGAGAACGCTGGATTGGGCGCTGCGACAAGGTCAGGGATGCCTGGCTGCTACATGGAGAAGGACGTTCTGCGTGCGAGGCTGCAGCATCAAGTACGAATAAATAAAAAACTTGAGCAAGGCAACTTTAGATTAATTTTTGCAGTAATGAGATATTCTGATATTCAGATTACTTAAAAATTAAAAAAAAAGAAATGCCCTCTTTAAAGTTATAATAAAAACAAGACTGTTCATCATTTTTACAAATTGACAAACCATTTTAAATTAAGAGACAATGCAATGTTATATGAACTTTTCACAAGTACTTATAATTATAGAAGATGTCATTGCAAAGTCACATTTAACAAGATTTTTAAATTTAGAAAATTAACGAAATTATGATGATTAATTTTTTTACTTTTTATACCAAATTTTTGCTTGATTTAATTACAGCAATGCACAAAATATATGAGATGAGGCCAAGAAAAAAAAATTTAATTGACATAACACAAATAAAGTGAACTCACTCGGAGATGCTTGAACTTGGTGACAAGGTGCTGTTGCCAGAGGTGCTGTTGCCAGAGGTGCTGTAGAGGGAGGGCGCACCATGTTTGACGACAGAGGCTCCTGCATGAGCAGCCCCATCGAAGAACCTGTCGAGTTGGTTCTTGGCGGCGGCAACGTTTGCCCTGGCGATGTTGCCGATCGGACAAGTTCAGCTGGACCTTTGAGATTGAAAAATTATTGCATGCTTGTGTTGGAAGTATGATATATTTTCTTGAAACGATTAAAAGTTATAAAATTATTTAAGATTTGCTGTGAATGCGCATCTCCATTTGATAGTGCTATCCATTTCACACAAAATGTAACAACACTCACTAGGACTAGCTTGAACTTGATGAGGCGCTGCAGAAAGAGGCACCACCAGCCCTGTCAGAGAGCCTGCTGGTGTATGATTCCTCCAAACCGACGCCAGTGACCCTGGAGGAGAAATGTTTGATGGTGATGGTTCGGAGGCTGCGCGGTCGATGGGAAAAACAGAGGCTGGCCGAGGTGCAGAACATAGTTCTGCATGCGAAGCTGCAGTTGTTGCTACAAATTAACAGAAACATTGAGCATTTTCTACACAGCTGAAAATTAGTTGACATTTTAATATATAAAAAAAGTCAGGAGTGATTCAGAGTTAATAATGTGAATTAAATTTAAAAAAAGAGAATTTTTAAAATTAAATGCATTTCTTAAGCTGTTATCCAATAAGAAAATTTTTATTCATCAATATCTTTGAGATAGTCAAAACTTCAAATGATGTAAATTGAACTTTTCTTTGAATGAAGTGATAGATTTAATTTATCTAGCAAAAGAACCAGCAGTTCTTACAGTTGGGGTTGGCGCCAACGAGGTCGTCGACGTCGGGAATTGACCTGGGCATAATGTCCGAGAGAGTCTCAGGTTCTTCTTGAGATCCGCCGCTGCCGTACAAAGATGCAAAGTCGTAGGGGCTTCCCGATGGCCTTGCGTTGCCAGGTGGTGACTGAGAGACTGCCAGGCAAAGCATTTCAAATCAGTTGGTTTGTTTGAATATAAATATTTATTTCCTTTCACTAACCTTCAAATACGATTTTGCAAGACGAGGCAGGCGAGACCGTGAGAGCATGCGAGACTTGCTCCTTCTCGTTCTCCTTGTCATTTTTGTGAGATGGAAGTTTGGCGGGTGTGGCGCCTGGTATAGATATATATTTCACCAGTTGAGAATACAGACAGTGAAAAAAAGTATAAAAAGAACTTTACCGTTGCTACAAGTGGAACTGGACGAGGAGCGCCGACGGTGCCCCTTTTCTTGCCTCACAATAGGCATCAACGGCCTCTCAGCAAAGTGGCCAAAGGTATCTGTATCCCTGCTCTCACTTGGCGTCAATGGAACAAGAGACAGTCCATCCTCGCGGCTCGCATACAACATAGGAATGGGTGCAGCCAGGTTGCTGCTGCCGCCTGGAAAGTGGATGAACAATGAAGAACTTGCTTTCATTATTTATTTATAGTAACAGAAATCCTCAAGTGAATTAAAAATACCTTGGGAAGAAGACTGACTAAGCAGCAGTTCACCCCTGGCCAGTTCATGTGCTCCCGAGTTGGCTTGACTTGAAGGTTCTGAGTGTGTCCCTGTAGAACACAAAGGAAAATTTAAAGGCTAAACTTGAAATTAATATGCGCAATAATGGATTTCTAACTTCATTCATATATAACTTAATACTTGATGAAAAAAAAAAGAATTATGCATCACATTTCTTTAGTATATTTGCAATCAAGAAAACTGTCAAGTTTTTATATTTACAGCAAGTTTTCCCAAATTGCCAAACTTGGCTTTATTTAATTAAATACAATGAAAAATGAACTGACTTAATTATTTATTATATGAACAGTTTTTCTTTAAATTTGTTGAATTTATTTCTGGAATCATTTGCACATATGATGTGATTCAAAATGTAGAGCTTCGATACCTTGAGTTGAAGTTTGGTTGGCAGAAGAGGGCATTGCCCATGTGGACTTGCTCCATGACCTGGTTGGTGCTTGATTCTGAGGTCTTGGTATAGTGAAGTGGCTCGAATGAAACTTTGGAGAGGGAGCAGCCAGGTTGTTGCTGCCTGCAAAGTGGATGAGCAATTAGAAAGTTTCAAGGCAACTTAAAATTAATTTACAGTAATGAAATTTTATTCAGATTGCTTATATTTGAAAAAAATTAAGAAATAAATTAAATTGCTTAACTTTAGTATACACAAAATAAAGCTGTCATGTTCATATTTACAACAAGCTTTCACAAATTGGCAAAATGATTTGGACTGACCAAATTATTTTCTATGTGGACTGCATGTTTAGTCTTTAAATTTGTTGGCAACAATTTTATTCTGGAGTCACACATTATTTACTAAAAGTTTTCTTAACATAAAAAAAACCATAATATAATAAATATGAAAAATTGGAAATAAAAAAAATTACTTAAATTACATAATTGAATAGAATGATGTGGCTTACATCAACTCTTTGCTTGATTTAATTGCCACAATGCACAAAATATACGAGATAAGGCCAAAAAAATTTTTAATAACAAATAAAGTGAACTCACTCGGAGATGCTTGAACTTGGTGACGAGGTGCTGTTGCCAGAGGTGCTGTAGAGGGAGGGCGCACCATGTGTGACGACAGAGGCGCCTGCATGAGCAGCCCCATCGAAGAACCTGTCGAGTTGGTTCTTGGCGCCGGCAACGTTTGCCTTGCCGAAGGTGTTGATCGGACAAGTCCAGCTGGACCTTTGAGATTGAAAAATGAATTCTCTGTACAAGGACAAAATTATCAACATACTGTTACCAGCTGCAGTGCCACCAAACAACGTTGCCATCGAACTTCTGGTACGGGTAGACTGGGTAGACTGGGCGGCTTGTGCTGGAGGGCGCAGCGTTGCCGGAAGAAAAGCTGTGGCACCAGAATGAGGGTTGTCATGAAAAATAATGAGAAGAGAAATCAAAACTTACATGATGTCGCGTTTGCCGCCAGGATGCGAGGGTACGTAGCAGACCGCCGGGGGCCGTCCGGGCAGCCGTCGGATTGGTCCGACATGATCTCAAAGTGTCTCTGTCGATGAAAAATTTTGTGTCAGTCATTACAAAGATGCAAAAAAGTCAGTGTAATTAAACAGAACGTTAGTGCAAAAATTATGTGTGAAAAATTATGCATACACAGTACTTAAAAGAATAAAAGAACTTATGGTGCGTGAAATGATTAAAATAAAACACCTTTTGACAAAGCGACGTGTTTCGAAATGAAATGGGGTTGGAGGATGCTTTTTTTACATAAAGAGAAAAAGCATTAAATTGAGAGAAAGGCCGAGAGGGCATGATTGTGTACATGAAAAGTACATAAAAGTTGCTCGGGGAAAAATCTTAATGTGTGTGCACATTGAATAGTAAATATTTTAAATAAAATTAAAAACAAAAATGCACAATCTGGCAAGGCGCTATTCAGAAAATAAACAAAAACAGCATTTAATTTCAGTGACTGTGCAAAAATAAATAAATGGAAACATATTTATTTAAAAAAAAAAAAAAAATATTTTCATGTCGGACAACAGCGCGATTTTAAGTAGAGCAGACGGGAAAATTACGCGAGGAGCGGTTGAAAAAGGTAGATGAACTGGTTAAGCACAAAACGAGGCATAAAGCATGATGAAAACGTGCAGATAAAGCGACGTGAAATTAAAAATTATGTTGGAAAATCAGCCGCCGGTGAAAATACCTTGGGTTGCGGGAACGCGGACGGTATGGACGGTCTTTTGCGCGCCTTGAAGCTGTCGGACGACACAAACAACCTTTGAATGACCACTGGAGTGATCCCGCGATCTCTCAGGGCACGGTCACCTGCCCTGGAAGCACCCTGAGGGAGGAAAAGGTCAAGGGAAAACGACCCGCCGGTCGGTGTTTACATAAAACAGAGAGGAGACAACGACGAGCGACGAGCAGCTCCCCTCTCTCTTGCTGCCGCTTGCCGCGCTCGGCGCGCTCCGTTCCCCCTCCCCTTGCCCGAGCTGCAAGAATGGCTGCCCAATTTTGAATGCTAAAAACCGGCAGCCGGGCCGATTTCACGCGACGAGTGTGGGCCGGGGACGCGTGGGATGTCACTTTTGACCCTCGATTCGAACTCTGGGGGTCCCATTTACCCTGAAAACGACCTTTTTGGCCCTCCGAATTTTATTTGGAAGACTGTTATACACTTGACGACTTGACGATTTAACAGAAAAGGTATGGCTGCAGTTCGCATGCGCGTAAACTTCAGAAACAAACAGAGACAGGAATCGACAAGAACAAGGAGGATAAGAACAGCCAACTTTTGTTGAGAACAGCCAAAGTCCAAGCACCTCTGCAAACTGCAAAGTGAAAGAGTGAGACACGGAGTAAGATGCCCCAACTACACTGGAGCACTGACAATGAGCCCACTGAGGGCGAGGGCAATACTGAGGGCGACGACTGAGGACTGACAATTAGTGCAAGTGAGTAAAGTAGCCGAAAGTAGCATTAATTTATTTATTTACATACATTATTATTCTCCATGTTAAAGTTAACAACGTTAGTTCAGAAAAATACATAGAGATAATGTAATTATATAAATACTGTACGAGAAATTCATTGGTTCAAAATACTTTGATCGCCTCCTCATTAACTCCATGAATTTATTCATTATATTTTAATCTATCTTTTAATCCTCGACAAAACTTAAGGTGTAAATTTTAATCAAGCAAATATTTTGCTTTATTTTGCAAAATATATAATACATATCAATCCGATATCAATAATAGAAATATAGAGCTGAGAAGTCTGGAGGCAAACTTTAAAAATATATAAAAAAGTTTTTTCCACTGAATTGCTAATAGGAGGAGCATTTTCATAACTTTTAACCAATTTTAATAATATCAAATATTTGAATATTTTTAAATCGAAATTATATATATTGATTTTACGATTTTTGTTTAATCAGTGTGGCCTGTCGTACGGAAAATAGATTATGTAATAAAAAAAATACAATAAATCGGGTGGTGCCTTGTGCACCACTCATAAAGGGCGCAGGCCGTCAAAGACTTTGTCTAGGCCTGCGACCCTAAAAAAAGAAAAAAAAATTGAAAAGAACAAGAAAAATTGCTTGTGTTAGACAGAAGAAAAATGTTAAAAAAAATACAGATGTGAAATTTTCGAGTTTATTAGTGACGGTGGTGGAGTGGTTCGGCCGCCCGCAATTCAAGCAAAAGTCCAAAATTGCATCCAGCCGGTCTTGGGTTTCTTGGCCTCCAGCTCGTTGCCTTCGCAGCCGTCATGCCGCCGTTTGCCAATCTTCAAAACCATCAGCTGGGCCTTCACTTCGGCCAGTTCTTTGCGCGCGTCACGCAGCTCTGCCTCAAGGTTGCGTCCTTCCAAGACCCTTTGCGTCACGACGAGGGTTTGGCAATCGAACTTTTGGGCGACGCTCGCCATGGGCAAGGTCGCACGCGTCTCTCGGCCGCTTCAAGTGCTGGATGGTCTCTAGGGCCTCAACTTCAGATCGCAGGATCCCTGCGCAAAGAGTTGACCGGCCATTCAAAGGTGCTCTGACTTTTCTGCGCAAAACAAAGAAAAAAAAACACCACAGTGAATAGAGTTAAGAGCGGCAACAATTTGCACAGTGAATTAAAAATTAGTAAAAGTAAAAAACGCCAAAAAAATAAAAATTTAAAACTTGGATATACGCACTGTGGAGTGGAGGTGACCGTCCAGCCGTTGGTGGCCAGAAACACGTAGAGAAGTGGTCCTGGCAGCCTGGAGAAGAGGCCCGTAGCAAAGAGCGGCTGGATTTTCATGTTGAACTGCGGGTGAACGATTGGAGACCCGCAGTTCAGCTCGAAGCTGATGACCTGCACCGAGCTCGCGGCGCGTGCTATTTCCATAACTTGACGCAGAAGTCTCTCGTTTACTGTGAACACATTTATTTGCAAAGCGTTGAAAAATCGAAATCGCCACCAATAACTCAGGTCTTAAAAATTTAAGAAAAAAAAATTATAAAAAAAAATAATAATTACCGAGGGCGTCAAATTTGATATGCTGAACGCGCTCATCTTTAAAAAAGATGATGAAGAGAAGTTGTTTTGCATGCAGGGTCTTGACAATGGACTCGAAAAGGTCCAAATCACCGGCCTCAAACGCGTCAACCAGACTGACGGGAGTATATCCTCACGGAAGTTTCAGGATAACATCCTCACAGGGCTCCGAACGGCGGCGATTACGGACCATCTCTGTGCGGGTGGAGCGTAAAAGTTTTCAATTAAAAATTTGGAAATTCGGTACTCTTATGACTTATAGCAAGGAAATTTGAAATCGGAATGAGAATTCTTCATCCAACAATCGAAACGAGCGCGCAACAACCGAGAATTCACCTTGGAAACGAAATAACGGTTTTCTGCTTTCACTCGCACATCCAACAATGCAATTATTTTTCTTTCCGATGAATTTATTTATATAACCAAAAAAAAATCGCTTTTCTTCTGTGGAAAATAATTTCTTCACACACAAATACGCGCACATTAATGAATAATAAAATGATCGACGAAAATTATGTTTTTTAGCTGCTGCGACACGGCTTTACGGTTTTTACTCAAATTCGCAAAAGCAACAATGAAAAATTTCGTACATTTTTATAATTCTGAATTTTATAATAAGCGTGTTAAAAAAATGAGAAAAAAAAACAGAGCTAGGAAGTAATAGAGTTAATTAACAAATATTATAATAAATTGAAATGCCAAAGCTAAAAAATATTGGCAAAAATGATGAAAATTCAATTAATTGCAAAACCACCGCTGAAACGAACGCAACAATCTAAGTTCAAAATGGTCGACAAAAAGAATTGAAACCGACTTTTCCTTGAATGCATACTAGACGACAAGGAATCCTTAAACCTTTTCAAAAAATCACCGCGAATTTTAAATGTAATTCTTTAAGAATTCGCAAAAGCATAAATTTTTAAATTTCAGTCGTTGCAATTTCAAACCGACTCTTTTCAAAAATCGAAGTCGAAGGGAATTATTGTCAACCGACTTTTTCTTTCCGCAGTCAACAAGAATAATTTGGCTTGTACTTTGAAAAAACCTTCCACTAAAAACTGTATAAACAAGGCGGAATAAAAAGCAATCTTTGATGGATTTCATCTCTAATCCCGGCAGAGAAGTTGCATCCGCACGCACTCTCTGCGAAAGTCGGAAATTTTGAATAAGAATTCTTGGAAGCAACCGTTGAACAATCAACAGTTCAAATTCAAAACATGTAACGTTTTTGCTCAAATTCACACAATGCAACAATGCGAACTTTTGTATGTTTTTATCCTAAATTTATATTAAATAAGCGTGGCAAAAAAGAAAAACCAGTCATTTAGGACACGACAGAATTAATTAATAAGATTTTGAAATAAATTGAAATGCCAAATAACCGTTCAACAATAAAAATTCAAAAAGTGATCGACAAAAATACTATTTCAACAGATTTGTAACAAATCTCAGCCAATGATAATTCTTTTTAATAAATTCACTTTTCTACATCAAAAGTGATATAAGAATTCTTAAAATTCTTTTTCAATTCGGTTGACGTGGAATTAATTTCTAGCTGATTTCTTTCCATTTCTTTGAGAATTCTTAAAAAAAAACGACTTTTTCATTAAAAAAATCAGCAGCATGATCAGAATTCAGATTAGAACTGAAGTTTTCAGATCTTACAATTAGTCGACGATCTGAGAATTCTTTTTTATTCTCAGTCAAATTATACAAATCCCTGTTTGACTGGAATTCACAACATTCATTAAAGAATGCCCACGTACACTTGGCTTCCGTTAATTAACCGCACAAATGAGGCGGAATGAAAATAGAGAGTACACAAAATCTTACGCCGTCAAAATAAAGCCGCTGCACGGTTCGGCCAGGTTGCGGTGTCTGCCGAAAGAAAGGAAGAAACTGGATGGCAGGACGTCTTATCGGACCCGAAATTCGGAGATTTTTAGAGTGCGTGGCCCATTTGCGTGCGCCTTGCTGAAGAGCCAAAGAATAAGTGCGAATTCTTTGAGCCAAACGACTGTTCAACAATCGAATTCAAAAAGTGTTCGACAAGTATACTTTAAATATATTTTTTTTTCAAATTTCCGTGAAGTTAAGAATTGAGAATTCTTAAAATACACGGACTTTTTTAAAATCAATTCATTAGAACTGAATTGTTTTCAGATCTTGTAGTCGGTGATCCTAAAACTCTTTTTTTTTTTTCAAAATTTTGCAAGAATTTGCATGATTCAAAAAAAGTTCAAAACGTCGCCTCTGTTAATTAATTGCACAAACGAGGCGGAATAAAAAAAATCAGACCAACAACTTACCTGTCAAAATGTAGCCGCTGGTTCTGGCTGTGCGGTCGAAGAAGGAGAGTTAGGAGAGGACCTGGCCCGAACGGCAAATTATGAGAGCGCGCGGCGCATTTGCGTGCGCCTTGCTCAAGAGTCAAACAAGAAGTGTGAATTCTTTGCGCCAAACGACCGTTCAACAATCAAAATTAAAAGAGTCATGGTCGACAAGAATTCTTTTTAAAACCGATTTTTTTTTTCAAATTCAGCCAGTGAGAATTCTTTTTGATGACTTTTTCCCTTTTCCAATTGAGAATTCTTTGAACTTTTTCAAACCGGTCAATGAGAGAATTAATCAAAACCATTTTTTTTCTTTTTATAAAATTTCCGTCAACAATTTTTTTTCCAAATAAAGGATTGAAAAAAATGATGATTTTTCTCATAAGATTGAGCAAAAGGAAATTAAAAAAATATGTATAATTATAATAATTGAACAATAAAGTGGGCGGTGCCATGAATAAAGGGCACAGGTTGTCAAGACTTTTTCTTGGCCTGAAACGCGATTATTATTTCGGGTAATAAATGTGAAAATGAATGAAAATTAAGTGACAAATGAATGTGGTAGATTCTAGAGGGCAATTGTTCGCCGTTTTTTCTTTCTCGGCGTCTGGGGCATAATTGAAGGGCGCAATTTGTGTCAATATAACACACGCAAGTCACCGGTTTATACGTTTTCAGTTGTTATAACAATAAAATGTTTTCTCAAAATCGAAGGTTACAAGTTCTGCTCGAAATATGAGTGTGAAATAAATTAATAAATTGTGTCATAAAAATATTTTCAACAGAGTAAAAGCGTTATGTAGAGCCAAAATTGTCTGATTTAATTAAGGTTTGGAAAACTAATCAAATTTCCGATTGATTGGCGTTGGTCTCACATTTGTGCAAGAAATAGAAAAAATTAATGCTAAAAAAAAAGAATTATAAAATTTGCAAAGGTGTATTTTTTTCATCTATTGATAGGTTACCGGCAGAGAATTCTCAGAATCTCAATAGATGGTTAAAAAATTTCTACTGCTGGCGTTTATTTTTGAAAAGGAAAACGAAGAGCTAAAAATAATAGCTTGTGTTTTTTTTTTTCTAAAATGCCATAAAAATCTTTTTTTTAAATAAAAATTGTAAATCACTTGTTATGTAAAAGAAAACTTTATTTTTATTTTTTACAATTCAGTGTGGCTGGTCGTTCTCAACTCTTCCCTGTCCGTCCATCCCTCTCCTGACAAACCAACAAGTCCTTTCCAGAATTTGTACGACTTTTCAATTTCCACCGTGGATTCCAAAAAGCCGGTTGGTTTTGGCGAGTCCAGATTTGCGATTTCGAGCGGAAACACCTGGCCGATTGCGTACCATTCCAATTCACCCTCGCCTGTGTGGCCGATCACATCTTTCGAGGGCGTCGGAACACTGAAATTAAGCTCAGAATTTACTTTTCATTAACAAACCATATAAAAGTGGAATACCCAGATTGAGCGAATTCGGTGACTAATTTTGTCATGTACTGCATGACAAGATTGTCTTTGTTGTTTGGATCCTGCGGCACGGCAGGGAAGAAGCGCGGCATGGAAAAAATGTACTGCAGCTCATCCATGTGAACCACCCCTTAAAATTTAAAATAAATTTCATAAAATGTGCGATTTTTGAAAAATTCTGTACCGTAATCTGTGGAAGAGGTCGGATCAAAAGTTCTTGACATGGAGTGTTTTCCTCTATATCCAAATTGGTACACATAAATTGGCCTAGCATTGCCATAACTTCTCATTGTCTTCAGAGAATTGATAATTGGGTGAATGAAGCCCCATTCAGTGTACATCTAAATGTGCATATTGAAGATAAAATGTTTGCAGCCAAAAATTTAGAAAGCATGAATAAAAATTTGATATAAAAAAATAATGATTTCAATATTAATTTACTTTAAACAAATACAATTGAGTAATAATTTAGGTATTTAAAAAAAAACTCAAAATCAATTACATTTTATAATTTAAAAATCATAAATATATGCAATTGATCAAAAATAATGTTCATAAATGTACCTTGTTCATGATGCCAATATTTTCTTTGCTTATTTTCTTATCTCCGAAATAGTACTTTCTGACTTTTTCTGCCACGGCGGCGGGTTCTGCAGACGTAAAGTTGAGGGTCAGGGGGCCAAGGGTGGCAAAATCGCGATCAATCTCCTCCATCATCGTCGGCTCAGATGCAAACGCTGCACACTCAAGAGATCAAGGTCTCAATTAAAAGAAAAAAAAAAAAATTAAAAAATGCATTACCGGCAGTTCTGATGGCGCCGTCGTGAGATGTGTAACCGACGATCCACGGGATCGAGTTTTCCGGAATCATTCGCTCCGTTTCTCGAATCAGGGCCTCGCGACTCGCGGGCAAGTAATTCTGACCTTCGTGGAGGGGCTCTACAGACGGCCGGAAGGGCAAAATCGGGTCCAAGCCCCAATCCTTTCAAAATAAATTTAACTTCATGGAATTTATGACAGCAAAAAAACTCACATAGAGCCTGTCAATTTTGTCCACGATCTCTGCTGCGTCCTTTTTACTCAGACAACTGACCAATTCCTCTGAGTTGTCGAAAGGGCAGCCGTGGGCCACGGCGAATCTCTTGGCCTGAACGGCAGGATACGGAGTGAAAGCCCAAGGGGAGAAAATTGTTCCGCTCATCGAAATGGCGCTCTTGAATAATCCTTCAATAGAAAAAGCATTCAATATTTAAATTGAAGACAAATTTAAGCCCATAGTTTTTCAGAAGGTATGAAGTTGAAAAATTTCAAATGAGACGCATATTCAGGATGAAAAGATTAATTTTGACAAAATTTGATTAATTATTATATCAATTTTTTATATAATTCCCACTGAAAGTTTATTTCAGACTTTTTTCCTTGAAAATCTGAAAAACCTGTGTATTACCACTAAAATTTTTATTCATACAAAAATCCTTCAATTTGAATTATTTTATTAATGCTATAATTCTACTTAATTATCATCATTAATAGTTTTACTTTTTGTTGCTGAAAACTTAATTTTAATTTTATTTAGTAATTGGCAAAAAGCATTATATAGGAAACTGAAGTAGCAAATAAGTCAAAATTATAAAAATATGTCTATTTAAATGATTTAACCTACCTTTAGCCAATGGAGAAATCAAATGGTAATGCACGCTGGCGCCTCCGGCGCTCTCGCCAGCGATGGTCACCAAGCCCTCGTCCCCACCAAAGGCAGCAATGTTCTTTCTGACCCACCTCAGGGCGGCCACTTGGTCCTTCAACCCAAAATTTCCAGGACAAACTTTGTCCCCGGTGCTCAAGAAACCTTTTTTTTTTAATTTTATCGAATAATTCAATTGAATTGATTTTCATTGTAATTCAATTTTTACCAAATGCGCCCAATCTATATGTCAACGTCACCAGGATGATGTCTTGGTCGAGCAGGTAGTTGGGGCCGTAGGTTCCTCCGTCGCCGCACAACCATCCGCCGCCGTGGATGTAAAACAGCACCGGCAAACCGGTTACGTTTTCACCTTTCCGAGGCAGCTATAATTTATTTAGAAGAAATAATGTTTCGAGCATTTTTTTTTTATCTCACCCTGGGCGTGTAAACGTTCAGGTAAAGGCAGTCCTCCTGACCGAAAATCGTTGGATCCCTTGAAAAGAGGACGTCTCTCTGGATGCAAACTGGACTTTCCTTTGTAGCTTCACGGACGCCGTCCCATTTTTCAGGTTCGACAGGATCCTAATTTGAAAATGATTTTCCACTTCAACGTATTATCATTTTTTTAAATTATGGAATACAAATTAAAATAGAAATTGAAAAATAAATCATGAGCTATTGGTACTTTGATTTGGATTCCTGTTTCTTATGAACAATCTCATAATTAAATATGCCACTTAATCGATTGAATTTAATTATTTTCCACTACTTATGTAGAAGTGGGCTCCATTTTAACTACCCCCAAAATTGTTGTTTAAAATTACTCTGTTAGAAATAGCTATTGAAGATAAAAAAATTCATTCTAAAAATCTATTTCATCAGAGGAAAATCACTGATGAATATTTCAAATATTTTAATTCAACTTTTTAATTAACCCTAAATTATTTCGTACTTGTTTTTCTCTCATATAAAATTATTATGTTATGAGCAAGCAAATTCAAATAGAGAAAAATAAGAGTTAATTAATGTTGATATAAGCTTAACAAACATATATTATGAATTAAATTTTATCTAACCTTGAAACGGAGAGGCCCGACTGGAGGCGCCGCATACGGAATCCCTTTGAAAGCGAAAATCGGGTTTCCTGAATGGCTCTTCGTTTTCAAACCCTGAAGAACACCCTGTTCGACGGTGACCTGCAGGGTCGAGCCCAGCACGGCTTGAGAAAAGCCCAAAAGAGCTGCCAAAGTAGTGAGCAGCAACTTCATATCGTCCGCATCTGGCCGGCGCTCAAGTAAGAATGTGTCCGTTGCGAAGGGAAACGGACGAACGGATCAGCAGATGTGAGGAGGAGTCGCGAGGATGCTTTGGTGATAAAAGAAAGAAAATAAAAAGAAGCGCCCCCTAAACATGCTGACTGCCTTAGGCAAGCTCGAAGTTCAAGTTCAAGAGATGGTTTCTCTTTTCTTGCGGTAGTTGCATTTCTATTTTTCGGCCAAATTTTACAATTTTTAACTTTGGAACATATATTATACTACATCTCACTAATTGTGTGATTAAGATATTATAAATTAACAAGAGCAAGTGTAAAATTATTGATTTTTTTTATTAAAAATACCTTTTTAATGGTGATATATTTGATATTTATAGCGTTTTTAGCTGAACGAACAGCTTTTAAACTTTGATGAAATTCATAATTATATTAGAAGCCTGTTTTGTACATTAGCAAAATCAATATAAAATTGATGTGGCATTAAAATTAACATTAATTTAAAACAACCAAATCCTTTTATTGCATTAAAAGTTAATTTTCAATGCAATAATTGCAACAACATAATAGCTATGTTAAAAATATATTTTATTAAAAAATTACAATTATATTGCTTAATTTAACAGACAAAATCACTTATTGAAAACTTTTAAATTTTATGTTTAAATAAAAAAAAAAATACGCACAACTCATAATTTTTCATGGTTATTAAGTGTTAAATATTATATTAAAAAAATTAATCTAAAAAATTAAAAGTATTTTTTATTAAATTAACTTTTATGGTTTTTATTTTTAATTATGTTTTTACTTCAAACTAGTTGCCTGACTTAATTAATTTCTTTTAGCGATCGCGCCATCCATAAAGTGGCGCCTCTGGCAGAGCTAGGGCAGAATGACGTCAGCGGAGAACACGCGAGAGAGAGGCTGGCCGGTGTGCGACGGCGCGAGTGTGGAGCCGCCGTGTCTGTTGCCGAGCGCCTCCATTGCGAGCGCCCACAAGACATATCGACCCTGCAGCGGGCCGACAGTGGCCCGACCGACCGACCCACCATACGCACAACGTGGTGCGGCCCCAGCACGCTTGACTTTCACGCAATGGTGAGTCTCCTCGAAATCCGCACCGGTCCTCCGGCGATGCCCTCGCGCCAGGGGTCACTGCCCTTTTTCGCCGCCGCCGATTTTATTGATTTCCACTGTCACATTGTATTCTGGGCTGCAACGACGACTCACGGTTTCATCACTAACTTAGCAAGGGTTTATTTATTCGGGGTTTTTTCTCAAATTTAGAGTCTTTTTCAATTTGCTAAAAAAAAAACAGCTAATTTTTTTTAACAGAATGCAGGTCAGGGATAAACAACTCGTTTTATTTTATATATAAATATTCTCTACTGAAGTGAAATAAAATGAACTCTAATTTTTTTTACCGTTTGTAACTATGATGAAACACTTAATTGTTACTATAACAAATTTCGAAAATCCAAATTTTGGAAAGATGGTTGAAAAGTACCTAAAAGTAATTTTTAGTCTCACATGTTTTAAATTAGAATGTCAAAATTCGCATATAATTAGTTTAATTATAAGAATTGATTTTCAAGATAATTAAATAAAACAAAACGATCTCTTTTTCATTATTAATTCACAACGTTTCGCAACTTTTTACGGCTTTTTTACAACATCGTTGTAAATTAATTTGTTTTCATTTAACACACTCTGATCGATAAGGAAAGAATTTGAGGTAATTTTCAAGTTCATTCGGGGAAAGCCCAAGACAATTCATGACCTGCAGGTATAATTATTTGCAAGTAGCACGGCCGATATGGAACTGCCACATACATTCGGTCCATTTGAAATGTTTCGCCTGGCAACAGCATCTGCACGCACACATGATCGGCCTGTCAGAATAATTATTACAAGCGATTGTCTGTCTGCAAGTCACAATCACGCTGCTCTCAGCTGGAAAACTCGAGCCGCGCCTTTTGCATTTTGCACTCACTATTGAAAGAGTGAACTTGTTCTCCGCGATCTGCAATTTAGTTAATTGCAGAAAGTACAAGAACATTTTCCACCCAGGTTAGCCCTGGATTTAAACGGCTCAGTTTACCCTTGACCGAAATTCATAAATTTATTTATTTTGCTGAAATATAATAATTTTGATTATTTTTAAAGCAGCTCTGTTTGCAATTTCTGCAACAATTTTTTATAATCTTCTTCTTTCCTCACACCTGCATCTGAAGATGGTGCAAAAGGCGTGTTGCCACAATAATGACTATAGTCATTTGAAATCCTCTCATTATTCTCAATTACTTTTGCAAATGCATCGCGGAAGTTTCTCCGGATGAATGAGTAATTTTTCAAACCACATTAAATCAACCTTCTGATAAGTTTTCGTTCTTTTGTTTTTGAATATTTAAACAATCAATATTGCACAAGGAAAAGGCTGAAATGTTCTGGTGCTACTTCCTTTTTTTCTATTTTTACGGGAAGGGGCGATGACTTGGTGATTTCTAGAGAAGTTGAGTTAGAACATGGTAAAAATGAGCTGCCTCTTATTTTATCGCGCGCGCGCTTCGTTAGTTGGACGAGACCATTTGTTGGCACGGGATCAATTCGTGCGTCCACATATCTATGAAGACTTGCAAGCGATGAGAATAGACTCTGTCAAAACTGACCGTGAAACTTGGCGTTAGACTTAATTGGCGAAAACAAACAGCCCCTGAAAGATCCGCACCGGTGAATATTTATGGTTTTATTCCTGAATTTGACCAATTTTTTAATGAATTATATTAAAGTGAAAATTGCGATTGAAAAATTTGACTGGATGATCCAGAAAAATTTCCCGGCGTCAAATTTAATTTTAACTAGAAATTAGAAGCCAGGCTTAACCTATAGACGAAAAAATTGGAACTGATCTCATTTCTTATTTTTTTGATGAGGATAAGCTCGGTTTCAATTTTTCATGAAATCCGCCTTTTGATTGACCAGAAGTTTCTCTTATAGCACTGCATTTAGTAAAACCATGAAGTACCTTTGAATCGTCAATTTACGCATTATTCGGCTAAAAAATTTTTATTTTTACAAAGTAATGTACTTATAAATTTGCTTACTTTTTCAAACTCTCTTCAAATTCCTTCTTGCGTTTATTCTAGCGCGGATCATTCCGCTGCCGTGTGATTATGATAATAAAAAGCGGCAGTCGCATGTTGATGCCAGAGGAACATGTGGAAGCCAAGCCAACTCGCGGTTTATGCGTCTGGCTGAATATTTAGCTTGCGGAAGGCACATAGGTCAATGAAGTGCACCAGAGTAAAACTGCTCCGCGTGTTATCCATAAAAAAAGAAAGCCATTTTTTTATTAATTATATTTGATAAATTATGATAATAATTTGAGTAGATTATTATAAATTTTGATAAAAAGACAAATTTTTAAAACCGTATCATTAAATAATATAGTATTAAAGATAATAAAGTTCATGAAAAAATCTAAATTTAATATTAAAAAATTAGATTACAATATGTAGTAAAAAGACAAAACTGTTAACGGGCTAAACAGGCTTGTTGATAAAGATTGTTTTGATTTAATTTCTATTTATTTGCAAGCTCCTGCGGTTAACCCGTACTTCCGATGATAAGCAGGTGTTTATTCTGCAACCGAATGAATCAAGAAGTGTTGACGGGAAGGAACGCGAATTTATTCCAATCAATATCACGCGTGCAGCTGTTCAAATGAGTAACAAACTTGTTTACTTTCAAGAGGTGCGGAACATTTAACCTTCCAATATTATACTTGTGTGTTGACACTTTGTAGTGACATCAACCCTTTGACTGTGGTGGAAATTTCCCCAGTTCTTGCCAAAGTTCAGATTTATTTCAAACTCTCTTTATCTTTGGCAGTAACATGCTTTTTTACCATTAAATAAGTATGTCTGTCCTTCAAAGGGTCAGTGAGGACAAAGTGCGCTATTTAAAAATTAACTACAATCAACCAGACACATATATATGAAAAAAAGAATAATGTTTGTATAGTTTTTCTTTGAAGTTAGTCACTCTCGTTATCAGATTTTAAAGGAAGTTTTGTTTGTTTGAGCCGAGTTGGCTCTGCTCTGCCATGATTCACTCACAGTTGCGCGCATATATAAACTGTGTTTGCTTAGACTCGCTTTTATTGTGCACAGAGCTTGGGAAAACAAAGTGCGATCCGTGAACAGTGTAACTATAAAGCTCATTATCATCAACAAAGGGATTTTGTCGCTGATAAGATAAACAATAAAAATGTGAAAGAGGCAGTTTAATGCAGCAAAAAGATAATGTTTATTAATTCTAAAACCAAAATTTTAATAACAAATTAATTTAAAATTATTGAAGAAAATGTTTGCGTCGTTAATTTTTACTGCGTGCAATGGTTTTTTTTAATAAAAAATTGTTTTTATTATAATAATTTTTGTGTATTTAATAAATCCAATAGCGGCAAAAACTGATAATAAAAATTTTACGTTTTTATTGCTGTTAATGTGTGCAAATTGTTACGTCACATTGTTTACATTAAATTGTTTAATACAATAAATATTAATTTAATAAAAAAAATATATTATATTATTTTGAATTAATTTTTATTATTAAAGTTTTTATCTGGATTAATATGAGAGAACCTCATAACGGAACTGCAGCAAATTTTGAAATAGAAAAAGGAAGCGATAATCTAATTAAATGCATCCAAGGCTGCTTTGTTTATTGCATATTTAATGCACCATTACCGTTCCGTGAAAAGTCATGTTGATTATATATTTTCACATGATAAAAGCAGCAGCTGCGGAGAGCGTTGAAACCCATCAAGTGTGTATAAACTTGTTCCATGGGAGCTTTCCATAAAGGGAAAAACGCCCGTCTGCAACGCGTGATTTGCCGCAGATTAAACAAATGATACTTGCTCATGAGTGAAACCTTGCACTTTCTCAATCAAAACAGACCCACGCATGAGTTGGATAACTTTTGATTATACGCATTCGCCAATGTTTGCTTTGATGGAACTGTTTGCGAAGCGAATTGCATCCAGAGAGAGGCCTTCATTGTGCTTTTCGTTTCAACCCCATGCATTATTTAACCCTGACTCACCAGGGTATCGATTAATAATCAGTTTGAAAGTAAATTGCGAAACGCCCAACTCAATTTATCGGTTGCACATTCATCATAATCATGATGGAAATAATCTTTTATTACCTAATTCATAATTGCAAGTTCATTCTTAAATATATGTCATTGTGATTCAAAATATGTCTGCAATCGAATACAACCTTTCATGAGATATTTACACACACACACAAATGCATTTGGATTATCTTTGAACCCTTTCTTTAAATTAACTTTTATTCTATTGCAACTATTTATAACATTTTTTTTACTAAAAAGTAAAGTTTTATTGCACGCTCCAGATGTATGTGATTTAATATTTGAGAGCAAAATTACAAAATGCCCTTTCTTCTTGAAAATATTGAAATTTGAGATTAAATTAATCGCTAAAAACACTTACTTTAAAAAAAAAGACTATGAATTTACACTGGGAACAGTTCGCCTCTTTTTTCTTCACACATCCAAGAACGGATATTTGCTCACATCTTTTGAGATTTATAACTTTTTCTTACAAAACATTCCATATACGTTTAATATTAAATGAATGAAAACATCCTGTGGAATTCCCAGTGGCACTGATCCAGATCTGGCCGAACATGTGCGCATCGATTTTGTTGGGCCACCGCGCACTGGAATATTAAATGCACTATATCCTGACCTGGGCCACACGTGTGACCACGTGGTGTACAAGTAACGGGGTCAAACAAAAAGAATGTTTGTTTGTCAAACACGCCAATATCGCATTGTCTCTCGTGTCTGCTCTAACCACGCTTTCGTGCGGCCGGTTGAAAATTAAGTCCTGGAAAAGCATAGCTTGACCCGATTTTGCGCAACAGAATTGGGTTAAATAACACACACACACACACTGTGCCAATGATTACACAGAGGGCAATTGAATGCTGAGCACTTTTATATCGCCTCGTGTGCAGTTGTTGGAATTATATTATATGTTTTGTTTGCTCAGATGGCTAAAAGAGGAGCTATAGTGTGATAGTTAGGACTCTGACACTAATTGCAATGGAGAACACCCTCATGCTTTTATATATTAAATGGAAACTTAATAAATGAACAATTATAGCATTAGGGTGAAATTATAAATTAATTACAATTTTATTTTTATTATTAAATTAAAAAATTACAATCAGTTTATTGTTTAAATGCAAACCTAAAATTTACATTAAAAATTCAAACATAAATTAAAATTTTTAAATTTCATGCTGCAAAATTGGTTATAGTTAATTAAAAAAAAAAATATTTATTTAAAATATTGGAAAATTATGGTGAAACGCAATTGTGTTTTGAATCTGGGTGTTCGAATGGGAACCAATTTTATCCAGTTCAGGGTGAAACAAGCGCGCGTCCCAATTATAATTACGAGCAAATAAACATGAATGTTTGTTCTCTGCAACTTTCGGTGTTAAAATCAACAGCGCGCTTTGGGAGCAGCAAACGCAGGCAGAGGTCCAAACAATTATCTTTTCTCATCACGCTGCACCTTGGGGCAAGTGACGCATGCTGAGGAAAATTACACACTTAATAACGCGATAGAGATCTGGAAATATCTGGCACTTTTCGCGAAAGTTGTCTCGACTATTTGCTGCACCGCGGGGCTAATTTTTTAGTTTCGTGCCAGACTCCGCAGCAGAACACGAACATGGTAAGCAATTTATGCAGAAAACTCATAAATTTTTTCAATCAATTAATTTTTTTTAAATATTCATTTCCATTTGAATTTGACTTTTTTTAATAAACAGAAATTCTCATTCAAATGTTAAAAGCACTTTATAATCTTTCTTACTTATCAATATTTTGATGCAAGTGTAAACTCTGCCCAAGTTTGTCTTGGGTTGTTCAAGCCGGATCGATCTGCTTACTGATTATTTATCAAGTTCAATAACAATCAATCTTATGAGCGGTAGTAAAATCCAGTAAAATCGACCCTCATTTTCTTGTCTCATCGACTTCATCCCGAGGAAGGTTTAACGAGTACAAATTATTTAGCCACAAATGCATTCTTTTTTTACCCATTCAACTGCGAAACGCGTGTCCCATTTCATTTGATTTACCCTTGGCTCATTTTCCATGCTTTGCAACTGCAAAGCGATTCACGCACGCGGCGTTTGGTTCCTGGAACGTAGCGTGATTTATACATTTGGGTCGCCGACCTACCCCTTTCCATTTCTAATTCACTCAAATGAGGTAATTTGGTTAAAAGCCTAGTCCAACTTGACGTCACAAAAAGGCCAAAACCACTTTAGCTCTGATTTTAATCTACATATCAATTTCCGCAGGAAAGCAACATTATATAAGTTACACAAAGCCTTCAAGCACCGATTTCAAATTTAATTAATGACTTCTAGAAATTTATTACTTTTTGTTGAGCTGATACATGTATAAATGTGTTCTATTTAAAAATAAAAAATTCAACTGAACTCTTTTGGAGGTAATTTGAGATACTTTAAGTCAAATTACATCTAAAATCGTTCTTATGCAAAAAATTTAAATAAAATTGTTTAAAAATTAACATTTTTAAAATTATGTATTATTATTAGTTAGATTTTTAACCCTGCCAAACTTGAATTTTTTCAGGAAAAATGCACCAACAACAATAATAATAAAAAACCACAAAGACACAAAATCATGAAAGTAGAACGATTTTCTTAAAGTTTATGCAAATTTTTTGCCAATTTTATTTGATTTTAATCTAATTATTTTTTTAATTTTGTAAAAGAAACCCTGAACCTGCAAAAATGATGTTTTTAAAGAATTTCATATTATGTAATTCCTTATGCAAAATTATTTGCAGAGACTTTTCCAGACAATGCGTAAACAGAGTGCATGTGCACATTCTCACTCTATGTGATTTATTGTAATGCGAAAGTGATGTCACTGCCGTAAATCATGAAAAGCACAAATATTTTGCTATCAAACTTCCGTTTGTTTTCGCAAGACTCGCGAACGTTTGCTCGAAACAACGCAAAAGCTCGGAAACCGCAGTTAATTATCAAATCCCGGCCTAGCTATTTCCCTTGCCTGATTGCTGTAGAGGTCGATTGTGGCTGATTGCAGATCGAGGAGCTGCACTAGACATGCTGGAGAAGAAAGATAGCGGCCCGCTGTGCGTGGCTTCGCGGTCCTCCGAGGAGCAGCCCGGCTGGCTGGACAGCGAGGGCGAGGAAAGTGCAGGGCTGTTGCCGTGCCGCCTCCAGCTGGCCCACTCGGTCATGCCCCCGGAGGTGGTCTACTTTGACGAGACCGGCGACAGGTGCTGCATCTCGTCCTCCTCCAACAAGAGCGACCCCGAACCTGCCGACGACGAACCGTCCAACCTCATCCTACAGGTACAAATTACAAATATTTTGTCACTTGCTTTAATTTTCAGTAATATTGTAATTTTCGTTTATTAAAGTTTCTTCATGCAATGTTTTATTAAATTACTGCAACAACTTTTAAAGCTACAATTTTAACTTGAATGTTTTTTTTTTTTAATTTATAAATTTCTAATTTTTGTGTAATTTTGAAGGGGCAATTTAGAATTTATTTCCTAAATAAAAATTACAATTTTAAAATCTTTTCTCCCAGTCAATCAATTTATGTTAAAATCTAAGATCTTAAAGTGAATTTAAATCTTAACAACTACAAGATTTGAGGAGATTGCCCTCACCAAATTTATGCAAGGTAAACATAAATCACAAGCATTTAATTATCATGTAAGCAAAGCTACAACTCGCGTTTTAAATTATTTTTCACCAATAGATTTCTAATTTACATATTTAAAAGCAGATTACAGCGGTTCTGAATAAAAATAATAATTATTTCAATATTCAACGCGGGTTCATATTGAATTATTTCAAATTCCCAAGAGCACGTGGGCCCCCCACTAGTGCGGCGCAAATCAATCAACTCGATAAAAGTGTTGTTTTTGCAAGAGTCTCATTTCTTTTGCTCATTGGCAGGAGGCCGGCTCGCAGCTCATGTTCCCGCTGGAGGTGACCCTACAGGAGGAGGCGGCCCCCGGGGGCGGCTCGCTGCCCGAGCTGGCTCGGGTGCCGAGCGCGTGCAGCACCCTGGAGGAGGGCAAGGGGGCGCCGCCGCTGGTGCTGGGGTCGGCGCCCGCCGCCCCCATCGCCATCGGCCGCGGCATTTTGCACAGCAGCTCCTCCAAGATCAACCGGAAGAACTCGCAGGTGTGTTTCCGCGACGACTGGGAGGTCGACAGCCCCCTCCTGCCCGCCGCCGCCGCCGCGCAGCACCACAACCTGCAGCCGCCAGGTAGGTCTCTTGTTTCTTTTCCTCGACGCACTAATTAACACTTGTTGCTTTTAATTAGTACACGACAGGTGACATGGGTAACACCTACTTGGTGTTTTTAGCTTCAAGCGCTGTTTTGTCACAACTATTTACTTCTTTCTGCCTCATTGTTTTTTTAACTCTTACTTTGTTTGGGATGAAATTTTTTCTCAAGAGTTGAACTTGATTTTTAATTTTTATCTAAATTCATGAAAATGCATTTTAGCAAAAAATGAAATTCATCTTCAAAATGTGGGACTAATTTTAAAGCTCAATTTTCAAGGGGAAATGCCTTTTTATGTTTTTACCATTCTGAACGCTTATTTTACATTTCTGGACTATTCCAAGCCCCTTTGTTTAATCATTCACAAATTTTTGACTAAATTATAACTAAAATACTGTCAGGTTTGAGTCTGTTAATTTTCGTCATTAAAAATGAAGGTAAATTTATTTTTTAGAAATTGTGCTTTTCTTTTAAACGTAAACATCGCGTATGGAAAGGAAAAAATGGAAAAATATTATTAATTTTATTATTTCAACTTCTATTGAAATTGAAAGTCTATAAAAAGAACTATTTTATAATTTTTATATTAAATCCATCTTTGCCTAGGATTTTGGAAAAATACTTTCACTAGTCAACAAATATAAAAAGTAATATGCATTCTTCTGTTTTTAACTATTTTGTCATAATAAATTTAATAACGTAGTACTTGCATATTTTGAATAACAAAACAGTTGATTTTATATTCTGAATTGCGCAATTTGCATTTTATTGTTGATTATTTTTATTCAGAATTATAAAATAAGTAATACTCTATCTGAATTTAAAAACAATTAAACGATAAAAGTTGTTTTTACTGTGCAAAAGACACTTTTTAAAATAAGCATAAATTTATTTATTCAAGATGTTAAAATGAATTTCAATCTGCTAAGTAGATAGAAAAAGAGGCATTTTATGTGAATTAATTTTCTTTTCCGCAATTGTAAGAATCAGGAGCCGATTTTCGTTGCTTTTTTATATTCATTTTAACTGGGATATGGGGCCAAAAACGCGTAAATATAATTGATGTTAAAAATAATTAGTAAATATTCACTTAAAAAATAATTTATTTCGTTCTCTCGCGAAAAATTTTTATGTTTATTATTGATGTTCATTTGTTTGATTGCTGCAATTAATTTGCTAGATAAATTATTACACAAATAATTGTAGGTTTCTTTTTATAAGAAAATGTGTTATTCATTAATTTTTAGATATAAGTTTTTAAAAAAATCACAGAATTTAATTGTCCCCGTTGTGGAGAATCACCATAGAATCAAAAATTTGAGCAAACCGAGTTTCCAAGTTGAACAGAGGCGTCCACGTGGAGTCTCGCGCGATAAGACTTTTATCAATGGGAAGATCTGCCAAAGTGTGACCTTGCGCCCTTCACAACGCCCGACTTGGGTCTGTGCCAGAAATCAATCCGCCACATAAATTCAACCTAAAAAGGCGGAGACCTTTGACTCTTTCCGAATTCAGTGTAAAAACAAACGTTTTTATCGAATCCCGAGAAGTGGCAAATCGAGTTGTGCGGCTTCCCTCGGCTGCTGCAGAAATAAATTAGTTCCTGTTGATGCACAAACAAGAGTTGGGCCACACAAGAGCGAGCCAAGTCTCATGTGTTTGAATAATTACATTCGACGCAAACAAATCTGCAGTGTGACCTAAATTAGCAAAACTTGCGAAGTTTGAGACCAAACATATTCACATCCGAATAATTGCGTTTCGTCACTGCTTTTGCACGTAACCGCAAAAGGGAGTCAAACAAGAGGTTAATCTATTCGCGGTGCTGACGGGCTTCCTTCATTATTTTCTCATCGCAAAGACCACTTATGCAAGAGTATTAATTTTTGCATCGGTTTTTGTCATGCCATAAATTAGGTACAAGATCAGCAGCCTGCACATTCTTCGAGTGCAAATACAAACCTGACAGCTTCAACTTACATTAATCAAAACGATTGTATAAAAGCATTGCACATCAGATACACTGAATTCTTTCCACACTAGCTGCAGTAAATTTCCAATCATATTATGTAGTAAAATTGATGGATTTCAATGGATTTTAAATAATAAAATAATTTCACGGAGATAATTTTTAATTTAAAATATTAAATAAACGTTTTTTTTCTAATATAGTTTTGCGAATTTAAATGGAGCCGAAGTAATTTTCTGCAGAAGAGTGCTCTTGTTTGTTTTTGTTTGGAGTCTTCTTGCATTGTTGGTTCGCCAGTTGTGCGCTCGAAGCCGCACTCGCCACTTGAAACTGCACCTTGCTGAATATTAATAGACATTATGCACTTTCCCGCAGCTGCAACGAGCGCAGCTTGGCGAATTGGCGCTCGCGCAATCTGGGTTATTGCGATCTGCGTAAAGAAAAAGAAAAACTTCCTGGCGAATCGAGGACGGTTTTCAAAAACAGGTCACACTTGTTGACATTTTAATTGAAAAGAAGGTGCACTTCACGAAGAGTGCAAATCTTGTAACAGGAAAGGAAAGAAAGAGCTGCTTTAAAAAATGAACTCGTCCTTATTTTGTATGTATTTCTGTATCCGTTTCCATATTTATGTGAAAAGAAAATTAAATCAGAGTAAATAATTATCCTTTTGACTCAAGCTCATTAATAAAAAGTTAATAAGACCTGAATTTATATAATATATTTATAATGATCACTCAAAATTTTAAATTAAATTGTTTAAAAGGGTTTAATGTGTTTTCAAAAACCAAATTATTTTATTAAATAAGTTATTTTTTTATCAATGATTCGGCTAAGCAAAACTAGATTTCATAATATTTTTCACTTGTTAAAATATGTGTTAATATGAATAAAATTATTACTTAAAACGGTTTAAATTTATAGTTCCTTTTCATTTTTCCTATGTAAATTTAAATAAGTTTATTTTTATAGATTTTTTTTAAATACTGCTCTAGTTTTGAAAAGAAGGGTAATGCAGTGGTGATTATGCTGACATTGTCTCATGAAAAATGCAATTGCTGCAGCGCGCGGTCGCATATAATGCCTTTTAAGAAATAAAGTGAGGAGCTTCTTCTCATACCGAAGTCGCAGAACTGGCCGCTGCATCGACAGCTATGGAAAATTGCAAATTTTCTCCTTGAATGAACAGTGTGTGCAAACGGAAGGTCAATAGCAGCAGCAATTGTTATTACTTGTGTTTGTGCCCAGCTGGGGAAGACGCGCGTTCAATCAGTCGCTGTTTGCGTTTCTTTGAGCGACGCAATTAGCGGTTTGCACGCTAAATGTGCTCTTGCGAAACTCCAATGCATAAACATCGATCGAGCTGAAAAGATTATATAAAATTTATGACAGCAGTGAAATCGTTGCGGATATTTTATCTGCCTAGTTAAATTTAAATTACTCTCTTTCTCTCATCTCCATGGAAAAATGAAGTTTTCCAAAGAAAAACTATTAAAAATAAGACTAAAAAAACTTTTGATGTCGGGCGTTTTAGCAGACATCTGCTAATTGTAAACCTTTCTACTCTTTTTTCCTATTTAAAATTCTTTCTGACCGAGGAGAAAAAAATTATAACAATACCAAAAAATCAGGTAGACTTTTCAAAATAGAAAGTCTTGTTTTTAATTAAAAATTACAATATGGTCAGTCAAACCATTTATCTTTCAAATATTTTAAATAAATTCTACTGACAAACTGTTGCAATTTCTAGTTTCCATAATTTTATATGGGATGAATTTTGTTTCAGCGCCTGTGGCGGAGGTTGAGGTGCCCGGGGAGGAGGAGGACGAGTACGAGTTGGTGCCGCCGGACGGGGGCTGGGGGTGGCTGGTGCTGGCGGGTTCAGTGCTGGTCAACATCCTGGTGCCGGGCACGGTCAAATCGTTCGGCGTGCTCTTCGTCGAGTTCCTCGAGGTTTTCCACGCGACGCCGGCGGCGGCCGCGTGGATCCCTGCGCTGTGCTACTTCCTGTACAGCTCGCTAGGTCAGCACCCACCACCCCATCTAATTGACTTTGTCGCATTACCCTTGTCTACCCACAGGCCCCGTCGCGAGTGTCCTCTCGGCCAAATTCTCTTATCGCACAGTCACCATCATGGGCGGCCTCTTCGCCGCCTTCGGCATGATCCTCAGCTACTTTGCAAGCTCCATCACCTATCTCTATGTTAGGTGAGTCATTATTTTTTCTTTTCATTCATTTTATTTCGAAGCAGAAACTTTAAATTATAGTTAACTTTAATGAGACGTTGAAACAAATAAAAAATAAGTTATCGAATGTGTATTTTTTTTTAATCAAATGCAATGAAAAAAATTATAGAATTCATAGAAGTAATTTATTTGAAGAAAAATAACTATTTTAAATGAATATTGTTTTACATACATATAAAAATTATGTAAACTACAATTGTACCATTATTTAAGTAATTGTTATTAAATAACTTATTTTAAAATTTTTAAAATATAAACATATTATTTAAAGTTAATTTCTTGTATTACTATAATTTAAATGAATTTTAATTTTTTTTTTAATTATTATTTAATAGTATTAAATGAATTAAAAATTCTTAAGTCTACAATTCAATTATTTAAATGTTATTTAACTTTATTGTTATTTTAAAAATTTTATAATATAAAATTTTATTCATTTCCACCTTTATTAAAATAAGTATAAATTTGAAAAACAATATCAGCTCGGTATTTTGTGTCCAGAATTCGCTAGAATTATGCAAATTTAATATCATAATTGGAAAACACAAAGTAAGAAGTAGAGTAAATCATTTTTTTCATTATTTGTCATGATCTTCACTGATAAGAGAGAAGATTTAATGCAGTTTTCTTTAAAAGTAAGATATATAGTTTGTGATGGTTTGTGAAATCCAATATTTAGACAAAGAAAGCTACTTTTTTTACTAACTGTAAAAATAATTTCAACTATTTACAATAGTATTTACTGACAGTTTATATTTTTCAATTTGTTTGGCAGTTTTGGAGTTTTGGTTGGAACAGGCGCTGGTCTCGCCTTCCCGCCCGGAGTTTTCATCGTCTCTTCCTATTTCCAAAAACGCAGAGGTCTGGCCAATGGAATCTGCATCTCTGGCAGCGCCATCGGCTCCATCATTCTGCCGCCGTTCCTCAGGCATCTGCTGACAAATTACGGATACAGGTAATAAATTACACAACTCGCTCTACTTTATCAGCTGCTTTTTTCCACAATTTTCCACCTATCCGTTAAAATCCCGCACTATAAAATTATATTGACTACATATTAAGTTCAAGGCGACCGTACAGATAAGAAAGTGAAAAGGATGCTCTTGATAGATAATTTTTGAATTTTTACATATTTTGCCGAGAGCCGTGTTGAGGCTTTATTGGCAACGGGACGGGTGGGAACAACATCAGACCTCAGAAATAGCAGCAAATGTGGGCGTCGTTCCTCTTGCGTGCTGACAAATTTAGAACTGTGTATGTCATCGGTAAACTTGTTCTGAAATTTTAATTAAAATTATGCAAAAGAATAACAAAATCATAACATATGGGATTCCAAAAATAATTTAAACTAACTCTGCGTTGCGGCATCAAAAAAACTAATTGATTCTACAGTCGAACAAAAGAAAATAAAATTTAAAAATCACATTAACTCTAAAAAGCGTTCTGCGTTCTGCTGGAATATTAGTAACCTGAGGTTCCTTATGTCCATCATACACTAGGGGAAAGAAGTATTGTGGGAAAAAAATTTTTTGAACAAAACCTTTTCTCAGCTCACTTGATTTAGCAACTTTGATTCTGGTATCAATTTTCCGTGAAATTAATTTAATTTTTAATAGTTTTAAAATTTAAAACAAATACAAATAAAAATATTAATGTAAAATTAATATTTATAATTAGTATGCTTCAATTTTTGCAAAGGGTTGATGTTATTAAAAAGTTTCAAAAAATACATAAGATTTTTTCATAAACTTTTATTAAATAAAATTAATTCCATTTCTTTCTTTAAACTCGCTTGATCATTAAATAAAATTTATTGAATACCATTAAATTTAACATATTACACATCATATTATAAATTTTATCACGCTGACATTAAAATCCACGTAAAATATTATTCTTCTGCAAGAGTTAGGTTAGGATATTCTGTAATCAATAAGAATTGTTTCATTACGTGGAATATTTTTATTAAATTTACATTGTAAATCCAAAGAATGGATTTTTAAGATTTTTCCATTTCATTATTAATGTTAAAATTTTTGCAGGGGTGCTGTTTTGATAATGGGAGGCATCACGTTCAACGTGCTGGTTGGCGCCATGTTCTACCACCCTGTGAAGGAGCACATGAAGAGGGTGAAGAAAGAGAAGCCGGAGAAGGCGGAAAAAGATTTGGTGGCGACCAAAGTGACGCAGCCGGTGGCCATCGAGAGGTCCTGCAGCCCCCAGCAAGTGGCCGCCTCCCAGCCCATCAGCATCCCGGCGGCCGGGGGCGACGGCCAGTCGTGCCACCCGCAGATGTTTTACTTCGAGGGCAGTCCGGAGCAGGAGACGGGCGACTGGATGGCGGCCCAGAGCGCCTCCTTCCTCGGCCCCAGCATCGACAAGGCCTCGGTCGAGAACAGCCCCAGTCCGCTGGCCCTCAGGGAGGTGCTCGAGCAGCAGGACGGCGGCGGCGGCAAGAAGCTCGACTGGGACTTCTTCAGCACCCTGCCCCCCGCCAAGCAGAGGCTCCTCAGACTCTCCTTGCGGCCGGTGCAGAACCAGGCCGTCGCCGCCGCCATCGGCACCTCCAACGTCCAGCCCACGCTCTCCAGGAGTTTCAGCTCCAACGTCTCCCTCTCTTCATTCAGGTATCAATTTAGGAATTATCGTTAAAATAAAAATCAATTGTTCCTGCATGTGTGTTAGAAAAATTTATTTGATTTATTGGTTTAAATTAAACTCATAAAATCGAGAACAAGTTCAATAGCCATAAAAAGGGGAGACAAAATTGGGCATAACATATAAATTGAAAAACAAATAACAGCAGAGTTGAAATTGCCTCATTTTTTCAATTCTAAACACTGAGATCAACAACAACAAAAAGCGTGCGAACATCTTTCATGAAATCCTAAATGCTGCAAGAATTTAAATTTAATATATATGTTTTGTAATTTCTAGGAGTTTATTAACTTTCCCTTTTTTTATTTCTTTAAAACCAAACATAATCATCTCCAAGTTCTTCTTGTTTTTTTGAATAATAATTTGAATAATTTGACTCTCTTCTTCAAACTAAAATTTTGAGGTTTTATACTAAAAATGGCCCTCATACTTCATAATCATTTTTATAAAAACTTGATTTAATTTTTCTAACAGTTAGTGTGATAATGGAATTTACTAATTTTTTTTTTTTTTTTAATTTTGTGTCCAGGTACATCAGTACTGTGCACCACGGAAGCACCCTGGCCGCTCTGCAGCAAAACCCGCGCGACAACGAGATGTTCGCCTCAACCCTGACCCTAAAGTCGGTGACCAAATCCTGCTGGGAGTCTTTTAGCGATTGCCTGAGCTGTTTTCGCCGCAAGAAAAGCAAAAAGTCGGAAAAACCGCCAATTGACGACGACAAAGAAGGATCTGCCGACTCGACCTCCAAACTCCTTGACTTGTCCCTCCTCAAGGATTCACTCTATCTGGTAATTTTTTTTTCTCCTGCAGTTGTAGAGATCTAGAGCTTTTCTTACAAAGTTTAAAGGATCTTTTACTTACCTAAACATACTTAATTTAAGATTTAAAAGCGACGTCCTGATACACACATGATCTATTTCTAATACCACTTTTTTTAATTGTAATAGATTTAATTTTTTAATTTTTTCTTTTAATTGAAGTGGAAATTGATTTTTTGTATATTAAAACTAAAAAGTTGTGACTGAAAAATAGAGTCCTAGTCAAATCTTTAAAAATATAAACCCAATTTCAGCTCTAAATATGCAATTTTATCATAAAAATTGCTCAATATTTCACTCTTTCTTGACAAATTTTGTATTCAAACTTTTATTGCCTGATTTTGACTCTTCTACTTTTGAAGTTTACAGTCTGAAACTTTTCAATATAATTTCAATTGCTTGTGTTTGTGATATGAAGATCTGAGCATATTCAGATACATAAAACTCAAAAGTCTCGTCAACCTTTAAAGGTCAGATTTAAAATTATGTATTTTTAGTCTTTTTACCCCCGCGATTTCTTAATTTTATTTTCTTTATATATTTTAAGAAATTTAAAGAAAAGGAAACGAATTAAAGTTACTTATTTCAAATTTTTGAAATTTTGGCACCAGAAAATGACCAAAAGGTCTTCTTGGTAAATTATTTTATAATTTCAATCTTTACTTGCTCAGAGTTTTCACAATTATTTTCAAAAATTCAACCACGATTCAAATTTCGCAGGTCATCTTGCTGTCCAACTCGACGAACGCGATCGGGTACACCAACTTCATCATCCTGCTGCCGGCGTACGCCATCAGCCTGGGGTGCGACAAGGAGAGCGCGTCGCTGCTCCTGTCTTTGGTGGCCGCGCTGGACCTGGTGGGGCGCATCGGCGGCTCGGCGCTCTCGGACCTGCACTTCATGCCGCGCAAGTACTACTACATCGGGGGGCTGTTCCTGTCCGGCCTCATCCTGACCGTGATGCCGCTGATGGCCGCCGCCGGCTTCACCTACCTGGCCGTCGCCTGCGCCATCTTCGGCCTCGGCTCGGGCACCTACGTTGGCGTCACGGCCGTCCTGTTTGCGGACATGCTGGGCGCCGAGCGCCTCGCCTCCTCCTTCGGCATCTCCCTCTTCTTGAACGGGGTGCTCCAGCTTCTGGGCCCACCTGTCTGCGGCTACGTCCTCCAGCGCCTCGGCAACTACTCGGCCATCTTCTCCACCTTGGGGGTGGTTTTGCTCATCGGCGCCGCCATGTGGGGTCTCATCCCCCTCATCGAGCGCAAAAGACAGAGGGAAAGTGAGCAGGCCACCGTTTGAACATTTTGAACGCTGATTTAAAGTGGATGTCAGCAAAAGCACGAGGGTACTTTTGGACCAATCTGTTAGCTTTGTTTGTTTAATTAATTAATTCGTTCTGAGGAAAACCATTCAAAAAGAGGTATGTTTTTTAGGCCCAAAAATTTACTGCTCAAATCCTGTATTCAATTTTTTAAATAAGGCAAAATCTGAAGACAAATGGACTGCTTTCAGTTTTCTATAAAAGCATTCCTAAAAAATTCAGAGTAAAAATCGTTTGAAGCTTGATAAAATTGAAAAACATACCTTTTTCCAAAGAATTATATATATTATATTTCATTGGATAATTATTATTGCGTGTCCCTCAATCCACTTGGAATATATTCATGTGCCCTAATTGAATTTTGCTAGGAGTTTTAAGTGAAACTCTTTGTGCGCCGAAACAGGCCATTTTTTCCATTGAGCTTGAAAATATTGCAATTTTAATCATCTCTCCCTCTCTCTGGATTTCATTAGACTTCATGAAATTAAACGATTTTGCTTCTTTGTCATTATTATTACGTTGTCTTTTGACAGAAATATATTTTATAATATACACAGAGCGCGTGGAAACTTTATCATCAGCGTAGGCGCTGCTCCAGCTTATTAAAGTTGGACGAAATGGGAAAATACGAGTGCAATAATGTTCAATTACATAAGTGAGCGGAAGACAGAGCATCATGATGTATCTCAGGATTATAGTACGTAGTGAGACTTAAAAATTTTTGCGCGTTTTCGACTTAGGCTGTGTTCAATTTAATGCAGTCGCTGCTCCGCCGCGTTTTCGGTGCCGCCCCATTAAATAATAATTTCACCGGCAAGGCTCGGAACTGGATTTTAGCAAATAGTTTTTGTCCCTAAACGTAGATTTTATAATATTATATACTTGTCCCCACAGTAAGACTTCCAGTTCCCAAAGCCTAAAAAGATAATTTTTGCAGCATTTTCTGTGAAAGTGCATAAAAAATCGGACAATTTTTTCCCCTTTTCTTATAAACACAGTCATTGTCCGTCCAGGAAAATATGGCTAGAGAGTAAATAACTTGCGGAGCAAGTTTATACATAGTTAGACCACTTTTTGAGATGACTAACGTGTTGCATTTATCGATTTATCTATATTGAACCTTTTTATTCTTCGCAAAGGGCACTTGAATTCGTAAAAGAGCATCGACTGCAAGGAAGAAAAGAGCAGGATTGATTATTTGAGCGGAATTATACAAATTGTGATCTGAATCAAGAAGCAAAAGATGACGTAAAAAAAGAGTATTTTTACTATTCACATTACTAAAAGTAATATGTACGAGAGTGAGTGTGCGACGACGGATGCTGACATTTGTTTTCCGTGTCTTTGAACTGACAATATTTATACATATATAAAAAATAAATTCAAAGAGTGGAGATTCACCCTGCTGCAAAGTATATATATGTATAAGGGCGCTTCTTTGTGTAAATAAATATGTATGCATAAAATAAAAATAAAAATGTAGAGCATAAGTGCAAGAAAAGCATTCATCTTCTTCGCGTACATTTCATTGTCAAGAAACTGATTAATGGAGGCGAACTCGGTCGCCTCTCATTTCATCCCTCTTGCGAGAGAAGACTTTGTCACCTCAAATTTGTAAAATATTATATCTGATAAAAAAAATGTATACCCATTGTATGTATATCAATTTATGAAGATTTTCGTGGGAGGAATTTCTCTCAAGTCCTCAGTTTTATTTCAGTGCACAACCTGCTATGTGATTTTTACGATTGTAAAAAAAGGTTTAAAAATATTTCAACGTAGGTAGAATTATAAGAAATAAGATTTGTGTAAATAAAAAATACTTGTTTTGTATAAAATCCATGAGAATCACGTCCAACATGATCCTAGTTTTACTTCAATATTTTCCTTTGTTATGATATCATGAGACTTTTCACTCCCATTAGTTCTGAGAGTTTCAACCAACTGCTATTGAAAACTTCTCATTCTATTGAAACAAAAAACCTCCTGCTTTGAATTATTATTTCTCTGAAAAGGAAATCTGAATGTAGATTCGAATTGGAAATATCAATAGGTCGGCAAACTTTGAGCGGAGGAAAAATTCAAAGAAATAAAATAATTCATTCCTTGTGTTTATTTTTGCGAACTTAATTTCACTTGAACTAAACGCCTAGAGCTCGTTTGTCTGGAGTTTCACATTGTTGTTCCAAATTGTGACGCACGCGGCCCTGTTTTTTTTATTGGTTGGCGCGGGATTTCCGAGGACTGAGGCGATGAACCGGTCCCACAGAATGGCCCACGCTTCCAGGGCGCACGTCTTCTCGTCGGCGGGCATCGAGCTGTACCTGCGATGCAATTATCAACGGGTTATTTATTATTTATTATTATTATGATATCGCGATTACATAATCCGCCGAGGTGCATTCAAGGCACGGTTCACCAAGATTAATACTTCAATAATAATTTGAGAAGATAAATATAAAAAATATACATGCAAGGCTTCTCTGTTAAAAACTTTCCCATCTGGGGAGAAAAATTGTGCAGGTCTTCTTCGAAAAAGTTTTCAAGCATAATTCCATTATGGCAAAATAAAAAACCGAACTGACCTTTTGATTCTTCGATCCCCACTGGAATTTCATTCAATTTCTGCTCAATTAAAACCCTTTTATAGTAAACCGCAAATGAAATCGACTTGCTAAAAATATTTCTGCAACCCGCAGTTCACATACGTCGAGCAGTTTTGTTGCCTTTTTTGACACTCACTGCAGGGAATTGATGGCGAGCTGTTTTAGGAAGCGCAGGTCGGCGTCTTTGCTCGCGATGCCCATGAACATCTGATAGAAGTCGTAGCTGAGGCCCTTGGCGCCCCAAAACGAGGGGTCGTCGCACGAAACGACCACTGGGAAGTCCTCCGCCAGCAGAGTTGACACGGGGTGGTTTCGCAAGTCCTCCACCAGTTTCAGAACCTGTGAGATTTTTCTAGATTTGAACTAACTCACGATTGCCAGAAATTAATTGAATACAAATAATAATTATTTTACATTCTACTAAATTGTTTGCAACCCCTCCAGTTTTGTCAATTTTCTTATCTAACTTGAAATAAAACTTTGAATATCCTTAATTTGTGAAGCTATGAGTCGATTGTTATATGGAAGGATGATTTTTAAGCAAATTCATAATTAATTTATAAAATACAATTTTATGTGTATTACGCACAGATAATTATATAATTTATTCTATTTATTTAAGGATTATTGCACTTTTTTGAATTGGTTAATTTATCTTATAATGAAAATTACACATAAATAATCCATGGTTTGCGGGGCTAAGCTGAGGGGAATGACGATAAGCGCGTTAATTTTTTTTATCACGCTATTGATTTTGCCCTGTTGCTGATCAAGAATAGCTAACGCTCGCAGGCGTCACTGGAGATCGTAAAAAGAGGCATTAATTGACGCCTTCGACGTTTGGTAAGACCCAGAATTAGCTGCGGAAAAGTTGCCCATTAGGTCGTCGCAAATTGGTCAATTTACCCGCTGCCGAGAATTTATATTTCACCGGATCTGGTAATTCGGAATTAAAAAAAAAAAAAAAAAAAAAAACCAGAACAATTGATTAATATCCGGCATTGGAATTTTTATTTTGCGACTTTTGTTGTTTGCGCCACGTTAAGAGATAAGAAGCTATTTAATCTTGTTCATCTACCTGATTAGAAATTGGGTTCACTTCAATCGCAACTCCTTTTTCAGCGGCCAATCGTTTGGCCGCAGGATGCTTGCTGATGGCAAAACCGTGGCCAATTCTGGTCGTGTTGAGAAGCAATGCGTCGATAATGTTCAAATCTGTTTCTCCCTGCCAATCTAAAAAAAATAAGACAAATAAATTATTTGTTCTGTTCTGATGTTTTTAGATTATTCAACTGGTGTGTAGTTCAATAAAAAGAAGAAAAAAAACAGAATTTTTTCTTTTTGGAATTCAATGTTAGTAAATTTTTTTAATTCATGGCAGAACAGAAGCCAAAGCACTCAATATTTCTTATCTTTTAATTCTTATAAAAAAAATCATAAATTTCATATTGACGAAAACAAAATTTTAATTTACTGCAGATTATTTCATAAAAACAGTTAAAAAAAAAAAAACATTGAAAAACGGATCTAAAAATTGCAACGTTTTAAAACAGTCCAAAGTATTTTTTGTGAAAAATTAATTAAAGATCGTAATTTCTTATAATTTTTAAATTTGTATGACATAAATCGTCAAGATCTATTGTCGTTATTAATTTTTAGAAAAATTGGAAAGATCAAAAAGACTTTTTTTCAGTGGGTCTTAAAAAAATTTGCTTTTTCAATAAAGATAGCAAATGTCAAGCGAGGAAAAAGACTTTTTTCATCTCACAAAGTTGTTTTTCTCTGAAAAAATAATTTTCCAAATTTTCTTACTAGTTTCTCCGGCGTGGAAGAAAAATTTGACGTCTGGGACCTGCGCCCTTAGGTCGAACATTTGGTTGATGAACTCGACCAAGGGTCTGCCCTTGTCCTCCTGGCCGACCAGGTCGAAACCCGCCAGGTAGTTGGGGTGCGCCCTGATGAGCGCTTCGGCCGTCTGCACGTACGTGTCGACGGTCGCATTGTCCACGTTCCTGGTCGGCGCGTAAATGAACCGCGAGCCGAACCACTCGCCCGGCACCTGTTGGCCGCTGAACTCAGCGTTCGCCTCCGCGTACAGCGTCGCCACTTGCATCGTGTCCAAAGTGCTGCCGTCCAAATTGTACGTCTGTCAACGAAAAAAAGGTAAAAAAATTCCCTCCTTTCAATACAACAATATTTAAGTTTCGATGTGTGAAAAGAGAAATTTGCAAATTTAATATTTTTTCAAATCCAATTTTTTGTTAGGTGCTTTTTGGGTGATACTTTTTCCATTTAATTATCGTTATTGTTTATTCTTCGTTTTCTTCCTAAATCAAGTCAATAATTAAAGAGAAGAAACTCTAATTTGAAATTTAAAAAAAAAGCAGAAAGTTAAGATTTAAAAAAAATTTAATATTAATTATAATGTATGTGATTAATAATTAATCAAGTGTGTATCAAAGGCTGCGCATCCCAAAATTATGTTGGTACACGGCTGCCGTCAGAGCCATGGGGCCTTATGGCTCGGGCGGAAGACATCTTTTTTTTGGCCAACATAATAGAGCTGATGCGCGGCCTTTGGTGTGTATATCAAATAAGGGGTTCCTTGAATAATTTAAAATATCAAAACCACCTTATTTTCATGTAATTTATAATTATTTGCATAAATGGCGATGAAAGTAAAACATGTTGGGGAAATTTTGAATTTACTCACTGGCAACATCAGCCCCCTGAGTTCGAGGTACTGCACGTTGTCGTCTTTGAGCTCCCGCAGCGTTTGCGTGAAATAATCCCTAAAAACGGGCGTGTGCGACAACAGGCCTCCGGTGACGTCAAACAATTTGGAAAAATACTCCCAGGCCACGTTGACGTTCGGGTACCGAGCTACATTCGCAAAGACAAAAGTTACTCAACTTGATCAAATTTTACGTCTCAGTGTGTAACTTTGTTGATGTCCCTCCGTAAATGAAAACACATAAAGAAACATTAAAGTTTATTATTTCCCGGTTTTCACACCCACGACCTGTTCTGAACTATCTGTACCAAAATCCATCTATTATTATATTTTTACATTAGTTTGGTTTCGTCTTCATAATTTTTATATATATATTTTTTTATTTAGTTGTTTGTTTAATTTTTACTTTAATTAAATGCATACTTGTTGGGTCAGGGGTGACCAGTGAAAGGAAGTGCTCGAACCAGGGGTCAACTTCGGTGGGGTTGGTGGTGCGCAGGGTGGCGACCGAGATCCAGGCGCCGTCAGGGCAGGTGTTGGCCGCCGGCACGGATGGAGCAAAAATCATTTTGAGCAGGTCGAGTTCCATCGGAGGCGTGGGTTGTGACGTGCTGACCTTTGTGCAGGCCCACAGGTCACTCCTCATGGTTGCGTTCTTGATGAGCCACTCGGTGCCCACCATGCCTGTGTCGTGGCCGTGGAGAGCTGCACCTGTTTTTCAATTCAGAACAAATAAACAATTTAAAATTTAAATAATTATTGGACAAAATTTTATCAATGTGATGTTTTTATTTCGATTTTTTTTCAATTCAATGCTTTTAAAGATTAATTCTACATAGTATTATTAATAGTTTTATTTATTTCTCAAAAATTTTTTCTTACTTTTAGCTCATATTAATTAATTAAGTAAATAATAATTTGGTTATAACAACAAATTGCTTTTAGAGAAATTATAGTTAAATTTTTAAATATAAGAACGCAATTTTCAGTTCCTATTTATTTATTTTTTTTTAAATTGCCAGAACGTTTTTACATTCTTCATGGTAATGGTAATGAAAATAAAGTGGAAATACAAAATTATTTCTGTATAGTCTAGAAAATTAATTATTTAAACAATACGTTTTATGAAGAAAATCAAAATTTTATAAATAAATTACTAGTTAAAAAAAATATTACCAGAAAAAAATTGTAAAATTGCTGAACATAATATGTATATGTCTTAAAAAGAATTGATCCTTTGACCTTTCGTCCCAATCTTAATTTAAATTTTTTCATTGTATTCTACAAAGGAGAATTTTGTTTTTGCTCAAACAAGGGAATTTATTGTGTTTCTCGCAGCCGAGTCATTGATTGACTTATCCACCTTTTTGTCGCGAAGCTCGTCGTGGAAATCAAATTGTATCGCAATCTTGAGTTCTCGCGGCGCAAAAAGTCTCATCCGCCTGTTTCTCGCTTCCCGGCCATAATCTCATTATTATTTAGCGCAGCAAATCCGCAAAAATCAATCGTCGCGCTTAGCCGCTCGTTTCTATTGAGCCTTACCTTTGGGCATTAGTTTTATGAGGCGGAAAACTTCCGAGCTCTCGATGTCGGCCTTCGCGTCGAAGAAGTGGCGCGCGGGAGGAAAGCACATTTGGTCAAAGCAGTTCTCGTAAATTTGTCTCTTGGCCACCATCAGAAGGTCGTTGACTCGCTGCTCATCTGCGGTCAGGACAATCCTGAGTGCGATACAAACAAAATCCTCAAAAATATTTATACAATCACAACTTTTCGTCTAGAAACTCTGACATAATTTTTTTTTTTATTATTATTATTGTTATCTCTGTAAGCTGGTTTTTAAGCTGGTGACTGACTCCTTTGCTTAATTAATTTCTGCAATTTTTGTTTATTAAAATTAAATTTTTTCAATTTAATTTTAAATTTTTATGAATTCCTCCCTCCCACTAAGTTTTAGTTGGGACAAGACAAAACCGTACGTTTTTAAAGTACCAGCAGACCGCAGGTCACCTTTTTGTGGTCATTTTATCTTTTGCAACGAGGTTCGCCCGGTTTCAATTTTCTATCTTTTTAAGTTTCTTTTATTTTGAAATTTTAATTCATAAAGGAGAAAGGAACTCTCCCCTGACATTTGACAAAAAAAAAAGAATATTTGTAGTTCCGTTTGAATTTTGTTTTCATTTTGGATTAAATTCAGTAGTTTTATTATTTTACGTAGGCGCAGCAACTGCAGCAGCAGGGAATAAAACGGGTGACTAATTGTAAATAATTAGGAGGGAGTTAATGTTGTAATGTGATATGCGTGTTCTAAATTATCCTGCTTCAACTTTAAAATATTACTCAAAAAATTATATTAGTCATGGTTTAAACATGATGAAATTCATTACATCTGCTGTTAGCGTTATGTTTAAAAATATTTTATGTTATTAAAAAAATTCAAACTAGAAGATGCTTTTAAGTGTCAAGATTTCTGTTCAGTATCAACAATGAACAATGTATTTTCACTTGAAATTTAAATTAATAATTGCAAACACATTTTGAGGTAGATTTATTTAACATAATATTGTTTCATTGGAGAAGAAAGATGAAATTTCCATGAAATAGAAATACGAAAATTCTTTCGCCTGAATCGATTTGTTGGGTCCAAGCTTATATTTATACCTCTATAGCCTTTTACTACTGAAAAAATATCAACTTTCGCATTTCAAAAAGGATTTATGATGGGATTTACATGAAATATTGGCCTGGAGGTTCAATTTCAATATAGTTGAGTGTAAAAATCACACTTTTAATCCCCTTGTTTGAATTAAAACATCGACTTGCTTTGATATTTTAACCGAAATAAATTTCAGCAACTCTTTATAGATTTAATCATGATACAAGAAAAATGTGGACTTTGAAGCTTAAAAACAATCAATTAATTTAAGGAAATAAATCTTTATGTGAAAATAAATTGTACTTTCATAAGATTGAGTAATAGAGTTCATAGTAATTAAAATGATTTATTTTAACCGTCGGTCCAAAGCATTGACGGCTCCTATGAACCTTGAACTTCAGAAATATTCAAACCACGCTCAATGTCATGCCGCTGATAAGTTTTGAGAATAATAATGCCGTCTTTCCGGTTTCAACTACATCAAAAACACCGATATCATTATAGAAGATTATGTAGAAAAAAAAATAGAAATTTATATTTGTGATAACTCTTCATTTATTTAATTAGCAATCAACTTTATTAATTACCCTTAAATTTGCAAAATAAGAATTAAAAAAATAAATAAATAAAAATTGGTACTTTGATCCAAGGTAGGTGGCAGAATCCTCCTGGAGAAAGGCGGCCCTGTCGATCCAGTACTGGTCCAGTTGGGCCGACGAGGCGGCCGCGGCGGCCGCGAGTACAAACAGAACCGCTCGCATGGCTAATCTTAAGGCGACTGCATTTTTTCCTCCTTTTAAACACGCGCGACGCCACTGCTGCGGTATCGTAAAAAATACCCTTGAGATGATGATAAGGAGCCGCGACACGAGTTTGGCGAGATTCAAACCAAGACCTTTCGAGTGGCATTTCTTACTCGCGACATTTGAGGTTTATTTTGGGTCCGCAGCGACTTATCAAAGGTTTTGTTTGCATAGATTGTGTTTAAATTCAATGTTCCCCTCCTAACCACACTTCTCCATTTTCAATTGTGATTTTTTTATTGTCAAAACACTCCAATTAAAAAAAAATTTACTCGAACTAAACTGGTGGTACTCATGCTTGTTGATAAAAACATATTTATGCCATTATTTATTCCTGGTCAACATGACCTATCAGAAACGCAATAATCGCTTCGTGCTGCGATTAATTTTCATTTCAGCACGTTCGTTTGTTTTTGCGTCAATTAGCCACGCAAACGAATCATTCAGCGGTAATGTTTTATATTTGCAAACACCATGTTAATAATTTAAAAAACAAAAAAACAATTAATTATTATTTTCATTTTGACTCATTTATATGTTTGTTGATCACCAATCCACACAATGTTAGGAATTGTTTTCAATCTGTGATCTTTTTTTGTTTGAAAATAGTTCAGAATATGAGTTGTATTATTTCATAAAATTAATAATTTTACATAACTTTTCAACCCTCGGCGTAATAAATACTTCAAGTTATATTGTAAAACTCTATTGAAAAAAATTTATAATTTTAAACAAATAAATAAATTTTATAGCATTAGAGTAGAAGTAGCAAAAAATTTATGCAATTTTTGAAATAATTTATTAATTCTTATGAAATGTAATAAAAAAAAATACAATTAACCTATTAAATTTTTAAATAATAAAAAACACTTTTAAATTTTGTTATTCAAAGAAGTTTGTTTTTAAAATTGTAAAAAATAAAATACTCAATCTAAAATAAAAGACTAGGCTCTTTCATTTTGGATTTTTTTGTGTATTAAAATTTTCGTGTTAAAATTAAAAAAATTTGTCTATCATGCGCAAACCTTAATATGTTATGTAATGTATAATTATACCTTGTGCCTAATTATTTTATTAGTTCTGAAACGGTGACTTTGGAAATCAAATTTCAATTGCATTTAATTTCATTTTGAAATAATTAGCTCTTATTTTTTTTCAGAAAAACAAAATTGAACTTGTGAAGGAAATGCCGAATTTGAATTAAATTATTGTCAATTCTTCTATGTACAAAATTATTTATTTTATTGAATATATTAATTTTATTATTTAGTAATAATTGAAAATTAGTAAATTGATGTTTGCAAAATTGAAATGCTGCTGCTGTCGATTTAAAAATTTTTGTATCTTTAATACATGAATTTAACCAATTTATTAAAAATAATACTAAAAACTGAAACTGGGGGGGAAATAATATCATAAAATTTATAAATTTACCCAAAAAATATTTGCTATCCATGTTACAATTTATTTATTAAAAAAAAAGCCTATTTCCTTTTCAAATTGTGATTTGGACCAAATAAAAGTCATTGAAAAATTCACTGTAGCTACCTTGAGACGATTATTTTATTTGGCATAGGAGATCAAGTTCTTAAAATACAGTAACACATGTTCTAACAAAAAGTGGTCACACAACGGATGTGAAGTAGTCGGAAAAAGGTGTACATGTTAAATGAGAAAGAGAGTAGGAGGTTGCATAAGAGCTGGGCTACTTCCGTCTGCGTCCGAACCTGAGGAACATGTGATTGTTGTCCTGTCTCTTGATGGTTTCCCAGGCGGACGGCTCCTGCAAATACCGGTCTTGTCGCGGAATTGCTGGCGGCTCTAGGGGCTCCAGTTCTGCTGAAACAAAATCGCCGGAAATGAAAAGAGCTTCTGGAAAAAGGACCGGCGCAGGGAAATTACAATTTTTTAACTGTAAAAAGTTCTTTCGTCAGAGATGAAGAAAATGTGATTTTTTCTGACGAAAAGTGAGGCATATTTTAATGAATGGAGAAGAAAGGCGGCGTTACGAAAACGCAACTCGTTAAAAACGAGAATCTTTTGAAGTCTTTTCTTTCATTCACGTAGGAAAAAAAATTGTTGTAGGTCACCGAGCAAGTAATTAACTGGAATTTATCGCTGCGACGTTGAAAAATATCGAATATAGTTCAAAGGGCAGCTGCTTATACATTTGTGTATAAATTAAAGCGGAGGTTGAAATTTTCCTTTTGGGTGGAGAGAGCGCGAAATTGGTATTATAGGCATGTGAGTTTCCAGGCTTTCGAGCAGGATTATGTGTTTTGCGCTTCCTACGCAAATACATTTTTCCGCAACACACACGTGCCAAGTGGAAGCAAACGTGACCAACAAAAAGTTTTTATTTTTCCCCCAAGTATTTTGCCCTGTTTACGCGGCTGGATGTTTTTGGTCCGGAGATGTGTGAAACAAATAATAAAAACGAACAGATTAATTAATCCGCAGCGGCAATCATAATTTCTATGGAGTTTTTCAGTCAAAAAAGTTAATCTACAGTTACATTTAATCAGCATGCTTCTGTCTTCATAAAAAAATTCTGTGCTGAACGTTAATCGCAATTGTTGGTTCACAGTCTTTACACATTAATGGGAGGATTATTCTTAATTTACTTGATGTTTAATTATTTTGCATAATAAATAATAATGTTCTTGAAATATTTGTTTGATTTAGATAAATAATTCAAAGAACTTATATTTTACGTTAGTTCAGTTTGATTAAGATTTAATAAATTTTCGTTCTAAAAGTCACTTCACATTTTAATGATTTTAAGCCATAGAGGCTAGTTTAATTGAATGAAAATGGTATACATAAAACTTAAGAAATTTCCAGACTCCTTTTAATTTAGAAATTGACTTTAGTAGAAGAAGCTGAAAATTTTTTGAGTGGGCTCATATTCTTTTCGACTGGTTTTTATTTAAAGCCATTATGTTTAATGGTGCGTACTTAATTTCGCCATCACCAGACGTAGTTAGTTGAGTACGTTATGATGCAATTATGGATAAAAAAAAGTTTCGCTATTAGGACAAATTATGTGCTCGCGTAATAAAAGTAGTGAGCAGACACGTCAGCGGAAATATGACAGGGGTTAAAAGGTTTTCGGTATAAATTCATTACTTGTATTTTTCGTCCCACATGGGCTGCATTTTCTCCAAATATGACGAAAGGATATGAGTGCAGTTGTGTCTCCTTTTTCAATTTGCAAAAGTTTTACGCGTACGTGAAAAAGTAGAAAAAGTTGTGCGGAAAAGCATCAAGTCTCATCAATTATTCAAAATGACGCTCCGATCCACCCGAGTATGATATTTATTTAAAGTGCTCCTGCGTGCAAAGTGGAGAAAATGATAAAATTTCACGACGAATTGCTTTTGCAGAGATTCAACAGAAATTTCGTTTCTATTTCCTTGTGTAGAGAAAGGAGATCGCGAAGCAGTTTTGTATTTTCTCTCCCCTTGACTGGATACGCTGGGCAAACAAACCCCTCTTGCGCGATTCAAATTCATTTCCTTCACCGCTCGGAAATAAACATGTGGAAAAATAAGTGTGTGCATATGCAGGTATATTATTATACGTGAAGGAGAGATTGATTTTTGTGCCAGGAAAATTAATATTTATTCAGGGCTGCGAATTAATGAGGCGCGCAGGATGCATCGCGCGCGCGACAGATTTATGGCACACGCGCTCCTCTCCAAATTAATGTCGGTAAATTTTATAATATTTTTTAAATGCTGACACGTTGAGCCCGACCCAAAGACAAGCACCCTGCTTAAATTTTCGCCACGTGTTTTGACTTTCGCGATACAAATTGAAAGTTACTGTTTTTGCACCGCAACTTTTCACACGCGGGATGGAATGAAATTTAAAAGTTTGCTCGCGGAGATAAGAAGACGCATTCATCATGTTTTGGTACTGATTTGCGCGAGATGCAAAGTCATGTTTGTTTGCTTCAATTTCACTTTTGATTAAAATCGCGTTTGACAAAACAATGACTTCGCGCTGTTGAAAGATTCGCGCGTATTTGAACTTTTAATGCAAAAGTTTATCAGTGAATTTCGTTATAGAAAAATAGTAATTTACCAGTTTCAAGTTGGGATTGATCAATTTTCATTTCTCCTTAAATAACACAAAATGAAGAAATGAATAAAAATGAATTTTTTTTAAATATTCATTGATATTAAGAAAGTGAATTAATAACTAAGAAATTAAAAATTATGAGTAACAATTTGATTGAAATAGATTAAACAATTTTCCATTAGAAAATAAATTCCGTTCCAGTTCCATTCATGAGCAAAAGTAGCATCATCATTAAAATAGTGTAAATATCGAATTGTTCAAAACGTTTTACATAAAACAAATCATTTTCCTCACCTCCGTCTGATGGAAATCTTCTGGGCAATCTGAATACTTGCTGAGCAGGCGCTGAAACAAAGTAATAATTTTTTTCAGTATTAATATCTATTCTATTGTAAATATTCGTTAGCAAAGGGCAGGATATTTGAAAAATAACGAGTAACTTCAAATTCGTGGGCCCTTTTGTTTTGCGCTAAAAATAAGCAGGAGAGAGTGAAGTTTTACTGCCCCTCAAAATGCAAAAACCCACGCCGAGTATAGCATTAAGTTGAAAGACTTGCAAATAAACTATTTTTTCTCTACTTAAATTTTTTTGTGTGCGTCTTTTTTTGTGGAATTTTTGTGTAGATTAGTGTGGGAAGTGTCTCATGATTATCATTAAATTCATTTTTATATTAATTGGTAATATGAATGTAATGTTTGTATTATTTTAAATATTTATTTATAAATATTAATTTAAATTTTGTCTCAGCATATTAAAATTAACATACCTGTTTAGTTTGTTTGATCGTTTGATTACATATTTAATCACGGAATGAAATTTCTCATTAATTTGATTGGGCGTTAACAGAATTATCAACAAATATTTACGTAATCGTTCTAAATAACATTATGAGGAACAGAGTGGATGTGGCGGTGTAACTTTGCTATGCGCGCCACTTTGGTCAATTTTTGTTGAGGGAAATACGCGGTTTGAAGATTTGGCTGATAAACGAGAGTGGACGCACTTTGCAGGCGTGACATTCAAACAAAGCGACACACGGTGGGTGTAATTTCCAGGATTTTAATTATGCGCGCGAGGGTGAATTTAGAGCGTGCGGTTTCATTGTCACTCGACTCCAATTGAATGAAAGGAGGATTGCGTCAAAACACACAAACGCAAAAGTCAGATTTAATTACCGCCCCAAAACTTGCAATCGCACCGAAAGAGAAACTTGCTTCGAATATAGAATTACTCGCATTGATCTGAAGCATCAAGTTTGTTTGCGTTTGCCTATTGTTCCAACAAAACCCACAAAGCAAATTATAGGAAAAAGGTCAAAACTTGTTCTTAAACTATTATGTTCATGCAGAAGTTCTCTCAACTAAATTACAAACAAAAATGCTAAATGTAATTTCTGCAACAAAAGCAGACTGAGCATTTCCTTTTGATAGATGTTTCAAGTGAATTTAATTAAAAAATTGCATTAATTTATTAAAACTGTCAGTAATATTTAAACTTTTGTCCATCCAATTGCAGATAATATAACTAACCAAAAAAATTATTTACATATCAAAAAAATGAAATTAATATTTTCTGCAGCACTGCGTGGAATTGATCAAAAAGAGCAGAGCAAATGAATTAATAGAAATGCATTTTATACGACTTATATTGTTTGGGCAGTGGATTTCCTTTGTTGAATCTATTTCAAGCGAGACAATTTCTTTAAGATTCCTCAAATTTTTGCCGAATTTCTCAACATTACAATTAATTTAAAAAACGGATTCAAAAATTATTTTGCGGAATAATTTGCAAAGAATGAATGTTTTGTAAAAAGTTAGTAATTTTGTTACCTCTGCGAATGACTTGGACATTTTCGTCCGAGTAGAGCCAGCTGCAGAAGCCCTTGAGAGGCGCGGGGAGGCCTTCGGGCTGGGCGCAGATAGAGCGCACGGACGCAGTGTTGGCCGAGTGGGCCACCTGAAGGAGCAGAAGTGCGCAAACGACGGCCAGCAACCAGTCCAGCGGCGAGTTCTTCATCGCGGTCGCGAGTGAGTCGACGGCGCCGCGGCCGCAGCTTTTGACGCCGACCTGGCGCATGCCCCTCGGCCGCCGCCTCCGCCACCGCCGCCTCCAGCCCCCGCACTTCCAACCCTACCTGAGGCGCGACTGCCCAGGTCACGCAGCGATTAATTGCGCGGCTCGCAAATGGTTTAATTCCGAAACTGGAATTGTGAACAATTATACAGTAAATTAATTTCAAACACTTTTCTCCTTTTGTATTGGTTTTTTTTCCTTTTTTAAGAAAAATATTCCGGCTTTTATTAATATTTTGCTTTGTAAAGCTGCAAAAATACGAAATGTGGTAGTAGTTGAAAGTCTTTGATTGTTATAAGTGCAATTTGATACTAAACTAGAGAAGATATTATTGAAAATAAATTAAAAGGTTCTTAAGAATGAGCATAAATTTAATTATTTTTATTTTTATTGTAAAATAATGTCATAAAATTGCTTTGAATACGAAAATCTATTTAGAAAATGTTTTATTTGAATTATTCAATACAGTAATAATGAATTCTATTACAAAAATAACATTATCATTTTCCCCCTCTATTTTAAGAAAATTGAATTAAATTTTTGCGCTAATTTTTTTAACTCCAACAAATATTTTAAATATTCCAGTAAAAGACGATCACTTTTTTGGTGTACCAAGTAAGGAAAATTCAACTTTTTACAGCAAATGTTGACTGCGAATAAACAAGCCGGCAAAATATAAATTTTCATTCCATTATTTTGTATGGAAAGTCTTGGATCAAAATATTTAAATATCCATCACCCTCCCAGCACCCTCCTAAATTTCTATTTTTACGTGCAAATATTATTTATTGTGCACACTTAGTCATCACTAAAATTTATGTGCAATTAAATCTCCATTCCCATTCCTTATTTGATAATAAAAACACGTTTTTGGTAATTTTAACCGGTTTAAGAAGGAAAATTTTAAATTGGAACTATTTTCATTTCATGAATACTAAATTTTTGAATTATTTCGCAACTTATGTAAATAAAGCTTAATTTTGCTTTTCTTTCTTTAATTTTAAGACGTATTAATGTAATTTTTCACGCCAATTTATGTTTATTTTTTCTTTTTGGGCTGAGATTATCTTTAAATGAACCTTGCGAGGAATAATTAATATATAATTTAATAATAAACGATAGAATAAAATTATTGAGCTACAGAATTCTGAAATTGACGGATGATGAATAGGAAGAAAATTAAATTGAAGCTTTTTACATAATTATTTGAGCTTTTGACAATTTTATAATCAAAATCAAATCAATCAGGTGCTGATCAAAAGAAGTTTGTTATATAAAGTCGGGCTAAAACGCACTTTTTGTCACGTAGAGCAATGTTTTCGCTCTTACATAACCGAAACATATTTTCCTCGATTTAATTGAAGATCAGAGAACACAACAAATCGCTTTCATTGTTTGCGATCCTCTCCTCCTCCATTATTACATTTATCTGCGCAAAAGCGCTCGTCTTTTAAATTGCCTTTCTCATGGCAGCAGCTTTAATTAATAAAATTGATTTCCTCGCATCTCTGTATACCGTGTACTAATTATATTTACAAATTGTTCGCGCATCGGACAAATTAGGCGGATTGCGAAACGCAGCGGGGAGAGGAGAATATGAGAATCCCTGTAAGAGACGCAAAACATTTATTTATTCTTTACGTAACTTTCTTTCATTCTTTCTCAGCTTTTGAGCAAAATTAAATTTTTAGTATAAAAATTTGCTTTTTTGATGGAAATTAATCGAGTTGGAGCGCTGATTAGTTTTTTAGCCACCACATTATTGCAGGTCGCCGCGACGGTCGGGCTGCTTGGAAGTGAGAGCTCCTGATTGACACGAATAAAAAATAATGAACGGTTCATTCATCACTGAGGCTGACACGTTCCCAACTCAAATTCAAAATCTGTCACTCGGAAACTGCGTCGGTCGGTACACATACATAATAATTTGCGTACCGAATTGAAAAGAAAAAAATCCAAATTTCAGTTTTTATAAAATGGAAAATAGTAGAGGGAATAATTTTGTCTGACACCACGTCATGCGTTTTCCATCTCAACATTGTTTTCATGACAATATAGATTACAAACCATAATACCCTAAATCAATGCAAAAATTCCTCATTGCATTATGATTTATTTTAATTTTCTGCAAAAGCTTTTAAATTTAAATTTTTTTCTCTTTCTTCTTTGAACTGGTTCAATTTTTTTTCTTCAAATTTCCAAGATTCTAGAACTATATTCAATGAAATTTACAAGTTTATGCATTTTTTGCATTACAAAATTATAAAAATGAATGTCCAAATATTGCAAATTTAACAATAGATGTTCAAAAATTTAAAAAGAATACATTTTCAGGCTAAAAACCTAATATATTTTAGCCTTTTAGGCAATTCATTCGAAAATATTGAATATATTTACATCTTCATTTTTGGTTGCCTAGTGTTTACCAGTTTTCCTGATGTAAGTAAAAGCCGAATCATTGCAAGCAGCACACATTTCGGAGAAAACGCTCTGGATAAACAACCAGAGAAGATATTTTTTACTCATAACAATATGTACTTGACCGATCTTTCATGAACCGCAAAAATAGTCATGTTATGGTCTAGAAGGCAAAGCGAATTTCGTCAAGGACTTTCCTTGTATGACAATTATTACAAAGCCAATTGTTTTGGGAAATTTATCTATGGCACGCACAAACAGGGAAACTCCACACGGCTGATAAAAAGGCGACAACTTTATTTTTGATTGACACGAGAGCATCAGGAACTTTCCACCTTGTTTGCTTGTCATCTCTCGAGTGCACGCTGCCTTCTGATACCGAAATGTCAGTCCAGCTAGACGAGGAGAGATTATCGCCTGCGAGCGCAAATTGATTTCGAATGGAAAATTATTCATGAGAATAAAATAAATTCAGCATGCAAATGCGTGCTTTAATATTTATTGCGAACGTGCACTGGACTCGAAGCTGCAATACCTGCTGGATTCAAAGTGACTCAAGCAGAGGAGCGAGCACATATAAAAAAATAGTACATAAATGGTTGGCGGCTGCACACACATAAGGCGCCTTCTTCAATTTTGCTCTCTTATACGCTTCACGCTCCAGTGGACACGTTTGAGCGCAAATTCTAATACCGACGAGGCCCTAAATTTCAATTAAAATCAAATCTTGGTCACAGTAATTTGCTGTAAATTGAGGAAAATCTCAAGGCATATTGTTCATCTTGCATTATGAAAGTTCAAAAATGAACCTTTGCTCCTTAATATAAGCTAATTTTTCCTCATATTCCAGAGTAATTAATTGGATGAAATACTCAAAGTCAAAAAGGAAATTTTTCTGGTGAAAATTATATTGCTTTCCATTGAAAATACATTTTCTACATAGATACAGCGCTACAATTGAATGCAAAATACTATTTTTCTCTCCCATTTACTTTTGTGCTCCTGTAGGGTTAATTTGTATTTTCTTTAAATAATGCAAATCTTACAATCTTAGAAAAAAAACTTTCTTTCAGGGTGTTGAATTAGAAATTTTGCAGATTTTTCAATTATTACTTCAATTTAATTATATCAATTCTAAACATAATAAATAAGGACAATTTTAGTGGGAATAAATCAATAATTGTTGATATTTATCAGTAAAATCTGCCAGAATTTATTAATACTCTGCTGATGTTACAGTCCAGACATATTTTATTACAAATTTTCGTCTTTTCTTACAAAACCAATAGAACAAGCGGTGAAAAGAATTCAAAATCTATTTATATCTTCTTAAAATAAAAGAGCCGGATGAGGTTGCTTTTCACAATGGCTCACAACCTATCAAGGAATTAATAAGAGTGATATGTCGGCGAAAGGGAGGCGGCCCCGAAAGCGTGTGCCGAGCATTCGGGCCAGGCTGCCTTTCGCCTCCAGCTTTCTTTCTACCACAACTCGCCGTCCTTCTCCTTGGCGGGAACTTCGATCACCCTGGGCTTGTCTATGATGCGGGCGGTGCGCGAGCCCTTCTCGACGATGCCGATGATCCACGCCTGGTAACCCTCTTGCTTTTCGATGTCCTTGCAGTAGGCGGCCGCCTGCTCCCTCGGCAGGCAGATCAACAGACCTCCCGAGGTTTCCGGCGAGTGGCCTTGAAGGAGCTGGAACATGTTTCCGCACGCCTTGGCCACGGCGGCCATCTTGGCGATCACGGGCAGGTTGTGGATGACAAAGGACACCTCGTTCTTCTGGTGCCTGGCAAGGTTCTGGGCGTGGCCCAACAAACCAAAGCCGGTCACGTCCGTGGCACCGTGGGCGTTGTATTTGTGCATCAGGCGCGCAGCTGAAAACAAACAAAAATTAGAAATTTAAAGGAAAAAAATAGCCATATTTCCAATAATCTGAATTAAGTACTTTAAAGGTGATAATTGTTCTTTATATTAGTAATTTTTAGTACAATTAATTTGTATAAGTAATTTGATTACAAATAAGAAAATATGAAACATTAACTGATGTAGATTAAGTGGCTTCAAAATTTGATAAAAATTGGTTTCAATTTTCTATTTTCAATCAAATTCATGCTAATAATTTGGGACAAAGATTTTATTTTGTGAGAAATGAATTTTTATTATTAATTTAAACCACGTTGATAACTGCAATTCTCTGACGGAATATGAAACTCCTAAAATTTAATTTCAATTTAACTACCAAACTATTTCCATCAATTTTTTATTCCTCCACTTACCAACTCTATTTAATCTAGTCATCGAGTCCATAGAGCGTTGGTAGGCCTTTCTCATATCATCCTCGGAAACAACCAACTTAATTCTATTCCACCTGTCGGCCTGGTCGAGCCAAGTGTGTCCGCTGACTGCGACCTGAGTTCCTAAAGGTTTGGTGAGCACCAGGACGTCTCCCACGACGGCATTGTCAGGCCTTGAGAAATAACAAAAATCAATTTGCTTTCATTTAAATAAAAAAAATTGTTATTGTACACTATGTATTCATTAGGCTGGCAAACCGTGGTGGCCACTCCGCCGATGGTACACCAGGGGTTGAGGACGGTTTGGCCGCCCGTGACTGTCGTGCCCGCCTCCAAGGCCGAATCCTTGAAGCCTCTCATCATCAAGGGAACCACAACGTCCCTCTCCTTCTCCGTCATTTTGGTAGACACGCCAAGGAGCATGAGCATGTTATCACACTCGGTCACTCCCATGGCAAACAGGTCACTCAAGGTGTTAGCACAAGCAATTTTGCCTGAAAAAATGCAGATTTTTTTTTTTTTTTGTAAATTATTTGAAGAAATCGATTGCTTGATTTTTTACCCATGATGTAAGGGTCGTCGACTATTGGGTAGAAGAAGTCGGTGGTCTGGACCAGGGAAAGGCCTCCGTGGCGCAGAGGGGTGACTGAAGCATCCATGCCAATTCCTATTTCCTCAAATAAAATATTAGTAAAAAATTGTTCATTCTTCCCTTCCAAAAAAACATAGAGGTTCAAAATAAATTATTTTCTTTTCATATTTTCAACCTGTGGAGGAAAATTACGACCCTGAGTGAAAAAGACATAATTTCGGTCCCTCTCATTGAGATAAGAAACTCCCGTAAATTCCGTCTCACGAAACAAGGAGACTTTAAAAACGGACATGCCCAACAGCCGAATTTCTCAAATCAAATCCGTTTTGAGCCCTTTCCAAAGGGTTTGCGACCCTGAGAACGGTAAAGGAAGGTCATTTGAGTTGAAAGTGGTGGTTTTGAGCAGCCATCGGCGTGCGAAGGGCTGCGAAATGGGGTTCGGACGGCGGGGCATTCCCATCCGCGCTGCCTGACAACAACCGAAGGACAGGTGGGTGTCGTGGTCGCGGGAGGGACACGTACCGATCCTGGGGATGGCCATGAGCATGAAGTGGGCGTCGTGGTCCTGGGCATTGTGCTCGTCTTGCTGCAGTCCCTCGAGGAGTTTCATCAGAATCTCCTGAGGGACCTTACACCCTCATCCTTTGAGATCAGCAAAACGAGTGAGTCGGAAGCTGGCGTCCAACTCGTGCGCCACAGGATCGAACGGCCGGCGGAGGGCCAACGCGTTCGGGTTGTGTCCCAACTCGAGCTGCGCGGCCGCCAGCACGTCCGAGGACACGGCGCCCTGCTGCATGGACAACATGGTGTGCGAATCCAGAAGTCGAGGACTCGTCGCGGTCGGTGTGAGGATCCGCGCAAAATGGCGTTCTCCCTTGTCTTTAAAGAGCCCGTGCAGCCGACGCAGCCGGCGTCCGAATCCGGCGCGCTCATTGGTCGACGCGCGTGGCGCCAACCGCTTAGGGAGCCACCATTGCAGCTCCCCCTTGCACTGCTCCTTCGCGCCCAACCGGCCTTCCGCTCTTGCCCTGAAAGTACCCTTTCCCCGCACCCTTCGCAAGCGGATTCACGCGATCCACCGTCGGGGCGGCCAATTTCTGTCCTCTAAGGTGTGTTTGGCGCTGATTTTGGCCGGCCGTGGCCGCAAAAAGTCCAAGTTGAAATTACTTATGAACTGCCTGTACGACCAGTTCCGTAAAATGCCAAAATCTTCTAATCTGCTCCATTTAATTTGGTTTTTTGAATTTTTTTTAGTATCAAATAATTATTTGTATAATAAAGCATATAAAAAACCTACATGATTTTGGATGACAGGAGGAAGTTTATGAAAAATTAATAAAAACAAATTGCAAATTTTCCGTTCTCCAATATTTACCATTGCAATACATATAATATATCATGACGCAAAAAAACCACCAATATTAAGGAAAATTCACAAGCAATTAATTGTGAATAATCTATGTCTTCTACTCTTTTACCATTGAGGTATATATTAGGAACAAAATATAGCAAAATAATTAAAAATGCCACGCAGATTTTTATTCGTGAAAGTTTCGCATGTGATTTGTGATTTTGTAGCTTCCAACAGTTTCCGCTAGAGGGCCAGAGCTCCCAGCAAATCTTGTTGATCTTGAACAACATCTTGAACTTTGCCTCGAAAACGTAAACATTGCCATGCTGGAAGTCAAAAGTCGGCAGAAAACATTTTTGTTTCTTTATGAAATTATTTAAGATATTTCGCGGAAATCGCAGATAGACTGCTCGTAAATTAAGTTTCCATGGAGCCCGAAAAAGTGCAGTGCCAGTTTTTTGTGTTGAAGAAGAAACGTTTGTGCAGAATGACGGTGAAAATTGGAGAAACATTTTGCGGCGAACACATTGCCCACACTAAACCTACTGAAGTATTAATAAATTTATATTTTCTCTTACAATTTTTACCCTTTACTTTATTTTCTTATGTCTGCAGACCCTTGATGGAAGTTCGGTAAGCTTGGACGAAAAGAGAGTTAGAGTTCCGTGCCCGTTCGACAGCACCCAGTAAGACGATTTGTTTATTTTCATTAAATAAAATACATTTTATTTTGCTTAGCACTTGTTTCAAAAGTCAACTGGCGAAGCACATGGCAAGATGCAACTCGAAGCCGAGCGAATCCAAGCCGGATTATATCTGTCCAGGTATCAATGCTGGCCCTGCCGAAGAAGAGGTGCCGAAAGTTCGGTTGAATGATGTTTCTGATGACGAGCTCCTGAGCTTGATCAACAGAGTTAACACTATTTACAATGGTAGATTAATTCATACAAATGTGATTCAAACAATATTCTAAAATTTAATTATTAATTTTAGATCATGTAAAAATTATAGAAAAAATAAAAGAGCATCCATCTCTGGCTGAGGAAATTAAACGTCCCGATATCGGAGCTCCAGCGCTCAAACACCTTCTGCAAAATTCAACCCTGATTTCTCTGATGGAGGACGAAAATTTGCTCAAGGACAACTCGTGCTTTGTGGAAATGGGAGCTGGAAAAGGTATAAATTATGTTTTTGCCTTGAAGTTTTAAATATATAACTAAATAAGATTTCTGGTTTTTTCTGTTTGTAGGAAAACTCACGTTTTGGATAGCCCAGGCAACTAAAACTTTGCAGAACTGCAAATACTCCCTTGTAGACATTTCCACCTGCCGACACAAAAGCGAAAACAAACTGCCACTCGAAGGAGTTTCTGCGGAAGTGATCAGAGTCCGAGCCAATGTTGCGGATTTACTTTTGGAGAAGGTGGAATTCCACGAAGGTTGCCAGTTTGTAGTTCCGGTCAGCAAACACCTTTGTGGAGCAGCAACAGGTTAAAAAAATTAAATTTTTTAACATGTAATTAAATTTTTTTATTATATTAGATTTTGCACTTCGCTGTGTTGGAAATTCAATTTCGAGTGGAATGTCCATTCAGACTGAAGGACTTGTGATGGCACTGTGTTGTCACCACCGGTGTGAGTGGCGGCATTACGTTGGAAAAGAATTTTTTAAGGTGTGGATATTTAAAAAAAAAATCAACCCTTTTTCTGATAAGTTGATATTTTTAGAGCGTCGAATTATCTCCCCGAGACTTTTCGCGCATGTGTGTTCTGGTTAGCTGGGCAACCTGCGGGACTGGAAAGAGTCGCCTGTCCGAAGAGAAATCTGCAGACCAGCAGGATCCAAATCCGCACAGAGACAGGTATGACCGACTCAAGTTGTGCCGAGAAGTTCGAGAAGAAATTGGCCGAAAGTGCAAACTTGTGATAGATCAGGGAAGGGTTGATTATTTGCAGTCTTTAGGGTTTAATAGTGAGCTGGTTTATTACGTCAAGCAGAGCATAACTCTGGAAAATGTTTGCTTGATCGGAAAGAAGAGCGTGAAAAGTTAACGAAAATATATAAATTTTATTTATCAATTGTTTTAATTAGAATAAATAAATCACAGACTGAAGCCAAAACTTTTGATCCACTTAAGTCCAACCACAGTTTCCTTTTCCGGTTTGTACTCGAGACCAATCCATTTGTCGTAACCATTTTGCTCTAACTGATTCAAGACGTACTGGTAATTTATTTCGCCATCTGAGTCCGGCTCGTGCCTGTTAGGCACTTGAGCGATTTGCACATGACCTAATCAGCTTAAATTAAGAACTTTTAATTCCGAAATTTTATTTTTATTATACCAACAAAGGGAAGTAGGTCTTTAATATTGTGAGCCAAATTTCCCTTGAGCTGCTGCAAATGGAAAAGGTCCATCATGATCCTCAAGTTCGGAGAGTTGACGGATTTGACCAAACTCAGAGCTGGAAAATTTAAATTTAGAATTTTGCGGATTGACAAAATCAAATAAAACCTTTGTCGTAGCTGTTCATGAAGTAATGGGGCACGCTGCGGTTGTTGATTGGCTCAATCAAGCCAACAATGTTGTTCTGGGCGAGCACGGAGGTTGCAAATTTTATATTTTGCTCGTAGGTGCTCCAGTTCTCTTCAGAAGGACTTTCAACTTTGCCGGACATTATGTGAATCCTGATTTATTCAGTATTTTATAGACAAATATCATTAAATTTTAGAGAAAAAAAATCAACCTGTTGCATTTGAGGGCATTGGCGTAATCAACAGCCAGCTGCAGACTTTTCTTTAAGTCCTCCTCTTTGCCGGGCAAAGCTGCCGTTCCCAAATCACCCTTTGTCACGTCACCTTTTAAGAAAAAGAAAAACTAGTTTTTATTACTTATATTCTAAATAAATTGTTTGCAACCCGTACCGACGTGAATGTTGATGAGCGCCTGCTGGACGCCGGCCGCTTCTTTTGCGGCCACAACTTCCTCCAAAGGGTGGTCGTACGGAAAGGCGCACTCGACGGTTTTGAACCCCGCCTTGGCCGCCAGGGCGTATCGCTCCAGCAGAGACGAACTCTCTTGGAACATGAAAGACAGATTCGCGCAAAACTTCAAACCAGACATTTTTCGAAAACTGGTCCAGACGACTAAATAAAAATAATCAGATGCTTCTCTTTATCTTCGGAGCAGCTGCTGGGTGTGTCGACGGGCGCTGCAAAAGCTTCAAGTTCAAAAGTTTTCCATTTTTTTGAATTTTTTTTTTCAAACCAAGTTGAGTTACGTTCGGTGATAAAACCGCCACAATAAATTATGCAAATTGATTCGCTGACTTTGCGATTTGCGTCACGAATGGTTTATAATTTATAATAGAAGGATAAGCGCGCGCGAGCAGTGAAAGTGAATTATAGCGCGACGCAGATCTGTTCATGTTTTGTAGACCAGGGTATTTGACCCAGTAAACAAGGCGCAAGTGATTTCTTGAAATTGAAAAGCAGTTTACCAACCAAGCGCTCCGAATACTTCACTCAAAAGTCAAAAGTTATATTCTTTATTGATCATATTCATCAAAATAAATTTAAAATAAATATTTTTTATTTATTTAATTTATAAATTAATAATTTTAAGAAAAAAAATACTTTTTACATTCATTTATTTACTTCTCTCATTTTGTTATTGTTAATTATACTCATTTTTTGTAACTCAATGAACCGCAATTTAATGTCAATAAGTTGAATGGCCTCTTTTGAATTTAACTGTTCAACTTAATTTTTTATTCTTCCCATTTAAATGCTTCAGCCTGATTGAACCCTAGGGCAAGATTTTCTACATTTCTGTCAAGAGTCCATTAGTCAGAATGAGCTTGTCGAAATAAACTGAATAGAAAAAAAATTGCAGAGGTGGAGACGGAAGCGTGATTATTTTATATTGCACGCCATCACAACCTAATTCCTGGGTGACTTGCGAATTTTTTTTTAGCGTGCGAATTATAATGGGAGAAAATTATGTTCCGTCACATTGAGCTCATCCTTGTTGGAACTTCTTTTCATTAGCAACACTTCTTTTGTGCCAAATCAAATTGAGTGTGCAGAATTCTTGTTCAAATGAGAAGAGTGCGAAGGTTACTCACTTTGAAAAACAATAATTTTTCTGCTTATCTATTAAAAGAAATTATTATAATTTTTGTTTGCACTGATTGCTGTAATGAAAATGTACATGCGTAATAGAAATAGAAGGAGAGACTTCTTCCTATTGACTAATGTGAATTAATGTCAAATGTTGTCACGAAAATGTAATAAAATTTGCCGAACCCACTGGTTCAGTAATTTTTCTTAATGTATGAATAATTGAATTGCAAATTCACATTATGCGGTTTTCAACTTTGCCTGAAATAAAATGAACAAATTATGAATAATAAAATTATGTGTGCAGTGTTATTGAATAACATGGCAAATTTGTGCGGCCCCTTCTCCTCGTCTCGTCGCACTCTGCTGCCCGGGATTGTGAGATGATTTGGGAGCCGCCGCAGGTCCACCTCTATTGTTGTCCCTTATTCTGCACTTGTGCGGCGCGCGTCTCGCAACGTGAGCGTCCTTTTGCATAACACGCATTAATTCCCGGCACGAAGAGTAAGTTTTTCTTTCTGAACTGGCAGTATTTGTATAAATGCACGAGGGGATTATTATTGGTGAACAAACTTTTGATAAGAAAAGGGACGCACGCGGCCGCGACTGCTTGTTTTAACACCTCTCAAGTAGAAAATTAGTGTTGTTAGAGCAAGAAGTGTCGCAAAGTGCAGGAAATACCAGATCGTCACTCACTTCATTTGCCACAAGTAATAATTTTTCCCTCGACAAATAAGAAAGAAAATATTTCAGATTGCGCAATGAATCAGTCCGCCGGCCTGCTAATTACTTCACTCCTCGCAATATCAGGTATATAATTTAATTACGTAATTTTTCACACTCGGTTTGAAATATTAATTTCCTTGTGAAAAAGTAAAAGTTTTACTTTTATATTTTTTTGAAAGAAAAAATTGTTGATTTAAGTGCTGGCCGCGTACGACAAGCACCCGTGCCTGAGGTCATGCGACCCATCAACTCTTCCCATGACCTGCCACTACGACTTCCAAGTAGAGTTGTACCAAACACTTAGCAAAGCGTGTTTTGCCTGCGCCTTCGGAAACGCGTCCGACTGTTTTCGGGACGATTGTATTTTCGGCGACGGAATTTCCCGGCCCGTGGTCGTCGTCAACAGGAAACTGCCGGGCCCAGAAATTAGAGTAAATTGAATTAATTTTGGATAAAAGAATCGTTTTTGGTTAAAGCCTTGATCCGAAAGGTTTGTTTGGGCGACCGAATAATAGTGGACGTGCACAACTCGTTGGTGAGCGAAACGACGTCGCTGCATTGGCACGGCCACCACCAAAGAGGGTCGCCGCACATGGACGGCGTGCCGCTGGTCACACAATGCCCCATCAGCCCTGCCTCAACCTTCAGGTACAACTTTGTCGCCGACTCGCCTGGAACTCATTTTTGGCACTCGCACTCAGGTATTCAAATTTTACAAGTAAATTTAAAATTAGGAAAATATTTATTTGAAAATAATCCACTAGCAATAAAATAATCTTAATTACATTTATTTTAAATTCACCAAAATTCCTTTTTTTTCTAATTTTTCTATTCTGATTTAATATTTTAAAGAACAAAAACGACTTTTTTGCGACTTCTGTTTATGGAATAATCGACAGATTTTATTGCTGAATTTAAATTCTTCCGTTGTTATAAATATATTTGATCAAGTGGTACGAATTACTACGAATATCATAAATATGATTTAATTTTAAGGGGGGAAATACTTTTTAATAAAAGTTGTTTGAAAATCATAAAGTAAAGAATAAAAACTATCAATTAAATTTGTTAAATATTGAATTTCATTGCTTAAAAAGCTCTTTTCCAACCAAAATTTCATTAAATTTTTAAAGACTTAAATCGCTGTAAATGTTTAATTTTTTAAAAGGAGTGCAAAGAGGTGACGGCGTCTTTGGCGCGCTAATTATCCAAGATCCAAAAGACGCGCACTCCAACCTGTACGACTTTGACCTGCCAGAGCACACAATCGTATTGAATGACTGGTACCACGAAGCTACCGTCGGCAAATTCGTCGCCCACCACTTTGGAAACGGAGACAACAAGCCACCTAGCATATTGGTCAACGGAAAGGGCAGGTTGTGGATGAGCAACGACTCCGCTCCACAAATGCCTTTGCAAAATTTTCAAGTGACAAAGGCGAGCAGTCGATAATTTTTATAAATAAAAAAATGACGTGAGAAAGTTTCAGGGCAAAAAATATAGGTTCCGGCTTATCAATTCCGGGTTCAATAATTGTCCGATGGAGCTTTCTGTGGACAACCACACTCTTGCAATAATAGCCTCAGACGGCTTCAGTCTCCAACCTACTTCAGGTATATTTTTGTTGTCTATTTTTTAAATGATTTTTTGCCAATTTAATTTATTTTATAGTTGATTCATTGGTTTCCTATGCTGGAGAGCGTTTTGACTTTGTGCTGGAAGCGAATCAGACGGTCGGACGGTTCTGGATGAGAATCCGAGGTCTGATGGATTGTGATGAGCGCTTCCAGTCTGTGCATCAAGTTGCAATCATTTCATATCAGGGCTCTGACCTAACGAAGGAGCCAAAGTCTCCAGTGGGGTACAGAGAGGCCAATCGGAGGGGAAAGGTAATTAAAATATTTTTTTCTTTGATAATAATTAATCTTCATTTTAAAGCAACTGAATTCAATGAACGTGGACTCTTTCAACGGAGACGAGAGCACAGCAACCATAGCAGAAGTTTTATCCCTTGAGCCGGGCGATGTCGACGTTTTGACAGCAAAGGCCGACCACACCGTTTACATTGGCTACGACTTTTATGCAAAAGACAACCCCCTTTTTCATCCAGCCGGAAAATACGGATTTGATGAAGGTTTTTCATTTTAATAAAAAGTTAAGCAAAACATTTTAATTTCTGTTAAAATTGTAGTTTTCAGAAAAAGTGAAAGACTAACGACTCCCCAACTAAACCACATAACTTTAAAGCTGCCGCCAACGCCTCTGATTTTGCAAACCGGAGACGCGCTGAATAAAATTGCTTGCAATGACTCTTCCCTAGCAATGCAAGGGAAGGATTGCAAGAAAAAGGACTTTTGCAAGTGCTTCCACAGAATCAAAGCCCGCGTTAATGATATCGTGGATTTTGTCATTTTCGACGAAGGTTATTGGGAAAGAAATTATTCAAATTTATAAAGCAATAATCGATTTCAAAATCAGGTGAAAGATTTGACGCCAACCATCCGTTCCACTTGCACGGTCACGCATTTCACGTCATGGCAATTAAACGTCTTGGAAATGCCACTTCATTAACAGAAGTGAGGAATATTATTGAACAAGGCCAAGTGAACAGGAAAAACCTTCACGCGCCTCTGAAAGATACGGTGACAGTACCTGACGGAGGATTCTCACTATTGAGAGTAAAAGCTTCAAATCCTGGTGAATTTTAATTTAATTAAGTGGATTCCATACTAAAATTTAATGAATCTGTGTAGGTGTTTGGATGTTCCACTGTCACATTGGGTTTCACGTTGAGATTGGAATGGCTTTTGTTTTCCAAGTGGGAGAGCCAGAGGAATTTGCGCCCAAGCCAAAAGGATTTCCGCAATGCGGAGACTGGAAGCCCAGTTCAGACGGAACGGTCGACTCAGATGAGAAAAGGGTAATCTATTTTGGTGCTTCGAAGATTAGGCTCAATTCTTAATTACATGCTAATTACAGATTGTGCTCATCAATGGTGTCAAGGACACTGATAAAATTTCCTATCAAATTTTACACAACATCACGGTGAATTTAAATCACCAGCCGCCACCACCAGCAGATCACGGAATTATCTACTCCTGGCCTAATTGGTTGAGGGGGAAAAACTCGGCTCCCAGGGACAGGCTTAATTTGGGTCATTTGATAGTTATTTTCTTTATTACTCTCACTTTTTAAGTTTAATATTGTAGCTTTATGGTTTTTGTTTTTCAACTTAATAAATAAGTGAGGATTTGGAAAATAATTTTTCTTTTCTTTTCTTTTCGAAGTTTAATCAATTATATAATATAAAAATACATATATCCTGCTTACTTAATATCACACCATCGATGATCCTGCTTGCGAAAGAAGCTGGTCGTGGCTGTCATCCTCTTCAGACAAAAGTCGACCCTTTCCTTCAGTTCGACTTCCTCTACCAAGAAGTCTGAGAAATGAACACAAATAAAAACTTGCTCTATTATTAAGTTTTATCAAAAGTTACCTTCCAATTGTGGAGCTTGTTGACCTTGCAAAAGCCAAAGTTGACTTGTCCTTATCGTCCAATCCTCTGTGAAGAGAAATTGAGTCTTCGGGCAACTCTCTTGATCTAGCCACAGCAGCTTGATACTCTGGAGTTGTTAGAGTACCTCTTGTTGGTTTCTTGTACCTGTTGCAAATTCAATAACATAAGATTTTCTCATCAAATTCAAAGACCTACGTTTTCAATAACAGCGACGACGCTACAACCGAGACGGAACTAAGGGCCATGGCTGCTGAAGCCATCCACGGCTGCAGCAGAAATCCAAACGGGCTAAAAACTCCCGCAGCAATTGGAATGCCAATTACATTGTACATGCTGGCAAACATAAAGTTCAGCCTGATGCGGCGCACCGTTTTCCTGGACAAATCTAGGCAGCCGATGACATCCAGCAAGTCATTCTGAAATGAAAATTGTTTTTTCTTTTTACAAAAATCAACTCGGATTTGTTAAATTTACCCTCATTAGCACCACATCTGCAGCTTCGACGGCTACGTCTGTGCCCGATGAAATTGCAATTCCGACGTCAGCTTGAGCAAGAGCAGGAGAGTCGTTGACCCCGTCTCCTACCATGGCCACTCTCATGCCTTGCTCTTGGAGTTTCTGGATTTTTGCCACCTGGACAGAAAAAGTCAATTTTAGTTTTTTAATATTTGATATAATAATATAATACAAATAAATATACTTCATTTAAAAAAAAAAAAATATATATATATTAGAAAAATCTAACCTTGTGAGAAGGAAGAACTTCTGCGAAAACTCTAGTAATACCAGCTTCACGAGCAACAGTTGCGGCCGTTTTCCTGTTATCACCAGTAAGCAAAATGACCTCGAGACCCATTTTCTTCAAAGTGTACACAGCCAGATGTGCCTCAGGCTTGACTCTGTCAGCCACACTCACCATTGCAGCAAGTCTCCCTAAATTCAAATATATTTTACTCATTTATCATAGCATTATAAACTAGGATAAAATACCGTTGACTGCAAAGAGAACGGCTGTATTTCCCTTTTCCTCTTCATCAACCATCCTCAAGTCAGCCTCCATAGGAACATCCACTGCATTTCTCCTCATCCACTCTCTGTTCCCCACCAAAACTTCAAAAGGTCCCTGCATCTGGGTAGGGTGATCGTCTATGTTAAGTAGCTGCTGCAACCCTTTGGCGGTCTTCTCAGGGGCTCCAATTTCCCACGGCACTTCTTCAATCATGACCCCTGCTATTTCAATTTGGCTTCCTCCAGACCTTGAGGTAGGTTATGAATTACAAATAATGATCCTACTTTTGATGCAAAACTTACTTTGTATGGTTATGAAAATTTATAACTCCCTCTGATTTATTTGCCAGCTCGACAAGAGTTTCAATTTTTGTAACCGTACACTTCAGGCCACAACCTGGCACTGCTTGGAAATTCTCCGCAGAGCCTGGATGTGCCTCCAGTCCAACAACATCCTTCACATACTTCACCACAGCTGTTGGATTGATTTGACCACTTAGTTTTAAAATAATTTGTTTGTCTTTCGAAAGTTACCTGACGCAATTGGATGTTCACTGCTGGCCTCTGATGTGCCGAGAAGAGCCAAAACGTGGGCCAGGTTCAGGGTGTGTTCTTTCAGGAACAGGTTGATTTTGGCAACCATAGGTTTGCCGTAAGTGATTGTGCCAGTTTTGTCAAAGACTACAGCTCTGACTTTGTGCGCGTTTTCCAACGGCTCGGCTCCCTTGATAAGAATTCCGTTCTGGGCTCCGACGCCGGTTCCGACCATCACAGCTGTGGGGGTTGCAAGGCCCAGGGCGCAAGGGCACGCAATGGCCAGAACACTGAGCGCACATTGGAATGCATACTGCAAAATAATCTCATCTCTCGTCAGTCCTTCCTTTGCTTCAAGCTGGAAAAAGCATTCACTCCATTATAGAGATGGCATTTTGAAAACAATTGAACTCACAGATAAAGGTAGATACATTATGTCAATGTATCCAGCAACAATCCACCCTATCAAGGTGGTGACAGACACCGTCACTACAAAAGGAACAAAATATCCAGCTATTTTATCAGCCAGCTGCTGAATAGGTGCTTTTGAAGTTTGTGCTTCTTCGACCAAGCGCACAATTTGGGCCAGAGTTGTAGCCTCTCCGGTGTGTGTGGCTTTGACGAGCAGAGACCCATTTTGGTTGATCGAACCGCCTATCACTACAGAGCCTGTGTGTTTGGGGACTGGCATGGATTCGCCAGTAATCAGTGCTTCGTCACAACTCGAATGGCCGTTTATCACTCGTCCATCAACAGGAACCTGGTGAAAGTTTACTTTAGCTTTTTTATTGAAGTTTTGTTTTATTTTACCTTTGCACCGGGGAGGACTTTCAGAATGTCCCCTCTCTGCACAAGGTCAGCACAGATGGTCTTCTCAGACATCACTTCAAAATCAGGTCCCACAGTGACGAGCAGGGCTTCCGTCGGCTTCAGGGAGAGGAGCTTGGACAGGGCCTCTGACGTTTTGCCTTTTGCAATGTGCTCCAGCCATCGGCCGAGTGAAACAAACACAAAAAGCATGGGCGGAGTATCAAAAAAGGTCATGGGGCTGGTTGTGTGCTGCAGGGCCATTGCGGCAGCCAGCACGACCACCGAGTACACGTACGAGATGGTGGTGGCCATCACGATGAGCACGTCCATGTTGGACGACCTGTGCTTGACGGCCTTCCAAGCTTGAGAGTAGAAAGGCCAGCCACCGAAGATCTGAACAGGCGTGGCCAGCAGGAAGAGAATTAAGTTTTCCCACGAGAGCCCCGGCAAAAGGAGACCTGTCCCGTGGTGGTGGGCAGGCATTGCCATCATAAAGTACATCATTACAGCCATCGAAGGTCCGCCAAAAATTAACGAGACTAAAAATGCGTTGCGCCACTTTCGAATATCCTGAAAAAGTGAATTTTGAACAGAGACGCTAAATGATTTTATGCTGGACCAACCTCAGAGTGGTCAAGATGGTCTCTTGGAGATGACGCAGCAATGGGTTCTGCGTCAAATCCTAATTTTGTGATTGCATCTGCTATGTCTCTCGGTCCCGTGGTTTCAGGGTCAAATTTGAATTTTCCCTTTTTTGTTGTTAAAGCGACCGCAGCATAAGTCACCCCAGGCAGGGCCAATGCCGTCTTTTCAATTTTATTTACACAAGAAGCACAGCTCATTCCAGAGATCTAAAAGTCAATTGTGTTACATAATGAGTAAATTATGTTCATATACTAAAAAAATACCCTCAGTTCAACTTCTCCGTCTCCGCTCCCTGCCTCGTCTATCACACTTGAAGTAAATCCCAAGTCTGTTATGGAGGCAGCAAGATTTGCAGGTGTCACAACCATAGGGTCATACTTTATCTCCACCTTGGCAGCCAACAATGCTACCAAGACACCGTGCACGCCTGAAAAAATGAAAATATTAGTTTTGAGATTGATCGAAATATTTCCATCTACCGTAGATCTTCATGCAGTGCTTTTCAATTGCAGCAACACAAGAGGCGCAAGTCATGCCCTGCACATGAAGGTGACACTTGGCGAGTTCTTTGCGCTCCAAAACAACTGCGTCTTCTTTTTGAGCTGCAATTTCTTTTGCCGGACTTGCTGATTTTGACGAAATTGGAGCTATAAATTTATTATTTAAAAAGTTTTTTATATATTTAAATCCAAAATTCTTACTTTGATTATTTGAGGCAGATCCAAGGTAGCCTCCTGCATTCAAAAGAGCAACAATCTGCTCAGAGGAGACGGCGCCAGGTTCTGCAAACACAAGGACTTGGTTTCCGTTCTGCCGAACTTCAACAACACCATGAGTTCGAGACAAGTACTCCTCCACAGGTTCCGAACACGTAACTGCTATTCGCTGCTGCTCCACCACTTCATAACCAATTTCCTTCAAATCCGCAGATACTTGTGCTGAGTTTACAGAAAAGGCTTTGTTGATTTTCAAAAAAAGGAGATTTCTTTCTACGATGACGTCGAAACTGGCAATCCATAATTTTTCTTTGAGGTAGTTTTCAATTTGTGACTTTTTGGATGCTTCGTCTTTACAAAAGTAAAGGCAAACCTCTGGTTCCGAGGGATCAAATCCCATGTCGTCGATCATTTCTAAAACTTGGTCCAGGGTGAGCAGCGACAAGTTGTAATTGATCGTTGCTGATTTTCGAGCCAAATCCACCTGATGAATTTTTTTGGTTAAAACTAAATCTGAATGAAAAAACTGATCTCTGCTTACTTTGATGGAATTGATTCCATTTTTGGCACCGACGGTCCCTTCGATGTTTCGAACGCAGGACATGCAGGTCATTCCGTCTATGCCCACCAAGGTGGTGACCGACCCTGAGGAGGACGCATCCCCCTCAAGGTCTAGCAAAAAGCCCAGGTTATCCAGGGTGGATCTGCAACAATTAAGTCACGACGTTGAAAACAATAACAGGAAGAGCGGTGGTGGGAAAACCTGAGCCTTTCGAGGGCTCCATGTTTAGAAAAATCATAGCCTATTTCCTCCAAAAGTGGTTTCCGTTCCATGGTCAATGCTGGTGTGCATTATCAAAATCATGCTCACTCCTTATCAAAGAACTACAAATAGTGCTCGACGTGGGCATACAAAAGATATAATTGAAAGAGGGCCCATATAAACTGCTCCGATATTATGTTGCTTCGATAAAAAGGTGGCGCAATTTTTTTATCAGCAAAAGCTAATAATCCTTTTTTAATTTGAAAATTTGTATCTGGGTTCGTTTGATAATTTTGGAAAGGAAATAATAATTACTTTATTTGTGCGTCGTAGTCTTGACTGGTCCCTCTGAGGCGGACATGCAACTCTGATTGCCCCTCGGTGACAAAGCGGTTGACCCCGGTGATATCTGGGGTGACCTGCTCACGAAGACAACTCAAAACAGCCTCGTCACTTAATTCTTTGCTCCTTGACTCTGGAAAATAAAGAGAGGCACAAATTGTAGCACATTTAATCAAGATAATTTCGGAGTATATCAAAATAGAAATTATGCAAACACATAAACTGCTGCAGTTATTATTATTTTTTTAATTGTTTCACTATTCTAAAATTAACTTGATTTAAAAAAATATTTAAACTGTTATTGAAATTGATTCCATTAAAATTTAAAACAATATTTCTCATTTACTTTTCTTCAATAAAAATGAAGCGCGCAAAGTACAATAAGGAAGCGGTTGATTTGAACCATGGATGTATAATAATTCTAGTAAAAATTTAATCAATTGTTTCAGCACTCGCCTTGCCTAGTGATTTTATATCCTTTTATTATGGTATTGTTTATTTGTAGAAATTGTTAAAAAAGTTCATCTTGCAAGACAATGATCAACTCAATATTAAAATTTTCGCACCAATGTAATGATCAAATGCTGATAAAAAAAATTATTTTATCAACAATCAGGAGAAAGACAGCGGCCGCGTGTCCAAATGTGGAGCACAAAGTGAAATTCACAAGAGATTGAACCGACAAGTGGATCACTTGCCGGCTGATGGATTTTCTCTTGTTTTTGTGCCTGCATAAGTGAGCGACATTCACTTTACTTGTTCGTGGAAACCCCGCTTAGGAAATAAAAAAGCAAATAATAATACACACGTCCCATGTCCGGTTATCAAACTTTTACAGGAAACAGCGATTACTTTTATTTAATATCAAAATAATTAATTAAACGCGGCTTTAAAGAATAGACTTTTAAATTAATCAAAATCTGTTTCAATGTTTGCATTATTTTATTATTTTAAAATTATATTACACGAAAAAGTGACAAATCTAAAAAATGTTGATCATTATTTAAATTCCAGATATAGGTAAAATTCAAATTTTAAACTGATTTGTAAGTTAAAATAAAAGAAACGCATCGTTCCAACAAGTGGCTCTGAGAAGCCGAGCAAAACAAAAACTCACACTAGAGCCGAGAAAAAGTGTGGTGCACCACAGAAGAAGGAATTGTTGAGACTAATCCTTCAATCCTTGGTGGGCGATAAAGCACGTCGACGCCGCCGCGATCCCACCTCCACTGACAATTATTGTTTTATTTCTGGCCGCCCAAGAATGCAATAAAAGCCCCGAGCGCGTCAAATTCCTGATCGATCCGCATTTTTAGCCAAAACGAATTTATTTCTCACCCTGGCAAACTTCAAAAAGTTGTTCCATGAAAAAAAATGCAAATTTGTGACTTGGTCTCGGAGAGAAGTGGAGCGTGCAATAGATCTCTCTCCGATGGAGCGGCGAGTACTGCAGCATAGGAAGTGTTTCCTTTCTCTTTCGGCCCAAAATGTGGCAACTCGATATCCAAGGAGGGGCTTTGGTCATGTTCAATTTTATTTTTTAATTGCGGAATAAGAAAGGAGCCGCAGCCTCCGCACCACTTATTTGTTCTCCAAAATAGACTCTGTTATGCAATTAACTGGAAAAGAAAAAAGGAACTCCACAAGGTTGTAAATCCTTTGAATTTGCCTAGCCTTGCTCTCCAATTGTTCCAGGAGCAAGGTGTGAAATTTTTTCATTACAATATCTAGATTAGTGATTTTTGTGCGGAGATTAATTTAGGGCAGAGAAATTAAATATAATTCTTGGATATATATCTTTGGATATATTTAGTAATTAAAACCAATTACAGGTTTGACTTCAATAGTGTAAGACCAAATTATTCTTACTAAATGTAGAGCAATGCAAAGAATTCATATGTCTATTTTAGATATTATTTCCTCATAAAATTAGTGAAATTTCGCTGTCATGTTTGATTTTTTTTTTTATAAATATATTATAATTAAAAAAAATTTGTTTCTTTCAAATATCCAGTCAAGGAATTAAAATTATCGTAGGAGTAGCATCAAGTTTATTTTTGGGAATTTCGGTTTAATAAAATTTTTATTATAAGCCAAACTTTAACATTCAAACACTTTAAAAGGTGTTTTTTTTCTTGATGCTAGAAAATCTGTCTTATCTATTTTCTTAGGAACTTGTCACTTACGCAAGAAAACAAGAAACCGTCACTAAAATCTCATCCAAGTTGTAAAACCCCTCGTAAAGATAAGACTAATCACAAAACGCCTTAGCCATAGAACTAATTGCTCTATTATAATTGCCCTCAATTTTGTACGAAGCAATTATTATTGTAAAAAGATAAAGAGAAAAATCCAATTTCCAAACAAGAAAGAGAACCTAATTTTCATTACACTTCAGCAGGAAAAACAGTATTTCTGTCCAAAACGCTAAAATTTTCTTCTTGCCCGCAGACAGAGGTGAATGTCAGATAAGATTGTGTCATTGAAAAGTTAACTTACCGTCAAAAGGGAATCGCATGGTGCGCTCCTCGCCTCTGCTTTGCAACTCGATTGCCGCCTGCAACACGTAAAATAAAAAATATGTGTCACGAAAAGCCGCCGTTTCCGTTCTTTGTAATTTGCAACACACATAAACAATGCTCGTCCGCAAGGGTGATGGTTTAAATAAATTGTGATTAAAAACTTTCGAAAAAGGTCAAAATTTAACTTTTCCTTGGACAATGCATAAAACAGCTTATAAATAAATAAAATATTCAGTGAGAAAAAAATCGCATTTCATTAAAAAATTGATAATCTTACGATAAAATATGCCAAAAAAAATCCAAAATTCAAGATTTTCCTTCAAAACAAAAACAATTATATCTCAAACAACAACAATAAAATCAGCTTGCCAATTAAAAAGAAAGTGAATTAGTGCACTGCTTTGAAAAGCTTTTGAGTGGGTGGTGACCGACTCAGGTTGTTATTTTTTAGCATTTGGCTCAGAAAATAATGCTGCAAAAAAGCATCTTACCATTTTAAGTGTTGCGTTGATTGCTGTGGCACCGTTGATACTGATTTACATCTTGTGCGAATGAAATTAATTCGCTTTTTCGTAGCAAGTCATCCGCATTGAACTTGTAAACATTTTCGCCCTTTCGCAGCTGAGGTTGTGCTACAAACCTGACAAAATTCACATGCTCTACTTTAACTTGAGAAATTCAGCCGTCATCATAAATTTTTCATTACCAAACACATAAGAGTTATAAAAAAAAGTAAAAACTCTATTATTTTTTCTCAATTTTTTCACATAACTTTGAAAAATTTTCAGTATTGAAAATTGTTAAGTTTGCAAGGAGAACTTTCGCACGTACCCACATGCCAACAGGTGTCGCTAGTGCGCCAGTGCAGCTGCCGCTGGTGCTCATTCAAGGTGAGTGAAAGTGCAGAAAAACTCGAACCGGCTCCTGCAACCCCGTTCTGTTCCTCGCTGTGTTAGTATTAAATCCCATCCTCAAAAAATGTCGCCCCTGCTTTTATTAGTAATGTCGCTCGTCTCCCTTCGCTGCGCCCTTGATTCCGCCTTCTAATTCTCGCTTCATTTTCCACTTTGCAGATGCTTCTTTCGAGCCTGTTGTGCCGTCAGGGTTTACGTGTCCTGGGTCAAAGGTCGGTCAGGAGCATGTCGTCCGTCGCTGACAAATTCAGTCTGCCCGATCGGTACCGCGGCTCGGAGAAGAGCGTCTGGTAATTCAAGTGCGCAATTTTGCAAAAACTGATTGATTTGACCTCTCTTGCCCTAGGGTCGAATACATCCAGCTGGCCATCGAGCACCAGCCCCTCAACCTTGGTCAAGGTTTCCCCGACTACCCACCTCCCTCGTACGTCACTGACGCTTTGGCCGACGCCACCAACGGCAGCAACACCCTCCTCAATCAGTACACCAGAGGATTTGTAAGGAAAATCATTTCAACTCTCGTCAAAAGCACTTGCGTAACTTTTTGTTTTGTCAGGGTCACCCAAGACTTGTCCAGGCACTTTCTAAATTATATTCCAAGGAAATTGATAGAAATATTGATCCACTCAAAGAAGTACTCGTTACTGATGGAGCCTACGAAGCCCTCTTTTGTGCCATACAGGGTAAAAAGTACAAATTTGAATTATAATCAGCGCTAACTAATTGAAAATGCAGGTAACACCAACCCTGGCGATGAGGTCATCATTATTGAACCGTTTTTTGACTGTTATGTGCCAATGGTGAAGTCCGCTGGGGGAATCCCAAAATTTATTCCTCTCCGCCTTGTATTTTTAAAACATTTTTTTATTAGAAAAATTCTGAATATTTGTCTTTAAGAGGGAAGGTGCTGGGACCTCTGGTGCAATCAGTTCTGCCGACTGGATTTTGGACCCGCGAGAGCTGGAAAGCATGTTCACCGAAAAGACGAAGTCCATCATCATCAACACTCCGCACAACCCCATCGGAAAAGTCTTCTCTCGGTCTGAATTGGAGATAATTGCTAATTTGTGCAAGAAAAACAATGTCCTCGTTATCTCCGACGAAGTTTATGAATGGATGGTCTACAAGCCTAATGAGCATGTCCGAATTGGTTTGTTTTTACACCTTGTTACTTATATATTTTAAAAATCAAAATCATCTTCAGCATCTTTGCCTGACATGTGGGAGAGAACCATTACCATCGGGTCAGCTGGAAAGACTTTCAGCGTCACAGGTTGGAAACTCGGATGGGCGTACGGCCCTGATTACCTGATGAAAAATCTTCAAACCGTCCACCAAAACACAGTCTACACCTGCCCCACCCCAATTCAAGTAATTTAAATTTGAATCCTGTTATAGTATTAACTTTCACTCTCATTTCCCAACGTTTTGAGTAACTTTTTTATTGAAACACTTAGGAGGCTGTTGCAAGGGGTCTCGAACTGGAGTTGAACAGAAGAAGCTCCCCCGACTGTTATCTAACTTCCCTGGCCGAGGAATTGCGTCCCAAGCGTGATTTCATGGCAAAGTTCCTCTCCGACGTTGGCATGAAACCAACTGTGCCCGAAGGCGGCTACTTTATGATTGCCGACTGGTCTGCCCTTAGTAAGAGAAAAATATAAATTTTGAACATGTTGTAAAAATTTTTCTTAGCTAACAAGGTTAAGCTAGAGGAAGAAAAGGATCCTGAGCTTGACTACAAGTTCACCAAGTGGATGACCAAGAACGTAAAACTGCAGGGCATTCCACCCTCTGCCTTTTATGGTCCTGACCATAAAGATCTGGCTCAACATCTTGTGCGATACTGTTTCTTTAAGGTATTTTTTTTTATTGGTTTCATTAAACTTTAGTATTTTTAATTAAATTTACAGAAAGATGAAAATCTTCAAAAGGCCGCTGAAATTTTGCGCAACTGGACCGCACCTACGAGCAACCTCTAAAGTCATAAAGTCTTCCCAGCAGGCACCAGCAGGTATGACATTTGACGAAGCATTTTATTTTTGTTATCAAGCCTAATCTGGATATATTTTATTGTAACTCATTAAAAACAAAACAAATTCGCAATAATTCGAAAAATTATCTTTTGCAAAAAAACTAATTTTAGACCCTGAGAATTAAGTAATAGTCAGATCAATTTTAAGTAACTGTTATTTTTATTGAAATGCAATTCCAGTGCAGAAACGAGCAACTCGGTCTTCATTCACATAAAATCAGTATACAAAATGTGTAAAATGTCTGTCTAGTGTGCAAGAAACCCACAGTTATTATTTTTTTTAATTGAGATCCAGTCTTGAATTTTGTAGTAGTTAGTTGCCTCTGTTGTCTGAGTCAGGAACACAATGTATTAATTTAACAGCACTTCGGAACTGTGATTGCTGGAATGACATTATTCTACGAGGGCATCATGAGCAACTTGATCTGTCCGGAGCGCCTTCGGTATGTGCGGTAGCTGACTGCAAAGGAAATTAGGAAACAAAGGAGGGAAACGTGCATGACGATCAGCAGGAAGATGAAGAGGTAACGGTTTGGGTCGGGGCCTTCGAAGATTTGGATTCCGTAGACATGTCCACGGTACTTGAGCATGACCAACCGTCCGTTGTCGTGCATCTGGAACTTCCTCACCATCAAAACGCAGAAGCCTTTGCCGTTTTCGGTGGTTACGTTTCCTGGGACAAAAGTTTCTTCGTCCAGATTGGTGCCGTTCTTGTCCAGCCAGTTGCAATATTCCGGGATGGGCTGCGTGTCGTTCACGTGCTGCTTGATTTGGTTGTCCGAATGGATGTGCAGGTTGTACACTTTGTGGATGGTGGCCTCGGAAGTGGCCACCAGGCTCAGGCCGACGGCCACCCAGAGCACGGCGCGGTGCATTTTTTCTGGAAACGTCTGTTTTGATCGGCTGCAGTTTTGGCGGCCCACGCCCTAGCTGTGGAAGCTTCTTTCCGAGCTGCTGACAGGATGTGCACACAGAGGGCGCATACCTCCCCCTATCTCCTGCAGGCAACAAAATGCACTTGTGTGCTGCCTTTTACTATATAATATTTACTCTCCTTTCTGACAAAATAGCCTCTTTTATTGGCCTTTGGGCTGTTTACTTTGGAATTTAGTCTGTATACTTACTGGGTTACTCACAGGATAAATTTGCCAATATTTACTTATGCCTACTATCATCCCTATCATAGCAGTATGCTCTTTGCACTTAGTTTATTTTTTTTTAAGTTGTGAATAGATTTAATTGATTTTTTTATATCTGAATCGTTGTTTATAAACTTAATTTATCGGATTAAATGTTAAAATAGGTTTTTTTTAAACAATTGAATATCATTAAATATTTAAAAATTATATTTATTAAAAAAATTTGGATTCTTATGAGATTTATAATTTTAATTTTATATATTTTGTTTGAGTTTTACAATGATTTATTAAAAATAGTTGGTTCTAAATTCTAATGTTAAATTCATTCAATTTTGACTTTTTTAAATTAAAAAATTTAATGAAAATAGATCAGTATACTAATTAAAAAATTTCGCTTTCATATTCCAGTTTTTTTATTATTATTATTTTTGCTTTGAAATAGTACACAAATTTTATTTCTTTTTCTTTCTGAATTGAAATTGACGCAACTTTTTTACAATGGTTTGTCTTGAATGTTTTCCGTGGCCATGGGGCTTTTAAAAGTATGACAAGTAAAAGTCCCTACTTTTGCGCATTTATTAATTGCAATCATTTTATGGTGCGCGTGTGCTTCTTTTTTACTTGCTAACATCTCTCTCGCAGGGAAAGAATATTTCTCTTATAAACTTTTTATCGTGTCGAGCACGCCTCATGAATTTCTGTTGCGACAACAGAATATCAATTAGCCGTGAGTGAAAGAGCAGCTCATTATTCTTTATACATTTTGTGCTCGTGACTGCGGCTCCGGAGCGAATTTGCAATATTTTGAAACTAAGTGGAGAGGTCGGCCGGAGAAGCGTGATCTGAGCATAAATAAATAATAACAACAAAAGAAACGGTCGAGCTGCACAATCGCATGCTAATAAGAAGTAAAACGTTATTTTCTCCGCGCTCTCATCCGCGAACAACATACTCGATTTTCGTTGGAGGATGAGAAAAAAGCAGCATCTGTCAGAATTATTTTGAATAATAATTAAAAGTGTCGCGCGCCACTTTGGTTCCATTCACTGCTTGGGTGATTTAAATCGATTGAGCAACGCCTGCATCGTGGTGACGAATAAAAAAATGCGCCGGCCGTTATTTTTCCTACACAAATGGTAATCGTACGTGGTGATCGCGGCGGAGCAGCTGGTTCGAGCTGAGGGTGGCAGATGATATTACGTGTGTTTTGTGCGTGTACGGCTGTACGCGCGTGCCGCTTTAAAATTGTATTGAAGCTTTTGATTCTATAAACGTGCACGCATACAAAATCTATATTAATTTTTATGAAACCAGAAACCATACGTAAATTTTTTAACTGTTTTACGAACAGAACTACATTTTGATTCTAAATGAAAAAAATAATATTTAATTTTAGAAAATAAATCAATAATAATTTTTATTATTCAATAATTGAAACCAGTTAAAATATAAAATAAAAATATAAAGAGTTTATCAAAGCAAAAGATAGAAACGAAAATTTCTTTAGTAAATTGAAAATGAATTTAATTTGAAGCGTATTGTAACATATTAAATGAAACCTCTTTTAAACTTCGGAACTTCAATTGTGTGTGATTTGAAATGCGCGAAATGGTGACAATTTTTATACAAATTCTCCGTATTCTTCGAGAAATTGTCTGCCGGCATTGGAATGAAAGTAGTGTGTTGTTGCAATAATGGCGAGTTATTTCCATAATTACTGGAGTCATAAGTCTGGAAATTGTGCTCGGCGTCAACATACTTTCCATTTCTGAAATTCTCAGCAAAACCGCATGCCTCTCATTAATCAAAGAAAGCATCCTGTTAGCACAAATTTGTGCAGGATGAAGAAAACCCGAAAGAAAACCATATTCAGCGAAAAAGCGGCCACATACAAAACCAACGTCAAACGTGTATAGTGAATCATTGAGACATTTGCTCGGAAATGACAATAATTTAGATTTTACTATTTTCTTTTAAATCAAAGTTTTCTAATCAAATAAAATAAAATAAATATTTTACGGAGATTTTTTAATCAATCAAGTTGAAGATAATTTCAGCAGGCGCCACTTTTGCGCGCCGATCAATCGCTTATTATTATTATTGTTGTGCTGGCGGGCAGACAAAAAATGATAATCAACTTAGACCGCGCATAGGAAGAAAAATGCGTTTTGTAATCCCCCTGCCTCATCGAAATCTGCGCTACAAGCAAGCGGCGGCAGCAGGCGAGAGGGGGGCTCTTCACTAACGGATTCCTTTCTGGCCCACCTCCCCTGCCTGCTTCTCGCGATCGCGGCTCGCGACGTCGCGACTTAAGTTAGTTTAGTTGCTTATTTTCATTACTCGGGAGCAGTCGCGGCGACTGCAGATTTGCATCGGATTGCGAGTGGAATGCGCGTGCCATGAACCTGAGTCTGGCACCGCCGTCGCGGCACCTCCTCGAGGTAAGCAAGCACGACCCTTCCGAAGCCCCAAAATCCATCTCGACACGCGAGAGAAGAAGAAGAGAACCAGTGGCCCGTGAGAAGAGGTGAAACCCGAGCGGCTGATCGGGTTTCCTCTCCCAAATTTGCGACATTAGATCTTTTGCAATATATTGAAATTTATTCGCGCGTTTTAATTCTCTCAAATTCGGCCGAGCGTTAAAGTCTCCAGCAGGGCTCCTTCGCGGGCGCCTGCGGCTTGTAGGCCAGTAGGTCGGCACGCCGGCCTCGATCTTCTCTTTGGATATTTGTGCCACCAATAGCTCCCAATAGACACTCACTCTCGGTTGCTAACACCCAAATTACATCCGACGTTCATCACCTTCCAACTAGGCCTCGGCTCAGAATTTCAGTTTGGCCGAGGGATGAATTTTTAAAAAATCAGCAACCAAATAAACAGGAAAACTGAACAGATGGTTTGTTTTGGTGCGTGGTGATATAATATTAAATGTTTTTCTTTTGAAGAAACCACTCAAAGGATATGACGTGTATTGTGCAAAGTTTAATATTATCAAATAGAAACAGTTGTTGCGCAATGTGGCCTTCCATTGCGTCTCCCAATGAAAATTCATAACTCTGCCAAGCGTGCCAGAGTCGATTTAATTTGCACCGTTGAGAGAATTATTGCCAAGAATTTTTTATCTAAATTAAAAAGATACAAAGTAGAATTTTAATTCAATTTTAAATATTTAATCAAGAAATCGCTCAATAAATTATTTGTTAATACGTGTCGCGTTTTGATCAGAATGATGATTTGGGTATCAAATGCCCAGTGATATATTTCTTTATTCGACAAAAACTATTCACGAAGTAATTAAATTATCTGTTAATTTTGAATTTTATTTATAATTTTTGCTCAAATTTTTATTCAACTGCTTTTTTTCTTTGAACGCTGATTGGCAAAAAACGGATTTTCCCACGCATAACGAAATTCCATTCATTCGTTCTGTTCTGTTAACAAACAGAATAAAGGGATCTGTCAAGTGGCAGCAGCTTGTTTAAATCATTAGACCGTTCTCTCCATTTATATATATTTTAAGGCTACTTGCATTGTACGTTTTGACGCGTGAGTCACAAGACAAGCAATTTACGGAATTTCGAGACCAATATTAACCAACCGCACACTAAAGCTCCAACGCAGTGTTATTATTTTTGAGTGATGCTTGTTATAGTTAGTTGATGGTGATTAGAAGTTAGAACCCTCTCCATTAGCGAGATAAACGCAGCTCGTTAATTAAAACAAGGACCGAAAGAGATGCGCCTCATTTTCCAAATAAAAACGTTGGAAATAATGCGTTGTCGGTTTACAATGAAAGTGGCGCCGAGCGAATATTTCGTCTCTCACGCGCGATTTTTTTATTTCGAAAGTGCACAATGAAATGTTATGAAGCGTTAGGCAATGCTTTTCGCTGTGGGCTGAAAGAACAAAGAGAGGAAAGACGGAATTGTGTTTTGTCAAATCGGCACCATCAACATTATTTTCGTTTTTATTCTCATTGCAAAAACAGCGCTTTTTGCGACAAAGTGACAAAGTGAAATCAACCTGTTGATTTTTTTGTTCACTTTTCAACTCAAATTTTTAACCTGCAATTAATTATTTTGAAAGTATGGTAAATGATAAATGAAAACAGTATTTGAATTGAACTTTGATTAAAATTATTATAATTATTGTTGTTTATTTTTCCAAATTTTTACATCACATTGTTTACATACAATTGTAGAAAAATTTAATTTAACACTACTAATTTTTTTTAACCAATAATATTTGACCGAATTTCTATATTATTTTAAATATTAGCTTTTAAAAATTTTTTAGTTGAAATTTTTGCAACTGTAAAAAAATCAACTTAAATTTTATAAATATTTTGCTTCACAATGCATACCATCTATGTAAAACCGATAGTTTGCATTTTAAATTTTGTAAGGCAATGCAGAACGGAAGCAGTTGTTTAAATGTGAGACGCGTTTTTGTGATTTCAGGAAGAGCCGGCTGAAGACGTCCAAGGCCTGACAAAGCAGCTGCTGGCGTGCAGGGCCGCCCTGCGCCTGCAAATGCAACGCTCGCAACAGTTGGTCGCCGCTTACAATGCCAAGCTGCATGCCACAAACGCCAAGCTGAAGGAGGCCGAGGAATTTTCCCAAAAGAGATTCGCCTACCTGGCCAGGGCTGTCATGGGCGCCGAGGCCAGTTTGCGCAGGTGACTTTTTGCATGACAATTATTTAAATTATTCCTTGAACTGAGCCAAATAAATTCATTTTCAATTGTGTAACAAAGTGGTCAGTTGCCAATTATAAATTAGGACATTCAAAGTTTCATTTTGAAATTGCATAATGATAAAACCTGATAATAAATTATCTTTATTTATAGAGTAAGAAGCAAAAAGCATAAAACATGCATTTTTTAAACTAATATTATTAAAAAATGTAGGTTTTGGTTTCTAAATATTTATATTTTCTTATTACACTAAATATAAAAATATCTTCAATCAAATTTTGAAACTATATAAGATTTAAAATAGTTTTTAACTTTTCATTTTTTTTATTATTATTCTGAACAGTAAAACCAGATTAAAACAGTCAAATTATAAGATTTGAAAGTTTGTTCGTCAACATTTTTAATATGTTCTGAATAAAGAATAAAGAAAATAATCTAAATAATTTTACAAATTTTTTTATATGGTTTCCAGAAAACAAAAGGAAATAATGCAACAGCTGTCGGTGAAAGACGAGCTGATTACTGAGCAGCGAACCAAACTGGAGCAACTTTGCAAAGAGACGCCCAAAACTGTGTCACCACCGGTACCTGCGCCAAGGAAGCCCCTCGCACCCATCAACAACAAACCTCCCACCCCCTACAAACCACCAGGACTCACCCTGAGTCTGCCACCTCAGTACAAAAAGAAGCCTCACCTGGAAAAACTTGAAAAGCTGCCAGAGGAGGAGAATCAACCGCAGTCAAAAATAGCACCCAGGTACCTCTTTTGTCTGAATTCATTTCAATAAATTTTGTTTCAAATTGGATTAAAAATCAAACTATAAACTAAACTTTTGATTTTTCCCAGTGCGAACCAAGAAAACCCTTGCGAGCCGATGCGGACGTTGCCGTCTCCGGCGTCCTCTACAGAAACGCTCACCGCTAGTCCAGCCACCCCCATTGACCACTTCCACGACAACTTTGAGGAATTCCACCTTGACTCTGAAAACAACTCTGACGAAAACGACGAAGGCATTCTGAACCGCAAAAGTGGCGACGGAGCTGAGCGGCAGCAGCTGGTGCTGAAGGCGGTGGCATGTTCGCAGGGCTCCTACGAAGGGTTCCTCGAAGCCACCGGCCTCTCCCAGAAGTCAATCCTCACCCCCAGCAGACTCAACAGCCATCGCTCGGTGCTCAAACCCAGGGACATCAAGTTCCGCAGCAAAGCCAACAGGACATTTTGCAATGGCGCCGTCAAATACTGGTCGGGGCCGTTTCTGTGAAAAACTTTATTTTAAAAGAGTGGACCTTTCGAGAAAGTCATGCATGCCTAATCAAGTGCTCTAGTGGTTAAGAAAGAAAGTTGTATTTCTATCATTTTAATAATGATCAGAATTTTTTGCTGAAGTAATGTGCTAGTATCAGGTATTTATCCTCAGTGAAATTAAAGTCGGTCCTGTTGCAAGTTTGCAGGGGCCTGCGTAGCAAATTAAAATATTTTTAAATATTTCCAATAAAAATTATCTTCAGAATAATAAATTCAGAATAGATTTTAATTTTTGTTATTCCAACAAATATTATTTCGTTCGATCTCCATTTAAAATTAACAAAATTCACCGGCAAGTTAATAATTTTTAATTTAGAATTTTATAAACTTACTTTTAACTTTGGTGGTCAGAATTATTTAATTAAATATTCTCCCACTGAATTTATTTCTTCTCTTGCATTCGTAAAGGATCTTTGTACCGTAATTATAAATAAAATCTTGTCAAACGAAGCTAAGACAAAAAGTATTTTATAACAACTAATGTCTTAAATTTAAAGTGGCAAAATACTTTTTTTATTTCATTCATAATAGGGAAATTACCCTTCGAAATTAAAAGATAATAATTAACATGGAGACCTGCGATGTATAATTTATTTCAAATTCTTCAGAATCAATTTTATAATTACGCTAAAAAGCTCACTCTAGCACAAAACTTTAATATTGTACAACCAATTTAAGTCGTTTTTTAACTTGTATTTTGTGGTAAAGTTGCAAAATTGATGACTCAATGATGGACATTAAATTTTTTTAAACAGTAAAAATGGGGAAAATGAATATTTGTAAAAATTACAATATTGAATAACTGATAAACCCTTTGCAACTTTATTTTTTACAATAATTTTATGTAATATATTATGCTTGTATTCCTATCAAAACCACCCTCAAAGAAATGTAGGCATGAAGTGCCCGGGTAATTGCACTGCTTGAGTGAATAATTAATACGCCTGCAGTGGGGAGAGCGCGTGTGCTTTTGTGTAAAGATGCTGCCCTCTCTGTCTGGCGCTTGACAGCTTCTTGCTTGACAGGTGGTGAACGAGCAGGTGCGGACAAATCTTGCCAACTTTCCAACGAAAATTTTGACTTTCCTCAGCCGATTCCGAAACACCAAAAGGCCCAAATTTGAGTCAATTCCTAAAAACAACCAAATAACTCAAATTTCAAAGCCGTCGTCGGGTTTGAGGGGATGACGGGGGCGGGTCATCGATCAGGGTCGCAGTTGGGTTGGCAGCAGTGGCGGGTCAGTGAGGAACCGAGCGGGCCGAGCGGAGCCCCTGCCGTCGGAGTCGGACTTTGCGGACCATGAGAGACTGAAGGGTGAGTAGAGCGACCCTCCAACCCCGTTCGGAGGGCCCTGCCAACCCTTGCGCGACCCTTTCCCTTTGAATTCGCGATTGGCGTGCGGCCACTGGGCGGCCGACCGGCGGCCACTCACCTGTGCTCGCTCTCCTATGTACCGAGAGTTTATTACCTTTTATAATCATATGACGGCAGCACAAACAACCGTCGCCGTGAGATGACTTTTGCCAGTTCAAGAAAAAGACAAATTTTTAACTTTGAATTATAAAAAATGAATTTTGCACACTTCTTTTACATTGAATTAATTTTATTTGTTGTTATTATATTTTGTGGTTTTATTTTTTTGTTTTATATATACGAGAGACCTGCTTTTTCTTGGCCTTGCTCTGAGGGGGTGGAGGGGTCATCGGCCTCACCTGCAAGGCCAGCGCACCTCCCACAATCCACAGATCATTTCATTACACTGAGAGATGATTTTGTTACTTTCACGGGATAAAAAGAGCTCGGCTCGAAAAGCGTCGTCATTCTTGGAAATTAAATTTGTTCACTTTTCTCTCTGCAAACAAGCGAGCTTTACCAGGGAGACGCTGATAATGGATTTATTATTGTTGCGCTTATTTTCTGATGACTTGATAAAAAAAAAAATGTGAATGGCTTTGTTAGCGGCACACGGCCTTGATATCAAAAAGTTTTTTATATTGTTCAGCGTCCACCATTTTTCTCAGCCGCTGTTCAAAAAGCAAAATTAACTCTACGTCAATAAAATTAACAATTGTTTTAATATTTATAATTTATTATAAAACTTTCTCAACATATGATACATTTTAAATTACAATTTGTGATTAAAATAATTAAGAAATTATAATTCAAATTGATTGAATTTATTCACTAAACAAAATCTTTTAATTACGAGACACTATTTTTGCAACTCTTACAAGTAATTTCTTGCCATCAATAAAAAGTTCTTTTGAGGCAGAGAGTTTTAATAACTTATTCGCAGAGTTTTGCTGAGACCTGCTCTCATTCTAAGGACTTCTTCATCTTCTTCTGGAGAGGAATTTTCCACTTGAACGGGGAAAGAGACAAATTGAGGAAAGCAGGCGAACTTTCTTTCCTCTCCAGCTATTAGTTTTTCGCTCTCTGAGCTGCTTTATTTTTATTTTTAACCCTCGTTCTCAATAATAAATCTGCGGCGCAAGACTTTATCAAAGCAGTACAAAAAAAAAATCACTGCTGGAGAAAACAAAAAAGGGGGTCTCGGATCTTATCGCCAACGGAATTAAAACAAAGACCGAGCTTTTTTTCGCTCGGCGGGCTGCGGTTTTGTTTGGTGCTTTTTACAATTTTTAATTACTCGCACGATTCACCCCCACAGGTTGTTGTTTTCGCGCCGAGTTTCCTCCCTCGGCGGCGGCGGATGCAGGCGCGCTCGTCACAGTTTTCACCCCAACAAAACAACATGCGGGACTGTCTCCGCAAGGGCCGCCAATTTCTTTTTTTAGCTCACATATTTTATTTGTATTTTCCACATTTCTTTTTATTTCGGCAGCAGTAATGTGTTGAACAAGAAGTAATGACGTGGGTTTCAAAAAAAGATTTCTAGATGTTATTTTCTTATCTTCAGGCTTTCTTTAATTTAAATTTCGAAAGCCATCTTGTACCAAAATCAGTGATATTTTTCACGATTTTGGTTTAAATTTAAAACTTCCTCTAATTATTATTATTTATTCTTCTGGGTCAATAATAAAAAAAAAAATCAATTGGGAAAAAGAGAAGAAATGATTGAATTGAAAATGACGTAATAATGGGTAGGTCCGATTATCAGAGAAACGATTCCCAAAAAAATTCTCGAGAAAAAATTCTCACGCAAGGATTCCCCAGGATCGATTCTTCAGTTGAATTTTAAAGGTAGAAACGTTCCTGGAGAATCCTTGCGTGAGATTTTTCTTGAGAATCGTTTCTCTGATATTCGGACCCACCCAATGTTTTTTTGCTTCTTTCACTATCTTTTTTAGCTGGAAATTATTTCAATTGAATGGTAACACTCGAGGTGGATTTCATAAAAGATTGAAACCGGGCGAACCTCGTTGTAACCAGTAGTGTGGCAGATTACTTGTGTTTTTGCCAGAAAAGTCTTTGGGTTCATTGCCCTGGAAATTTCTGCCAAAATCACAGTATGAAGCTGTTGACTGACTCTTTTGCTTAATTAATTTCTGCAATTTTTGTTTATTAAAATTAAAATCTCCCATTTTATTTTTAATTTTTTATTAATTCCTCCCACTTAGTTTTAGTCGGACACAAGAAATCCTAGGTTTTAAAGTACCAGCAGACCGCAGGTCGCCTTTGGGGTCAGTTGTCCTTTATTTTTTCATTTTTTTCTTTGCAACGAGGTTCGCCCGGTTTCAATCTTTTAGGAAATTATTTCCCCTTTATTTATTTTGAATTTTATCCTATGTAATTTGTGTTAATTTTCAAAGTATTTAGAATTTTGCAGAAAATCTGTGTTCATCAAATTTGTCAACTGGAATAGTTTGTTTCAAAGACAATATTGGCTCTCTTTGAAATAACACAGGCAGCTTTAGAGAAATATTTGCTCTTCACATTAGCCGTGCACTCGAAACAGGTTGACATTAGGCACATAATATTTGTTTTGCATTCGATTTTCTCCTTTTCGGGCTGTTGAGCCGATTTTGAGCGCGGCCCGTTTGGCAGGGGGTCGCGGTTGCTCTCGCGTGTGCATATCGATTGGCCCCTTTAACTCCATCCGTCCGTCCACGCGAACCAAACTTGTTGCATTAACAATGCTGGGGAGAGCAAGAATCGTTTGCTGGGTCGCAGGGGCGGATTTTTGCTGTGGCGCGCTCGAACCGCCGCGCGCGACTTGCTCGGCTTGGATGTATCGGCCGCGGATTGCCGCATTGCAGCACTTGTTGGGTAGCAAAGCAACGGGGAAGAGGGCAACATCGGGGCGAAACTCACTTTCGAGGTCACCAGCTGCCGCCACCGCGCCCCTTTGTTGCAAACCAGATTGTGCAACTGCCGCCGTGACCCGCTCATTTCCTCAACTTTTTCGCCACTTTTTATTATTTTTTATCGAAGCAAAAGTTTCCTCCTGTTGAGTCTATGTGACTTGCTCGGGTGTCTTGATTTTTATAGAAAAAAGCGGAAAAAAGTGCAATTTGTATTTGTTGAAAGAAAACAATTTTTTAGTTATTAAAAGATACTTGAATTTCACAGCCCTATAAATTTTTAACAATCTTATTTGTTTTAAGATTTAATAAGCCTGTTGTTTAAGTATTTTTTGGTGGCAATTTTATAGTATATCAAAACTATGTAATTGTTTTTACTTTATTTGATGAATAATTATTAATTTATTCAAAATTTTCGCCCTAAATCAACAACGAAAAATCTATAAAATTTCTTAATTTTTGTGCGAATTAAATTTAAAAATTTATTGCCATGAAATTATTAAAGTTTTGAAACTAATTTGTGTACCGTCGTCAATTTCATCCCTCTCAATTAATATTTCATTTCAATTTCCTTTTCAAAACAAATATTCACGAAACGCTTTAGTGCTTTTCGGAAAGCAAACAGCCTGGGCAAATAACGCGCGCAACAAATTTCCGTAAACAAATATACGAAAAGACTTTCCTTTCGCTCACTTTCTGATTTATTGTGCCAGGAATTTATTTGCCCATCAAAGTAGTTTCTACGTCGTCTGTCAAACTTTGCGCGCAACAGCTTGCCGAGTCATCTGGAGTGACAGCGTTTTATGCTTGTGCCCTGGAAAAACGATCCAATTTGCAGAGCGAAATATATATTTCTTTAAGAAGCAATCTGTTGCAGCTATATTTTGGCGCCACGTGTTGCTCCTTTGCTCGCTCGGACTTTTCCCAGAGGAGGAATCAAACTTGGGTGACCCCCCCCCCCCCCCGCTGCAATCGATCCATCTTTCTCGCGCGCGCGTTCACTCGCACAAATTAGCAATAGAAGTCCCCGCGGGACCCCGTCCGTGTTGACGAGCAGCAACCTTCAATCAAGCACGCATACTAGTATTGCCTATGCAAATCATGGTTTCATTAATCGTTGATTGGATTCTAATTGGGAAAAATCCAGCTGGTGGAAAAGCATCTCACGCTTAATGAAAGTTCCAGTTCCATTGAAATAACACATTCACTTACAAATTTCATTATAAATTATGATTTTTTGTTAATTTTATTCAGTTTTAGGGACAAAATTGAATATTGTGGGCCAAATTTAAGAAATTTAGTTTTCTCTTCGTAATTGTGTTTGCAATATTTTTTTTAGAAAAATAAGAAGCTGTGAAATATAAGTTAATTTAAGTTTTCTACCAATTTATATGCTTTTCGGAAGAAAAAACCCGACACTGATTTGTGCAGAATTGAATTTTTATAAACGTTCCAAAAATAGACTAGTTTGACATTTTAGAATTGAATTCTATTAATTATGATTTGCTTTTGTCGTGTTTTTCAACATTCAATAATAATGAGTTTTGGAGGAAAAGTTTCCGCAAGTTTTTTTGTAAGTTGAACATTGTAAAATAAACCATGTATTTGCTAAAACGAAATTTGAAATTAATGGGTGAGGTTTAAAAACTTACGATTTGTAATTAATATTAGTAAAAATCTTATTTAGTATTATTTAAAACATGCAAGTAAATTTTACCTTGTAAATTAGAAACTGGTGATAAAAAAATCCGAAATTGATTTTCTTCAGAGAAAAAGAACTCATTTTAGTTAAAAATTTATTAACTCTAATATATAACGAAAAATGAAATTTTCCGAAATTTCAATTCTCTCACTGAGCTTCAAAATTGAAGGGGAGAAGTGCTAATGGTGCTAAATCTTTAAACTGGTATAACCAAAATTAAGTAAATCAAACATAAATAACCACAATTTTCAATGCTTTTATTTAATTGAATGACGTGGAACAAAAATATAATTCTAATTTTTAAAATAAAATTAAAATAATGCAAATCTCGTGGTTTATGTTTTAGTTCCTTTTCCTTTTATTTGAAGTTTAAATCACGAACAATAAAATTATATCATTATATAAATGTACGATTTCCTCTCCGAATACCAAAATTTTCCACCTGCAAGTTGACGAGAGAAGTTTTTTAACTTCAGGGGTTCTTTTGAATTTTTTCGAAGAACAATGGGATTAGCCGGTGGAGACACTTCCTGCAAACAAACCCGTTTGTTTGCACATTTCTCTCTCCTTTTCTGCAGCGTTCGCGGTGTACATGTTTATTATTGTGTGTGTTTTGGCTGCGACGGCGCATTGTTCGCGAGTGATTTGCCTTGGCTCTTTTGTTGCCGCCGTGCGTCATTATTCAAGCGGCTTTGAGTGCTCCTTGTCTCAGACAAAGGGCCAAATTGGCGCTCTTTTCGCAGATTAACCGGGCGGGAGAGGCGCCACACAGATACACACACAAGGGTAGCTTTTTACCCACCATTAATCATCCCCACTTTAATTTCGCGCAGCTGCTCGGCAAATTTATTTAAAAAAAAAGGCAGTGATCTTTATGATAATTCTCCGTCTCGCGCGGAAAATAATAAACCGCGCGGAGGGTGCATTCCTTCCCTGTGTGCACACAAGGGCTGTAGAGAAGCCCCGGGCGCGTTTGCAGCCGCACAAGTTTTCTCGCGTGCGCTACCAAAACACACACGCCGCAGGAAATTGTACTCGAGAATTAAAATCCGGTAATTAACAAATCAGAGCAAGGAAATTGCTCGTCGGTGCTAAACTTGTTTTCGCCAATTTTCGAGAAATGCAAAAACTGCTTTGTCAGAGCTTTATTGAACGCGCCAATCACCGACTGTGGCCAACTTCCTGTTTTGAATAATTGAACGACTGCGAGAAACTGGAAGACGCGCGTGCAATTCAGCTCGGCTGCGCACTTGAAACTTTTGATTACAAAAGTGCTTGACCTTCACGTTACAAAACCTTCATTTAGTCTCACATTGCAACCAAATTATTTTAACCACAAAACTGCTAATTTCCTCTTATTGTTATAGAAACAAAATGCACACTGAGCATAATTATATTTCAGAAAGGATATGTCCTATTTTATTCTACTTAAAATTTATCAAAATGTTTAAAAGGTGTAAAATTTTAGGAAATTATAAAATTTATGTTTCGTGGGTTGATTAAATTATTCGCAATAATTTTAGAGAGATGTAGGGTTCATTGACACAAAGAAACACTCTTTTTCCGAAAGTTTTCATTCTTGATTATCATATTAGAAAAAATTGTGTGGAAAAAATTAAATAAATCTCTAACCATGGCTGGAGGGAAATTTCATTTAAATAAATTAAATGAGATTTAAAACGCTATAAAAGGAAAATCAGTTTTGAAATTTTGATTAATTAAATTCAGCTATATCCACAAGCGGATCTAAATTAAAAGCATGAAACTTTTTGAACGGCACTTTCTCACGCAACAATCAGGCCACAGGGTGTAAATCGATTACTAAAACAAAGAACATAATGTTGTATATAATTGTTTTACTACCACGTTAATGAATATTTTATAACCTCAACAATCAGTTCTCTAAAACATTATTTGCATTTTCATAATTTAAATTTTTATTTTTCGGCGTTTTGTTCAAAAAGCATTTTTTTTCGCCAAATATTTGATAGATTTAAATGCTGAAGTTCTGTCTGTTTATTTCATATATTATTTTTTTGTGTTGCATTTTGTTTTCTTGCATTGATTTTATCGCGCCATTTATTTATTCAGAGAAAACATATTTCCCGGCGGAGTCGCATCAAGTGACATTTTTCTAGACGCGACCTACTATATTATGTATTTCCTTGCAAGGAATATATATTTCTTTATTTTAAAGATGAGTATACAAAGGGGTGCCTCTTTTCTTTGTCCTTGAGCCGATTGAGCTGGAATGGGCTTATCCCGAGTCCTTTCTGCTGCGGTTCGCATCCGAGGAAGGAAGGAAAAAGCACCCTCTACCCTCTCCAATCAGAGCCCCATTCATTCTCGTTATTTGCCGATGCGAAATCGCCACCGCGTTTTCCCAGATGAACCGCTTTTTTCCTCCGCACTCAAATGTGTGTAGAACCGCTGCCGGCTGCACTAATCCCAGCCATTCTCGCAAATAATGAATTCCCTGTTTTCCGTCCGCGCCGCGATTGTCATTGGGAATATCGATTCACCCTCTTTGCGCTCATTTGAATTGCAAAAGCACGTGTTTTTTTTTCATTTTGACCTGGAAACCATTATTTATGCAGAGCGTTGAAAGTTCAAATTCAAGTTTCATAACGTGTTCTGGATTTAGACAGAAATTGATAAAAAATTAAATTGGTAAAAAAAAGTTGAGTTTTAAATCTTATAAAAAACCAGCTCTCATATTTTACTTTTGATTTATTTTAGTTTCTATTTCTATGTAAAATTTTTTACTAGTTATAAGAATGTGACTGGTGCAAATTTCATGTGTAATAATTATTATTTTGAATTGTATTTTTCACAGGAGATGGATGTGCAGCCGAGCACCCTTGAGGAGGCATGTCAGATGATCCACGAGCTCAGGGAAAGGCATCGCAGCCAAGCACATCAGTTGTTGTCCTGGCGCCGCCGAGCTAAGGCTCAGGTATATATATTATTTGATAAACTCTCTATGCCGCGCCGCTTCTTGCTCGGCCGGCCGAACCGAGATTCAGGTTTCAATCGCACCTTTATTGCCGCTGCTCTCTTGAAATTCTTGCTGCGAATCGATTTTGAAGCTGCCTGCGGTGTCCAGTTACTAAAAGCAAATCATGCAACACAACTCTCACACAGACCCTTTGTGCTCCCATAAAAACGCATAAAAGGATTTTTTTAACTTTATTTTTCCCTGTGCGTCACATTTCATTACAAAAATTACTTTTTAATTTTAATATCGTTTATTATAGAGAAAATTAAATGAACAATTAATTTGAAAAATGCACGTTAAAAATTAAAAGTTTTAAAGCTGTTGATTTTGTATTGAATAAAAATAATTAATAATATAATTATTTTTAATTTTAGTTATTATTTTGGTTAATATAATAATTTTTTTTTTCATATTTTCAGGAGGAAATGATGGCAAAACTGGCCCGTGAACATGCCGAGCAGCTGAAAGGCTTGTCGTCGCAACTTCTGCTGCTGGAGGCCGGTCTGTGTCGGAAGCAAAAAGAGATTCGGACGCTCCTCATGAACCGAGACAAGTGTGTGATGAGACAGTCAAGAACCATCAGGGTACTGCAGCAGCGCCTGGCCGACTCTGGCCTGGACCCCTCCTTGCTGGACACCAACGAGGTTGACCTGGCCGCCGACAACGACAGTGCCGTGGTGCTCGAGGACGGGTCTGCGATGGACCTGCAGCTGGCACTGCCCCTATCCTCGGTTCTCCGCTACAACAGCACCACGGCTGCTGTGCAGAGAAGCATATCAGATGCAACCAAATTCTCTTCCTCTGGTAATTTTTGTCAAAATCTAGAGCAAATCATTTGATTGAAAATGCTTAAATTTGAAATAAGCACTTAAATTTTAATTCAGATATATATGTTTTTTTTTTATATTGAAGCAATTTTATGGAGAAAATTTATTGAACCTCAAAATAATTCAAGTATTTGTTTTTGCTAGAATTATCAAATTAAATTGTAAATTAAATTTTAAGGTGCTGGTGGCAAACGAGGAAGTAACTCCTTTTTAAGAAGACCTGAAGTACTTGAGACTGTGTACAGCGTCGAGGAAGATCAAGACTCGGAGGAACCTCCGAAACAGTCAACTCCAGAGCGGCCACATAGTGTTTCCGACTGCACCGTTCCAGCAGTCGATGAAAACTCTCCTATTACTGATTCCGAGATGGTATGCAAATAAATGTTATATATTTTTTTGATATTTTTATGAAGTTCTAATTGAATGTTTTTTCAGCTTAACCACAATTCTGTGTCAAATGAAGATTCCGAGCGAAAGTTGTTACGAAGGCAGCCTCCGTTGCGAACAAGCCGGGTGGACCTGGAAGAGCCACCCAGTTGGATACCAGCGCCCCCCGCCGGGGGTCAGCAGCATCAGTTCAACCGAGTCATGGGCAACAATCACCGATCTGTGACCAAGCCCAAGGATGTCAAGTACAAACGCATCAACAAGGCCAAAAGCAAGTCCCTGGAAGAGCTGCGCGGCCGTCTTCGAGTGGAGCCTCAAAGTCCTGCCTAACTAAATTAGCTCACCTGCCCTGCTCAACTCAACTTTTTTAATTTAATTGTTATACACACACGTATGATGTATTTATCAAACTTGTAGGCCGTGGCCTGCCGACCAAGGCGTAGTGATGTTAGGAATATAAGACTCGGATTATGTGAAACTTGCTAAGTGAAAAGTCTATTAACACCACTCTATGGTGCTCTATCTGTGACCTTATCTCTAATCTTGTCTTGGATTAATGAAATTTGCTCTGATATCAGTAAAACTGCAAATGTGCTGAATTTAAAAATAAGCAATCTTTATTTCAAAATACATATAATTTCATTTATAAACGCTTCTTAATATAATTTGAAAAAATTGTTTTTGAAACACTCCTTTTTAATTAAGTACTTTTGTGCTGGTCTGAGAACATTTTGGACAAATCACAGTTTGCGTGGTTTCCAATTTGACTAATAGGATCCACGTCCGCCGTTGACGCGCTGTTGGTCGTAGCCCTGCTGTTGATTGTAGCCCTGCTGCTGGTTGTAGCCCGGGACCAATGGTTTGGCGTGTCCGCCGGCTGGTCGCTGGTAGTCGTTAACATTTCGTCCAGGGATCAGAGGCTTTGCAAGTCCGCCTGCGGGACGGTTGTAGCCATTGCCATTGTTGAAGCCATTGTTATTGTAATTTGCGCCTTGTCCATTATATCCCGCTGCAAAATATCATAGTGTTAAAATTTAGAAGAAAAATTAAATATAATTACGTGGGTTGACGGGACGACGTCCAGGAATAGTGACTGGGCGATGCTGAACTCTACCCGGCAGCGTGACCGCCTGGTATCTTCCCTGGCCATTATTGTAGTTTTTCTGCGAGTTGTAGTCCGAACCGTCTAAAAATTAAAATTTTCAAATAAAATTCGTCGTCCAATTACAAAAATTGAGAGAAAAATATTTTAGAAAAGTTTAACTGACATGCAACGGCGGCAAGGGCGATCAGGATTACTATGGTCTTCATGGTGTTGATCTGCAGTGTCAACTCTCGCTCATCGGGCCAATGTAACAACCTTATATAGCTCCCGAGTCGAGAACTCTGGTCTCTTCGGTCCTCCGCAGTCTCCTGTCTCAGCAAGTCAACAACAGCGGCGCGCCACAAACCGCTGCCAAAGTAACTAAGCAATTAAAAATTGCCTCAAAAACCTCAACAAACATCCTAGCATAAGACTATTGCCCTCTGCAGGAAGTTATCTCTTATCAAGCTATTTTTAATTAGTAAGAATTTCACTGAAAAATTTGAAGATGAAAAGTTTTTTTAATTAAATAAATTTAAAAAATTAACAATTTTTTACAACACTTTCATACTTTATTTTTGTTAATTATTCTATTCTTCAAACAAGTTCATAATGAATTGACTGGACGAACTTAAAAATTTATAAATAAGACTAATTATAAATAAATTTACCACACAACAATAAATTATTTCTCAACATTGAATTATTTATTTTTAATTTTTTTCTCACCGAAACCATAAAATATTTTTTTTTTATAGATTTTTCGATCTAGTGTACTCACCCGTGTACTTTTGATGAAGGGCTTTTTAGCTCTTCATCAAATCATCAATACTCTCTTCTACTTGTGATACTCTTTAAATATTTTTACTAAATTTTTGCTATTTTAAATTCTTTCGTGATGGGTAATTAATAATGATATTAAGAATGAGGAATAAACAAAATAATATTCTAATCATTGTATTTTTTTCTCAATTATAGTTATAATTATTTTTTACTATTATATATATTGAATTAATTCAAATTCATTTAGTAAAATAGGTTGAATCAAAAATAAAGATTGTGTTTATCAAGCACGGTTATATTTATTTGATTTTTTATGCAGCTTAAATAAATTGTATTATGTATAAAGTGTGCGGCAGTGTATTTTATTTAGATTTTTTCTGCAAGTTTAATGCAAGCAATTTTTGTTTAAATTGAATGAGAAAATTTGATAAAAATATCCTTGTCGTTACAGATTGGAACATCTAATTTCGTTTGACATGTGTTGTGTTGGAACCAGATTTTCTCTCGGGCGCATGACTTGAAAAAATCCGTTCACTCGTCGTTGTACACAGTTCTTTACGCGCCCTTTCCCTCTCTCGTGGTAGTTTGTCGTAGTAAGTTCATTCATTGCCGGTAGGCGATAATGCACCCTCGAAAGCATTGTGGTTCGTTTTGAAGCCGCTAGATGTCCAACACGAACCGCAATACGAAATGCATCCCCGGCTACCATTGGTTGGTTTGAACCACCCGCTCCCCTGAGGCCAAACAAGCCCGAAATTACGAATAATTCTACTTTTCGGCCGAATTTGATCGGCGAAACGCTTAGATTGAGACTTTCTTGGTCGAAACGCAGTGGCGGGGAAACGTGAACGGCTTCGGTTGTTGAGTAATCGTGTCGCAAAGCGAATCGCAGTGTGTAAAGAAGCCGGCCTGCCATTGGCTAAGAGGCCGTGACGTCACGCGCAATCACAAAGCCGCGCGGCGATTGGCTACCGTACCGCGGTGGATCTGAATCAGACCAATCGCGGCACACCCGTGTTACTGGCATAGACCGCACGAGTGGCGTGGGTCGCGCTATTCGTATAATCTACTGCAGCCCGTTTACGAGGTGAGTGACATTTTTCCTTTTTTCCTATTTCTGTCAGAGTTTGCAATTTGTTCTGAGTGTGATGTTTGATTTTTGTCAAATTTATGGCGGGCCTCGCGGGCCGGGCCCTTTCTTCGTTCGTGCGGGGCCAATGTCACCGGTCCCTGAGCCCCGTACAGCCTTGTATACACGCCATACAAACGTCCCAGCAAATGGCTGCCATAAGCTTAGCATGGGCCGACGCATTTTGGCGCGGGGGCCCGCGGGGCCGCGCGCCCCGCTCGATCGGCCGCGGCCAAAAATTAAACCGATTTATTTGCCAAATTTTGGCCGCGCCAGGTTTGGCCGCGCCCGCCGAATACCCGCCGAACGTAAACATTGGTGGTCGGCTCGGCTCGCAATGGCGAGTATACGAGGCTATATGCAGGCCCATGTATTCCTTATGGCCCTATCCCTTATATACACGGTAGGGTTAGGGCGAGTTGGCCTCCTGCGAGGCCGACGGCCGGCGGCCCTCGGATTAGTGGCCACGCGCGAGGCCGCCGGCCCAAATGAGCGGGACTTTCTTTCATGGGACCCCCGCTCGGGGCCCCTGGGCCCTCTTTTCGGCTCAAATAGTTTCGCCATAGTTTAGCATGGGGCCTCGTGTGACACGATAACCCAGTAAGCCGGGGGCCCCTGCATGGACCCAAAGGGCCCCTGATTTTTGTTATTTTTAGCAAAATGGCGTGTCAGAAGATGGCGCGAGGAGAAATGAAGGTCGAACTTACAAAAATATAAATTACAAATTAGTGGCACGCACTTTGCGTGTTCGGGGGCGCACGGGGGGCCCAGTGATTTTTTTGGGAAAATTTTTTTTTCGCTAATCGACAGCTCGGCATCACTGGGTTTGGATTGGTGGGTGTCGCGGCCACGGATTCGGTCTCGGTTCTTGAAAATATTTAATAATTGAGGCGCCATGACGCTGTAGACCTGTGGAGCACACAACTGCCTTGCCTTAAGTAAGCACCAACGGCCAAACACATTCCCTCTTCAGTCCGAATGTCACTCCTAGAAGAATTAAAATCATTAATTTTTACCATCAAATAATATTCATTAAATTGATAAATTAGTTCAAGATTGAAATTGATTAATTTGGACAAACCGTTTCAAGGATGTAATTTAAATATCCTTCCATTTAAATTCCTCAGTTTATCTTTGCAGTCATATCTGGATACATCAAATAATTAAATTTGGATTTATTTCTTTTATAATTTCTGAATTATTTATTGAAAAAAATTTAATTTATTTTTAGTCTCCATTTAAAATGCCACTTTTACGCGGCAACTAGCTATTTTTTTATTATTATTTATTTTTTTCTTCCGCGGTTGTTCAAAGTTCAGAAAAGACAGTCCGTTATCCCCTCCCCCCGGCATCAGAATAATAACGTAAATATTATCCGCGGCCGAATTGGCGGCAAACTTAGGTGCCCGAAGTTGCATCTGCCTTGGCGCCCTCGTGCGTCATTTGTTGACAAGAGGCGCGAATCCCGTTCCAATAAAATAATACGTGACCGGCGAGCGCGGTTTGGCAAATTTCGAATTCGCAACGACAAAATTCGTCGCACCCGGGCTCGGTTGATTTTTCTTATATATTTAATCGACCTTCCGAGCCGAACGGCAGCTGCCAAGCAGCCATACTTGCCGTGGCACGTTCGCTTCCTATGCGGCAACGCAATTTCCACCGAATTCAATTTTTCATATTTTTATGTGCGAAAGTCGCCTGTTTCGGTTCGGATTGCTACGTTTTGCTGCCAAAATGCGGTTTCAATAAAATTTGGCGCGAAAACCGGGTCGGTTCGCGAGAATGGGGATTCGTTCTGGAAACGCAATGTATTCGAGGGTTGCTTTCGTTTCTCGGGTTGGCGCGCTCTTGCATGACCCTCCCTCGGCACGGCTCGGTGCGAGCAAAGCACGACGCCAGCCGCTGCTGCTATTGACCGGCGTGGGTCCCCCTCGGAGCGGCACGGCTCACAAATTACCCAGCGCGGCTTGGCGCTGCCATTTCGTGAGGTCGGCGAGCGAGGCTAGCACTAAATTACCAGCGCTAGTTGCGAGGCATTCCGCCAGTGGCGCTGCCCCGGAGACCGTTTAAAAAACGTGAAGCGCAGTTGCCAGTTCGCTCGCTCGCCGATCGCCTCGCCGAATTCGACATTTCTGAGTGAAGGCGCGGCCGAAAAGTTGTTTTTCCGTTCGGACGGGTCCATAGTAGGCGGCCGAGGGCCGACTGGCGGCGGGTCGCGCGCCCCCGAGCCGAATTCGCGAAGCGGCCGCTCGACGCTTGGCAAGCCTGGGTGGCGGCGAGTGCGTCTTGGCAGTAGAGAACGAGGCGGCGGAGGCTCTGGTAGTGTGTTGTGTGTGTGTGTAATTTGTGAAAATGTCGGAGCAACGCTGGAGGGAGGACCCGGGTGTTTGGTGGCCCGCTCCCGACCAGAACAACAGAGCCCCGGACTCGTTCCCGTACAAAAATTTCCCACCCCCTAGTGCTGCCCCTTGCGTCAGGGGCTACCCTGACTACCGCGGGGTCCCCGGCAGGCCAGACGGCTCAGTGGCGCCCCCCGGCTGGTGGCCGTCTTACCCCGGAATGGACGGTGGCATGACCAATTCGGCCGCAGTGGTTAGTTTCTTTCGGCCGCCCCCCGACGACGATGCCGAATCGGCCCAGTGACAAATTCTCTGCACGTGGTGGTTGCTGCGTTTCCTTCGTCGGCAGCTGCGGGGGCCCCGGGGCCCCGCCGGCATGTGGTGGTGCGGCCAGACCGGATGGCGCTAATTTAGAGAGAGACACACTCACACACCGAGGGGAACGTTCCCGACGAGAGCTTTTTTTTTTCGGAAAAAAATTGGCCGAATCGTGCGATCAATAATTTTTTAATTGGATTCTTAATTAACCTCGAACAAACCTGTTTTGCTCCGGACGCTGCTCTCTCGGCTCTCTTTCCCTCTTCTTATTCTTTCGAAAGCTCTTTCGCTTAGAAAGATTGATTTATTTTCTGCGCGGAAAAGCCGCGCCATCAAATGTAAACACAACCTTTTTTTCCCATACGACCGCCCGTAATGAGAGTGTTTATTTACGCCGCGACCATTGTGCTTGCTTGACACACTCGTGGGTCTCTCCCAATTTTCTTCCAAATATTAATTGCCTGTTATTCATAATTATTATTATTTTTTTAATTATATTAAAAAATATCAGGGCCGACCGCGCATTTTAAATATTTCAAATCGGGACTGCGGCGGCGACTCCTTTTGTGCATACGGCGTGTGTGTGTTGGCCCGTTCGTTCATTCGCTCTGGGTTTGAGGGTTGAGAGGGGAGAATATTGATTAGAAAGGAAGTCAAGGGTTGGTCCCCACAGCATCCAAACTTTGACTATAAATTAAAGAATTTACCAGAGGGAGAAAGAGAGAGAGAGAGCTCGCGGCTTAAATTATTAACCAGCCGCTTTTTAATGATTTATCGAATTGGTTTAATGAGTTTTATCTCGCGCGCCCGCTTGTGTTTGTTTGCTGATTAAATCAAAACATGTGCGCGAGCGGGGCGCTTTTTCGTGATAATATAAAATAAAAACGCACGCGGAACTGCGGGAAAGTTTCAGTCGCTTGCTATTTTTTTTTTCGATGATTGTCTTTTGAAAATGACGGTTTTGTAAAAATTGGAAAAAATTCCTAGAAACGAGGTTTCTAAAATTCTTTGCTATTTTTACAAAATAATTGTTTTGAAAAAAAATGATTGTTTGTCGGTACGAATGTGTATTTTTCGCGTAGAACGAATTTTTTTCTCTCTCATCCCTGGATTCTCACAAAGCTTTTGCATTTTATTCCGAGTGCTTTTGATTCCGCTTGATAAACTCGTGCGGCGCGCGTTCAGGGTCAGCGCGACGGAGAGAAAGAACCGGCTGCCGAATGCAGGCAGTTGGCGCGCCAAACGCGCGGCGGGAAACAATGCAACCACCTGCCCTTTTTGTAGCAATTGTAGCCCCCGAACGAAGAAATTGGGGCGCAGTGAGTGAACGAATGTGTGTTTGTCTTGTTTTAGCCGCAAAACTCTTCACAACAGCAGAGTCAGCTGCACCAGCTTCACCAGCAACACCAACAGATTCAGCAGTTCCAGCAGCATCAGTTCCAGCCCCAGCACCAACAGCAGCACCAGGCCGCAGCGCAGCAACTCCACTTACAACAACAGCAGCATCAACAAAGAGGCAAAATGCCGCGTGGAAAGGGACCTGATGCCAAGCCCAGGGGGCGCATGACTGCCTATGCCTTCTTCGTGCAGACCTGCAGGGAGGAGCACAAGAAGAAGCACCCCGAGGAGTCCGTCGTCTTTGCCGAGTTCTCCAAGAAGTGCGCCGAAAGGTGGAAGGTGAGTTCTTGTTGTTGGATCTTTTCTCTCTTGCAGCTTTCCAGCTCGGACGGACCTGAAAGAGGGAGGGTGGGAGAGGTCGAGACCTGCGGCGGCTCCAATGATCACCGCCAGATAACGCGCGCGGCCTATAAATCCTTTTAGAAAGCACAATTTTACTGCTCTATCTCTAGGGGCCTCAAACCGCTTTTTCAGCTTCCCAATTAAATTAACCAAATCATTTATCGAGCATTTTAATTTTTCAGCATTTATAAGAATTTATTCGTTCACATTTAGGTCTTCTATTCTTAAATGAAATGCAAGCGTTTACGTAGAATATTTAATTGGCTCTTTAATTAGAAACAAAGATTTAGGTTTTTTGATCAAAATTAATGGAGTTATATGAGATGGCAATTAATTAATTGTGATTGTCATGCGCATAGTTCCATTGATTTTGCCAGAAAATGGATTTCTCTGCAGATGCGTTCAAGTTGCCAACTGAAAATTTAATCAAAATATATCGCGGGCCTGTAACGTGACAAACGGTTGGTAAGTTTCGTCCCCCTTGGTGGAACCAATTTGTGCGCTGCGCCCCGAAATTTCCTTTCTAGCAGGTCGATACACGCGCCCGCAGCCGAATTTTAAATCCATATTACGAAGCGGCCATTTTGTTTATAATTTTCCTATTGGCTATAAAATTGTCCTCCGTCCAACTAATAAAATCTTAATTTATTGCTCGCTCCGCAGAGGCGGCCCGACCGCCCGCTCCGCTTTTGCTCCGAACGGGAAAGTTGGATTTTTTAATTTTCGAATTGGCGTTGCGTTTTAGTTTTGAAATTCCTGCAGGAGAGGCTGGAGTAAATTGCTGGCCAACAAAATTGAGGGGCTCCGGCGGATAATCACGATTTATGGCTCGAGGACGCGCGCCTTCTCCCTCTCGGAACCCAATTTTGTAACTTTTTCATTCAAAACGGCCCTTTTCCTTTTTCTCTCAAATTAGAAGTTTTGATTTTGAAATTATTTTCATACAATTTATGTAAAAGTCACTGCGCTTGGAACAATCACATCCTCCCCTCTCGCGCTTTGTTCTGCCGCTTGGTTTTTTCACTCGCTGGTCATCTGTACGTTGAACCTCGAGGCGAGCCGCGCGCTTTTAATATTTTTTATATTATTTCTTCCCGACTCGCTCGCTCGCTCGCCGCCCATAATGGAATCTTAATTAACACTTTTATGAATATTTTAAATGGAAATAAATTTACTCCTCCAACCTTGGTCAGTTTAATTTTTTATATATTTTGAGTTTTTTCCGCTTGGGCGATTTCTTTTCGATCGGGAAATTTGATATGTGGCCGGGATATTTTGTTTATTAGGGTTTGGATCGTAATTCGTGCACGGCTCGGGTCGGTCTCGCAGCACAGTCGAGCTAGCTGGCCGTGGTCCACACCTGGTTAATAAACTGGCTGAGAGAGAGAAAGAGAACCGGATCCTCGATGTGTGGGAATACAGGTTTTGTGGATGGAGATCGCGGCGGCGGCGGCCAAGCAGGCAGGCAGGCCGAGGCAGCAGGTGCGCGCGCACCCCGCTGCTCCCCTCGTCTAATCTCGCCAACCCTAGGGGTGCCTGCTGCATGTGCCTCAAACTAATAACTTTACAAAAATCAATTCCCGCGAATTCGCCCCGCACTCATTTCCCTTCTCTAAATCTTCATTTTCCCTCCTCGGGCGTGGGGGCTCCCGGGGGTCGGCGCGGGGCCCGCGGGCCCCGCGACCCACTTGGAGGGGTTTTGTTTGTTTACGTTGGGCGGCGGGCAGGCGGGGTTTCATCCCCCCACCCTCGGAGCAGCTCTGCTGCAGCACCCCAGGCTATGGAAATGGACAGGGAGGAAATTAGAATACCCCCTTTCCTCCTCTATTGATCCGAGCAGTTGAAATTCGCTCTTGCACTATGCTTGGCGCGTTAGGAAATTAAAAAGTTGCCCCTCGCGCCCTCATTGGCTGGAAATTTAATTGATTTTTTTCTCTCTCTTATTAACCTGCTCAAGGCTATTGAACGCGCCGCTTATGTAATTATTGATTATTGCCGCGGAAAAAAACTAAAATAGTCAAATTGCGTCAAAAACTTTCTTGTGTTTTTGTTGCTCGTAGAAAAGTAAATTTTGCTGAAATTAGAGCCGCGGACGGAAAATTGAATCAATTACGAGCGCGAGTTGTTTCGAGAGAGAGCTAGCGAGTGTGTTCTGTTCTTGCCCAGCATCTCTCGTTTCATGTAAAAGGGGTTGGTTGGTGCCTGCAGATATATTGCCACATATTGATCCACTCTAAATGCTTCTAGTCGCTCTCTCTCTCATACATGCGGCGGCTCTCCGCCACCAATTTGATTTTAAAATAGGGGAGAATGGAAATTGGCGTTCGCCCTCTGCTGCGGATTCGCGCAAACAAATATAATCCACCTCCTCTTTGGAGGAAGAAGTGTCGGATAATGCAAATCGTCTAATCAAAGGACATTCATTCTTTTCGTCTTTGGAAGAATAAAAAACACGGTTCTTTATTGCTTTATCTCTTCTGTTATCAAGGGGTCGTTTTGTTTGCCCTGAAAGAGTTCATTCTAGCCTTGTTTTGGGGTTTTTACTTATCTGGAAATCTGTTTGATTGCAGACCATGGTGGACAAGGAAAAGAAGCGTTTCCACGAGATGGCCGAGAAGGACAAGAAGCGCTACGAGCTGGAAATGAAGGACTACAAGCCGCCCAAGGGCGAGAAGGTCCGCGGAAAGAAGCGCAAGCACATCAAGGACCCCAACGCACCCAAGCGCTCTCTGTAAGTGAACAAAAAACAATTTTCCTCATTTACTGTTCAAAGTTTTGGAGTTCGAATTCTCATTTTGTTGCAAGAAACTTCCAACTATTTTTAATGAATTGATTTACCTTAATTAATATCAATTTGAGAAAAATTTTGAATAAAATGTTGAATTTTGTATTTTCTTGATTTTAGGTCTGCCTTCTTCTGGTTCTGCAATGATGAGAGGCCCAAGGTGAAGGCCATCAACCCCGAATACGGTGTCGGCGACATTGCCAAGGAGCTGGGCCGCAGGTGGTCTGATTGCGACCCTGAGTGCAAGGGCAAGTACGAGGCCATGGCCGAGAAGGACAAGGCTCGCTACGACAGGGTGAGTTAAAATTTTGATATTCAAATTATTCGTCTTTTTAAAACTCGATTCATTTGTTGTGTTTTTTGATTTGATGTGAAAATTAATCTTGCATTTGTCTGATTGTAGGAAATGACCGCCTACAAGAAGAAGCCCAAGTTGCCCCCAGGAGTGCCTGCCAAGCCCGCCTCCGAAGACGAGGATGACGACGGCGACGACGATGATGGAGATGACGACGAATAAACAGTAATAACTTAAGAATAATAATGCTGCTGAGAGACTGTGCTACAACCATCGCCCCCCAGTGTACATACATTTAAAGAGTAAATCATGCAAACAAGTTTTCAATTTTGGGTTTGTACTTAGCCAATGAACGACGACTGTTGTATCAAAATTTTTCATACAACTGGGAGGGTTTGACCTGATGCACGCAATGCAGTCGGTTTTCATTTCGTTAGGCGCATTGTCTTTCTCCTAGGTGTAAGTGTGTGTATCTTTTTCTTTGGTACCTGCTTCAGTCTGCTGCTGGCTGGAGTCAAATCCTCCTGGTGGCTTAACAAGTGCAATTGGTGGTGAGGCCGGCCGCCATAAGGACTCCTCTATACATAATATATTTTGTTCTCGTGTTCATGTCTATACACATTCCTCACGTGAAGGATAGAACAAACAAGGAAGAAAAATTCAAAAAAAGAAAACAAACGTTAAACACACGGAGAAGAAGAAGCAAGTAAATTAAGAATAATCATCATTTTAAGGAGAAAAACATTTTAAAAATAATTACACTACTCTGATTGTAAAATACTGTAGAATATTTTAATACTTTGCAGACCACAAACTACTACTGAACGAGACAGAGGCGCGTCATTTTAAGAAAGTGTAACCGCGCCTCACCCTCTTTTTTTATTTACACAAAGAAAAAGTAAACTGATGACCGATGATATGCTCTGTATTTAAGTTTCTAGATGAAAATCGACTTAGTAAAGTCAGTATTTGTTTTGTATCTCATAGAAAATAAACTAAAAAAAATTTCCAAAACTCGCTTTTGTTTCAATAATCAAAATTTATTCAACAACTGTATAATTCGTAGGTCCAACTTGATAAAAAGCGATCACAGACAAAGTAATAATAATTGAATTCGATCGTTCTTTGGCAATTCACAATGGCTGCCTTTCGAAGGCGATTTCATTGCATTATTTGCAACTTTGAATAAACGCACTCGCCGGCAATCCAGGTTGACCAAATCGAGTAGTCCTCGCCGAGGAAGATGAAGTCGGCGTCGGCACCAAAGTTCAACGTGCCCTTCCGGCCGTGAATGCCAATGGCGCGCGCAGCGTGCAGTGAGGCCGCCTCCAGCGCGCTCACCATCGAACACCCTGCAATGGAATTTCTCTATTTTAGTCGTTTGGAGCAAATATCAGCTTTTGGGCTGACCAGTGGCTTGGGCAAAGTGCTGCACGCACTCGATCATGCTGGCAATGCTGCCGCACAGGGTGGTCGTGCCGGCCACGTACGCGTGGCTGTTCCGCACTTCAACGGCCATCTGCCCCAACTGATGCGTCCCCTCTTGCAGGCCGAGGGCTGAGATAGCGTCCGTTACCAGAACCAGACCTATTACAACACACGATCCCCTTACTCAGCGTTCTCTCACACAGGGGTGATGCTCAATTCTATTGTGCTTCTTAAATTCTCACGCAACTTTTTTCTTTGTATGGACCAACGCATTCTTTCATCCCCCATCAGTGTAGAAAAAATTGACCCATTATTTTTTCAGGAACTCAAATATTTCATGTATTTAGTTATAAATTATTTAATCGATAAAAAGTGAGACTTTATCAATTAAAGTGTTTAAATGGAAAATAATAAATTGATGAAGCAAAACCAAAATGAGACCATTTGGATGTGTTCTGTGTGCGATTCTAAGTGCAGCCGGATGTGTGTGAATTCCGTCCGCAATGATTCCGAAAAACACAGTTTTCCCCTCAGGCACCGCGTCCGACGTCAACAGTCCAACAATGCCAGGATCTCTGTGATGAAACTGGAGCAAAAGAATTATTTAAATCCTTTTAAATTATAATATTTACTGGAAGCATAGCGTTGAATAAGTGAGTAATAAAGGTGGCCCCGTGCTGGACAGCAACCTCGCCGTGGACTAGATCGCCCATCGAGTGACCTACAGAGACGGTCACATTACGTCTGGACAATTCTTCAACAACCTCAGAGGCGTTTTTAAGTTCAGGTGCCAGAGTCACGATGGAAACATTGTCGAGACCGCCGTAGACGTCCAATACTGATTGAAAACCCTGAAAAAGAAAATATTAATTATAAAAAAGATTTATTTAAGTAATTAAAAAATAGCAAAAGCTAATTATTAAATATATTTTCCTAATAGAGAATGATTGATTTTTATGTTAAAGTTTCTTTTTAATTAAAATAGTTATCTAAATTGATCAATTTAATTAAAAATATTTCATTCAATATTTTAATTTCAGAAATTATTTATGATATATAATGATTATTTTAAAAATGAATTCAACCAATTTAACACGAACTTAAATTAAAACATTAAGCTTGCTTCGATATTCAGTAATTTGAAACTGAATAAAGTTTCCTCACTTTGGCAAAGGTTCTGATAAACTCTGCAGGGTGGGCACCCTTTTTCATCGGGCTGATGAAGGGTCCTTCGAGGTGCACCCCAAGGACGGTGGCACCGTGTTTGCCTCCCTGCTGCGTTTGAATCGTCGGCAAAACGCGGTGATAAACCGCTTCGGGCGAGGTAACCAGGGTCGGGCAGAACGAGGTGACACCGTGCGCCAAAATGCCCTTGGCCACCTTCGCCACTCCTTGCTCGGCTTTCGCAACGTCGTGCGAAAAATCAACTCCGAAACCACCTGTCGAGGAAGACACAATTATTTTTATAATTTCTGTTTAGAGTTTAGAACTTTATGGATAGAATTAAAGAGGGTTGTTGCGAAAACTGTACCGTTGATCTGCAAGTCTATGAAGCCTGGCGCGACGATGGCACCCTGGCAGTCGACCTGCAGGTCGGCGCTGACCCTTTCGTCAAAGAAAAGCGTCTCGGGATTCTCGATCTTGCCGTCGCGCACCCACAAATCGTCCTTGACAAGCGTGTGGTCGCGCAGGAGGCGGCAGTTGACAAACTGGACGAGGCGGGACGCCATGCCGGACGCGCTACGGACGACACGATTCGGAGCAGGCCGCCGCAGAGATTAGGAAAACGGGTCGCAGGGTCATTGTTTGCCAATCTCGAGACGTTTTCGCCGCTGACAAGATTCTCGCCAGTGCTGCCAACCAAACTCCTTTCCTTGGACATTGTGGATTTTCAGACATTTCAGTTACCTTAAGAATTAGAAAATCCTAATTTGAATTTTGATTGAAAAATTGCTTTTAGAGATGATTGAGGTAAATAGTTTTGTAATCTGGAAAAAATATAATAAACTCTCGCATATAAATTTGTTCGTTTGGTACGATTCGTGGCGCGAAGCGAGGATCACGGGAGCAATTTGCAGCTCTTATAATGAAGAATTTAGGAGTGAATAGATTACGGTCAAGGACAAGTAAAAGCGGGCTCTTTCAGAAGGCTTTCACTGTAAAATTCGCAAACAAGTTTATTTGATTTTGTTTGCGAATTTCTGAATTTCAAGAGGCTTATTTTCTTTGATAAAATAAAGTAATCATATCATTAGATATTATATATTTATTATTTTGCATGTAATTTTGTGACATGAGTCATGAAATAAATACTTGTGATACTTTAATTTATTTATAACATGAATTATTTATATTATTTTATCATTTAGAACTCTTTCTTGTTTAAGCCGGCCAATTCAGTTTATAAAAAATTCTTTGCACGAATGCTTCATCATTCTAAAAAATATCAAATCAATATAATATATTTTATAAAGATTAATTTTAATAAAAAGATACCAAGCGTGATGAAATTAAAAATATCAAACATTCATTATAACGATAAAAAACAGTTTATATTTATTTTGAATTTTATGTATCAATTTTATTTGAATAAAGTTAACCTCTGGAAAGCCTGGGACTTCTGCCAGGCTGTCTCAGCACATTTTTCACGCCGCCTGCAATTCGTCAAGGTGGAAAGCAGTACGAATGGGTGGCTTCAGTTTTCATTCTCGATCTCATCATCTGGCTTACTTATCGCAGGCAATATTCAAAATCAAATTAATGAAACCGTATTAATTTGAAATATTATATATTATTAAGCCACTGAGCCGCGTTTCATTTGACTAAAAAAAAGACTCGTAGAAGTCAGTTCCTTTTTCCCTAATGAAGCCATTTTTTTTTTTCAAATTTAATCATTGTTTTTGTTTTAAATAACAAAAGTTGGGTTATACAATTGCAAAAAATGAGGCGAAAAGTACATTTTTTGATGGATACCTTTATTAATCAGCAAAAAACAAAATACATCATCATCAGAGTAACTCGATTCCAAAAATAGTAAAGAATACCTTCCCATCATTAACTTAAAAGAAGCGTTAGTGTGTATGTGTACTTATTCATATGTAAACGCTTAAAAAAAAACTCAAAAAGGAGGTGTGTGCATCATTTTCCACTGCTGATCTGAACTGTGCTTTGATTATATTTACACTACATAATATCTATCCCAATCGATTAATCAACCGCAAATAGCTAATTTTTGTTTTCTTGTTCACTCTCCAATCCAATCAACTAATCTAAACGTAATTACGCCCTGCTAACGGTTTTCTCGTTTTATACCACCTATGTACAAAGAAGCATGTGTTGTTGTATATAATTATGTATAATATAATTAATATAAAGAGGACAGTGTAGGTGCAAATCAGTGCCGAGAGACTAGCACACATTTATTTCTGTAAATTCATTCTTCTCATCAATAAAATTCCTTTGGAAGCTGTGTGTGTGTTTACACTTCTGTAAAAGACGTGAGAGTGTATAATATTCATCATCATTCGAATACACAATAGTAAAGATTATGCATGCATAATATTATTACATTTTATTTTATATTATATAGTTGAAGTGCAGTTTTGTTGTTTTCTTTTTTCCAAGTAATTACATTACTGTTAATAATAAAAATATGCCTTGAGCAACGACACTAAAATCATAAATTGTCCACGATGTGATTGAAAAAAACAAATTACTATACGTGGAAAAGGAACACTAAATAATGCGCAAAAAACACAAAAAAGTTAAATGTATATAAACGAACAATAAGAGAAAAACATCGTGTAAAGGCTAGAATTGGTAAATGTATAATTATTATTTAGTATTATGCTTGAAATGTTCTCTTAGAAGTATAATATTACAATAATTTTTGATCACATTAAGGCCAATAAGGGCTAAAAACACTTCCTCTCTTCTGAATCTTGAACATGAAATTACCTCTGCTTTTTTTTTAATTATTTCCGTCGTTTTGTTGTTTTTCGTAATGTATATATATATAATATATGAGAGTGCCAAATCTAAAAAGTAGAAATGTTTGACTGCGGCGGCTTCATTTTCAGTTTTGCTCAAAAATTGGCTTCTTCATTCGACGCGAGACGACTCTACAGATGAGAAAAGCTATCCGTACGAGCCGCTTCCTCAAAATACACACGACAACGACAATTCAATAAAATTGTTTTTATTGTTATCATTTAGCAAAAGGACTAAAGGCAACTGCTTGACCCCGTGTAAAAACAACTGTTTCGCTCTCACTTAGTTATTTTTGCTAAATCTTTCCTTCCCACGTCATTCATTGAATATATAATAAGATGCAGAATTCAAAGTTTGTTTTATTTTCGTCCGACCAAGTAAAATCCAAACAAGTTTCAATTGGCGCTTGTATGATATGTTCTCAATAATCAATAGAAAAATCAGCAAACGATGACGACGGGACATGCGTTTTTTTATTATACTCGATTTTTACGTGTATTTTTTTCTAGTGATTTCATATTATTTGTACTTCAAAACCGACTAATAGAGGACACATTAATGTAAAACTGCCTTCCTAGCGGCGCAATCAAAGTGGGATTCCTTCGATTGTACGCATTTTAATTGTAAAAAAACGTAGAAACAAAAAGAGCAAAATGGAATGCTACGGTTCTAAATATATGCAAAAACACAACAACAAGAACGATTTGGCCATTGTAAGTAAAAACTACGCACACGTTGAAAATTTTTCGGACCGACTTTCGAGTTGGTTAATTATTATATCGATAAATTGCTAGGTCGCCGCTCAACAGTCGAAAAACGTGTGTGAGAGAGAGAGAGAGTGTCTGCGGAGAGCGGACCAATAGCGGTCCGGTGCCAGCGGCGGCCATCTTTGCGCCGCACTTGTTGTGACGGGAGTAGGAATGAAAGAAAGGGAGGCTGGCTGGCGACTCTGACTTATTAACACGGCTCGCTAATCGATTAATATTAATTACGATTAAGCCTACCCTAACATTTTATTGCACTCTCGTTTTGAGATGAAAGTCCCAGCTTTTTTCTACAAACATTAATAACAAACACAGAGTAGAAGAAAAATAAAAACAGGAAAACGCGGGAAAACTCACAACCGTTTGTATGTACATCTCATTCAAACACTTGCGTGTTTGCTTAATCGATTATTTATAATTAAAAGCTATATTCTTCCTTTCAAAAACGTGTCTCTCGAGTGGGCAAATCGCGACCGGTACAAAGCGGAATTTTTCTGAACAATGAATTTATTGTTTTTGGCACAGGCCTCCTTCCTCAAAAGCAGCTCAAAACAATTTTTTTCTCTCTCTTAACATACGCTACGTACGATTTCAATGCACGACGAAGTTTGGCATTACATTCATGTTTGACTAAAATTACTTCTTAAAAATTATTTCAATGATTCGCTCCGGTTGTTGCGAGCAAACGCGTTAAAATTCCTTTCCGTGTGTGAGTGAAGTGTGTGTGCTTTTTATAAGTGTTCGGTGTTAATTAATAGTTGTTTGACAAAGCTAATTATATATCACCGCTGGTTATACGATTTTTCTTGTTATAAACCACTCTTGAAAAGGTGTTCTGCGCCACAAAGTTGATTCGATACGTTAACCCTAGGGTAAAATTATTTTTGTCTCTCTTTTACATGGAACGATTCGCTACTTTTTAAGGACAAACCCCTTAAAAATACGTATTCATATCAATAATATTTGTATTCTCGCATTTAAATATAATTTTTTTGAGTGGCAGATACATAAAAAACATGCAAATGGCCACTAATTTTACGTTTTGAAATTCCGCGCGGGGGCGCATGTTTGCCGGCAAAAGACTCGAATGACACGAAACGCCCCGCGAGTGGATCTACTCTCCAAGGTTATGCAGTAATTTCAATATAATATTCTCTCAATATTAAGGAAGGAAAGTAAAAATACCTGTTTAAATACTGAACACTTCAAAGCACATATTACATGATCATCATTTATGTTTTGTCTCTAGAGATAGCAATAGCTATGCCGTTTTCTTCCACGTTTTTTTTTTTAAATAATCAAAAACACACACCACATTGTAAATATATGATGGGAAACAAATGTGTATGCGCGCAAAATCGATCAGCTTTGATAATAATCTCTAAAAATTTTCAAAAAAAAGGAATTTCCAAATGCACTTCATCTTTGAATATACACAACACTAGAAATGATCAAAAAAAGTTTGAAAATATCTACAGTACAATTTGAGTCGACGTCGTCGTAGGTTCTCCTTCCGATTTGATTTTTCTTTTCATCAACAATTTCCTTTGCTTGAATTTTCCACTAATTCAGCAAGAAATCGTGAAACGTTGGAACAAAAACAGTTTTGTTTGTTTTGTTTGATAACATCATATTAATTTTAGCCTAGGAAGACAATATATTATATTTTTCACATGTCTCTCTCTGTGTTAATATATTATTCATTATTTTTTTCCCATTTTAAATACAAGTCTCTAATTAAAATTCTTTTTCGTACGGGGGTCTTTGTGGTGCAATAGCACCAGTAAGATTCAAAGGCAAATACCAAAAACACCTTGTGTCTTTAAGCGTACACTAATAATATAAAATAAGGGTTACAATAGTAGTATAGAATCAGGGATGACGTGTGTGTGTGTTTGTGAAGTGGGTGCGCGCGCAAAAACGGGGGTATAGAGCTTGAGGCGTACAAAAATTAGAACCTAAGCTCTCTTCATATTCTTCAAGAACAAAGGCAGCAATCCAATATACATATTATATCTCATTAGTATTACAAAGTTATTATTATCATCAACACGCCCCCTTGAAAAACTGGCCTCTGCCCCTTGGGTCGCTCGGAATTCGCTTTTCAGGGGAAAAATCATTTTGTTTTTCCGTGATTAAGTAGCAGAAAGACTTTTCGACAAATACTTGGGCGCGACTCAGAGTCGAGGCTGTTTCAAGGGGCCTCGCCAAAGGAGTATTTAAATTCACCTATGGATGGAATGATAAAATGACAAATAGACAAACAACTTCAGAAATGGCAGCCAGAATCTCAAATAATTTTTTGTTTCACGTCTATATGTTGAATAATTTTGCAGCCATTGTTTGCATCCTTTGCTTTTGTATGTAACTCTAATTATTGCTATTCTGATGAAGATTTTCTTTACAAATATTTAGTCGCCGCTCGGTTTGGACGAACGACAAAAACTAATTAGTCTGTGACTGTCTTCGCGTGGTTGCAAAAGAACAATACATTGAAAAGATTTGAAGACAAAAATGATAAGTGTGTGTTGGTGTACTCGACTGCTTTGTACACGCGACTGATTGTAAAACCATCGAAAATGTCTATCACAATAATGACGTGCTACTTTTTTTTCTTCTTCCACAATCGAGAAATAAACAAGTCGAGTCAGCGCAGCACTCCTCTTTCATTAAGCGAGGTGGTCGAAGAGGAGTGTTGGACCAAATTCTGGCCGATCATTTTTCTCAGTTTATTAATCTACCACTTTAGTTATATGAGCCACTCAAATACAATTTCATTCTCAGTAGTTAGAACATTATGGCTTGTCAGTTCTGCAAATAAAAATAAACAAGAGTTGTATATTAACTCCTTTGCACATATATATGTATATGATAAACTATAAGATTTTTTTTTTGATTTTTCAATTTTTTCTCGTTTCTCTTCAAGATACAGCATCACATCATTTTAAAAACTCCAGTGATTTGTTGTTTCAGCATTTCAATTGCATCAGTTTTTTTTAAAAAAAATACAAGAATGCATTTCAATAATAAAGAAATTCTGCTGCTTCACGAATATATATGTATATATTGATTATTAGAATGGTCTTGGCTCACAAAAGCAAGGGGGTAAGAGTTTGCAAGGAGTTGTTAGTTAGTAACTTTTGATTTTAACAAGTGTGTGAAAAGTGACCGCGAGATCTTTCGTTGTTTGTGCAAAGGGTTTGTGTTCCGACCAAAAGAGCCAAAACGGATGAGACGACATTAAGACATTCACTTCGATAACACACTTTACACAATAAGGCCAAAGGACTCTTGCGAGACGGTGGAGAAATTGAATAATTGACCCCAGGGCTGCGTTTCTTTTTAAAACTTTTTTTGATTAGAATCAGTGACTGAGTAGAAAAATTGGGGCAAAAGGAAAGGAGTCTGCGTCCCGAGGGAGAAGGAAAATTTTCATTTGCACGTCACGTTATTCACAAAAGGCCTTCGATGAGCAATGATGAGACTTGGAGGAAGCCTGTGTTTATGGTACATTGATTACATTGATTTGTTTTGTGCGTGAGGAGGCAACGATAGGACTGTGGTGTTTGTTTGTTCGCGAATCCTTTTGTGAGCCAAGCGTGGTTGGTATTATTGGTAAAAAGAGAAGATAAAACATTATATCACAGTTATGATTTGAAAAAGTCGCGATTAAAATAAAATATTCACAGCATTTAACAATGAGTCTGTGATGTTTTCTGATGTACTGCACTTTTAAGCAGATCCAAAGGAACGAAGGGTACCAAAGGCAAGAATTAATATTTTAAATATTGGCCTCGGCAACCAGTTAACTGAAAAAGTAAATCATCATTCATTTTCAATTACGAGCAATAAACCATTAAATTAATTAATAAAAAAAAATGACCACTGATTTGAGCAGAAACTAAAGCAATCTGACAAAAGAAAGCATCTTGTAACGTGTAGGCACTTAAACCGAGTCGAGTGCAGCACAAACGGAATCATTCTCTTTTGCAACATTTTTTCGCATTTCAAATTTCCTCCCTACAATTATTGACTTATCATATGTACAACGTGTTGAATTAAAAAACAATGAAACGAAGTAGCATATCAGCTGTATGGCACCACTGAATAATAACGCATAGTGTGTAGTGACAATTAATTCATCGCTCGCACAAAACACTCTAACTTTTAGAGAGAGAACCTGAGTTTAACATCTTTTCCTTCTTTTTGCTGTACTCATCACTCTCGCACTCAAATAGGAACATGTGTGCCAATACTTCTGTGATGTAAATAATTAATATTCTCTGCTAAATGCAACTTAAGCTCTACCTCTGGTTGGGGTAGGCTCACTTTTTCACAAGAGATCAGTTGAAGTGGGCCTAACCTTGATTTTCTGCTGCCACCGCTGACTCACACGATGTACAGCGTGTTCAGCACCAAGACATGGTGATTGTTCTTCGCAAGGGTGACAACGTAGCCTTCCGATGTTATCTTCAATCCGCAGCAACGTGACACCTAAAAATTTTAACATATTTGTTTCAAAGAGTCAGATTTAAGCTAGATTTAATGATATTTTCTTATTTACTCATTTGTTTTGTAGAGTTTTTAACAACCGTGCATAAAAAAATATGAAAAACATATTTTAATTTGATTTTCTTGGAGATTTAGCCATATTCAACAAAGGAAAAATTTGGTTTTTACTGTTTCTAGGACTATTGGAGAAAATTAATGATTTTATTGGCAGGGTACTGGGTATACCAAGAATTCCAGTATAAATGATATAACAGTATTAATTGATAAATATTTTGGTTTCATAAAAAAAAGTTTATCTGGACATAAGCCTGTGATGGCTGAACCTCAACCTCAACCAAAAAATTCAAAGTTCTAGGCTTAGTAAAAACGTAAAAAAAGTGTTTTGGGATTTCCCTGTATCCTCCCTTAGTAATCTTCAATTATGCTAATTTAGGTTTAATATTATTTTTCCTTTTAACTGTTTGAAATAATTTATTACAATATCTGCAAGATTGTGTTATTGGGACACATGACTTTTTTCATAGATTATATCAGACCTTTAATTGTTATTGAAAGTTCCTTCCCATAATTTGTAGTTTGATTATTGATAAAAATTTAAAAAACTTAAAATTGCTCAAATTCATACCGCCATGAAGTTTTTGCTCATTCTTATACTTGCCTTGACATAAGGACACTCGAACTCAGAGAGCAAAGAGCCCTCACGAGTGAAAACAGCAACGTGGAAACGATTTCCATGGGAGTCGCCGACCAGCACATCTCCAGCATCTGATATGTCGATTCCATTAGGGAAGTTGGTGTAGCTCTCGTTTCCGATGCGACGCACAAACTGGCCATCTTCGTTGAACACCACAACGCAGTGGCCCTTGAAGTCGCACACAAAGAACTCCTTGCCTGCAATCACGTTAACTTTTTAGGAATTTTCCAACAGAGGAATGCACCGGGCACTGACCACTGATCGCTATGTCAGACGGCTCCCTCATGTAGTCACTGCAGTCAAACCAGCGCAGGAGGTCGCCTGACTCAGCAATGACAAACACTGTGGGGGATACACTGTCCACGGCCACGATTTGCCCAGTGGAGTTGACAGCAAGACCGGCCACAATGTCAATGTACCTGCCAAGATCAATTTATTTTTCGAGGACTAACAATAAGAACCACAATAATATTCCTAATCTACTGTGTGTGACTAATATATTGGACTAGTGTTTGCAAACTGGGTGCTCATAATCATCAGTACAGGAAATGTACCTTATGGCAATTTTCTTGATGAAGTGTCCGTTTTTGGTGAAAATTTGCATGCGTGAGCGCTCATTGCCACGGTCGCAAACGACGAACTTGCCAGAGTTGCGCATGACTGCAACCTTTCGGGGGTACCACAACTGACCCTCCTCCTTGCCTGGTATTCCAAACTGGAACTTGAAGTTGCCAGTTTTGTCGAATACCTGAAAGAACAAGCGGTCATTCAGGTGCTCTGGTAACGAATAAGGGAAAAATAAACAAAATGGTTTGATTCTTGCTGCTCGTCTTTTAATGCAATGAATAAAACAAAGACCACAAAAATACTTCTTCTTGATGTGCATTCTTAAAAAATCTAGCAAAATATCAGTAAGACCTCACAGGTCGTCGAGTCAGTCAAAAAAGTCGGTAACAGCCTGAGGGAGGGTAGTAGTAGTTATTCGGCGTATTCACCTGGATGCGGTGGTTGTTGGTATCGGCAACCACTATGTCTTCATCATTTCCCAGGCAAAAGCCGTGGGGCGAGTTAAATTGGCCCTTATTGGGACCGAGCTGACCAAACTTGCAGCGGATTTGCATCGGAGTGGTTTTGCTTGAGCCGGTGCTGCGCACTTGCTGAGAGAAGGCAGACATTGAGTTGTTCCCGTTTCCAATCAGCTCCAGATCATCTACATGTTAATTTCCAACATTAGAATGCATATCAACATAGACTGCATCCACTTCCAAAAGCAAACCTGAAACCCTGTCATGCGACAAACCAAAATCATTAAAAAAATACCTTGCAGGGGGGAGGTTGACGATGAGTGGAATCCACCGCCTCCACCGTTCAGGTTAAGAGCGGATACAGCATTGCTTAGCAGAGAAGCGTCCAGGTTAGGTGAAGTAACTTGAGGCCTGCCAAAGCCCCCACCATTGGTGGACCCATTCATATGGCCATTGTTGAGATCTGCAAATAAAATGTTGATCTTAAGTAAAGTTAATTATAATAAAAAAAATTTTATTTAGTTTTTTTTCTTAGGTTTTTGTGAAATTAGATGCTAACCATGGTTATCAAGAGATATTCCTCCAAGCTTGGCAAGAGCCTGCAGATTGTTGTAAGCGTGACTCATGGGATTTGGATCGGCCAGCAGTTCTGACAGAGTGAAGGGATTGGTTGGAGACGGGTTTGAGTTACGCGAAGCAGGACCAGTAGCCAAGTTGGCAAGCTGCGCGATGTTGTACTCCTGGATGGTTGAAAAGTTGCTCAGCCCTTGCGGAGGGGACAGTGGGCCCCCCGTAGACGCCGGCGATGCGATAGTGCTGGTAGGCAAAGGAACAAAGTCACTGCCAAAGGAGGACTGCATCGAGATGGGCAGCGAAGAGGGACTTTCCTCGACATCAACCTTGATAGGTCCGAGGACGGCCTGTTCGGGCTCCTCTTTCGCCTCAGCCTTTGGTTCTTCGACTTTCTTTTCCTTCTTCATAGACTTGAACTGGCCAAAAGTAGCCTAAAATAGACACCATTAGTAAATATTTAATTATGCAGGGAGAAGGAAATACTTTTAAAGCTTCTTCAAACTTGTTGTAGTCAGTTTCGAATTTCAAGTCAACTTCAACATTTGGCTTAGGTGTTTTCTCGGCAAGTGACTGCAGCCGGTCTCCAATGAGTTTCTTCAGAGACAGAGTCTCGGCAGCATTTCCATTTTCAAGCAGACGCTCTGTGAATTTACAAGCTTCCTCGGCGTGATCTTGGAACTTTTCAAGTCCGTAAATACCCTCCATTATGCGAAGCTCCTGCTCAGAGTGCAGCTGTCCCAGATCATCCAGTGCTTTTTCCATGCACTTTTCCAGCAGAGCCTTGTAACTCTACAAAAATTCCAGCGTTAAAATTATTCCACACTTTCATAGGGTATTTAAAAATTTTTTTTTTCCAAAGAGAAGAATGTATCATACTTGGTAACCAAGCCTCAAGAGAGCCCTGGATTAAAAAGTGAGAATTTGATATAGCCTCTTGTAATAAATTGTAGCACTTGATTGCCAAGTCAACAAGTGTGCTGAGGCCAATTTCAGTTGGTGCGAAAATCGACAATTACCTGGAAGGTCTCTTCTATGAGAGATTTGGCATTTTCTCTTTGATTCTCAAGCTCTGAGAGTGCATTGCTGAGGAGGGCAGATGTTTCCTCACACTTGGAGATGTTTTCCTTGCTCTTGGTGACCAGATCCTGGAGTTCTTTGCGCTGCACGCCCTCTGCGTCAGCAAGCCTTTCAAAGTGATGCTCTGGCAGAGAATGATTCACCAGAATGCACTCGTTGCAAATTGGCACCTAAAACACAATGGGCGGTCAGGCTTCTAATCCATTCCAATCCGTTCAATGAGGTTTCATTAACAAAGGAACGATGTTGAAGAGATAAAACCAGGAATGGAGATAAAAATAAATGTCCACTCCAACGATGCTCTTCGTTTCTATAGCACCAGTTACGAGCCCCTCGTCCAAGAGGAGGAGGGGAAGATACCTTAAGTGCAAGTATCTTAAGGAAACTTTTACTCTGTATCTTACCTGGCAGGTGTAGCAGAAGAATTTGAGGCTTTCAGAGGGGTGCACAGCACAAAGAATAGGCTTATGTATTGGCACCTTCTTGTCTGATTTGGTAAGCTCCTCAAATGACTCCACACGATGACCTTCGAAGCATCTCATAAGCTGGAAAAATTGACATATATGTTAGTATCTTTTTGTTTCAAATTCACTATTTAATATTCTATATTAAGTTGAATTTGATTATAATTATAGATCAGTACATAGCCTTTTATCTCTGTCTGAATACTTTTCATACTCAAATGAAGTCAAGTTTTTATTGTTGCAAAATTTCTACCTGGTGGGCGCTGTTGCAGTTGGGGCAGAGGAAGTTGGCGCAGTCGGCGCATCGGGCGACGGCCTTCTCGTTGGACTTGCAACTGGTGCAAACAGCAGTCTGGGCCGTGATGGCGGCCACGTCCATCAGGTTTGCCAGGACGTGGTCGGCAGGCAGCGCTTTGACGCCAGCAGAGCCAAGAGGCGTGTGCATTTGGCACTTGGGGCACTCGAGGGTGGCGCCCTCGCCAACCAGCCCCTCAAGACACTTGGAGCAGAAGACGTGGAGGCAGGAGAGGACGCGCGGGTCACAGAGGCGCTCACTGCACTTGGGGCAAGTGTGCTCCGTGGGACTAGACTCCTCGAGGCCGCCCAGCTCTTCGTCCTCCTCCTCAAACATGTCGCTGCCCTCGCCCTCCTCACCTTTGAACATCTCCTCGTTCTCAGTCATTGTTGCGAGATGGCGGTCGGATTGAGTGCCACTTGAGTCACTGGTTTCGTTTTTCTGTTTCTCTGGCAATGCTCTTGTCTGTTGGGTACAATTCAACCTGAAACATAAAACGATTTTATGAATTTTTATGAATTTATTTTTACTTCATTCTCTACGGTTTCATAATACAAAAGGGAACGTATTTGGTATAAGCAATTATGATGCCGAGGATTGGCAAGAAGTGTAATTCAAAACGAATATGCCGAGTAAGTGAAATCGCACGCCTCTCCATAATTCAGGCATGCGTTGGCAAATTAAAAGAAGCTCTGACCAAATTGCTCGCAATCAGCAAACTGACAAAATGGACGCGGCAAATAAAAATTCTAGCTTGAACTTTAGCCTCTTGATTTTCAGAAGGAAAATACAGAACTTTCCTTTCTTATCTCTCACTCGTTTGACAAAAAATTGAAAAAGATTTATTTATACATTAAATCAGAGCTGAAAGAAGTTTGGTTCACCTTGCGATCAAAAGCGTAGCAGCCGAGCAAAGCAAGAAACTAAGAATAATTTTTCCCGACGCACCGAATCTGAACGAGATGGCACTTGTTAGCGGGGGGCTCGTTCCACCGGAGTGAGATTACATACTCTTTGCACCACACACACACATAATAGACTTTTGTTTGGTGCATGGTACATACATGGATGGGTCCGCCTCCATTTTTAAATAGGTCACAATCCAAAATGGACACCGCCATGCCGCGAATTCCAGAAAATTTCGCGCCTAACTCGAAGCAAGGTTCCTTTCGAGTCACTCTAGACCGGAGGTGACAGCGAATTCGTGTTTGATCACGCTTGTGACGAGTTTCGAGACGTGTCCTTGAGACGAGCCGATGCCGCAGTGTTGGCCCGCACCGACCGCCACTGCAGCCCCCGAAACCGCCATTCGCGAATTTTGCCCAAATCAACTCGATGCCGTTTTTCGCAGGCCAAACCGGTTGCCCCGGTCGCGAGTTAACGAACGCGAGACGCACGAGCGACCGGCAAACTCAAGGTTGCGAATTCTGCAAGAAAAACTATCATGCTTCGAATGGGGGGATCACAAACCACGAGCCGCCAACCGAGCTCGCTGCAACGCGAATTCTGCCTCGAATAAAGCTGGATTCGGATCAAATTTTGAAATTTATCAAAGATTTGTGGTACTGGATTACGTTTACACGCAAAACCGGCGCCTAAATAGCGAGAATTAAGTAAAAAAGTGAGGAGAAATACGTACCCATTGCCGCCATGATAACGAGTAGCAAATGGCGAATGGCGCTCTGAGGCAGTGTTGCCACAACAATCGTGCAACTCTTTGAATTTATCCAAATAAACAGATGAATTTTAAAATTACTTCAGCATGAAAGAACAAAATAATATCAAATTCATGTAAAAAAACTTATCTTTTTTCTTGCCATAAAAACTTTTAAGATAAGAATATCGGATTTTGAACTATGATTAATGGATATGTTTGTGTAATGTTTGCAGCAATTGCAGCTATGATATTCATTGCGCAGGTTGCGCAGGTTGATAAGAATTTATCTTTAGTTCAAGAAGTCGTTCAAAGGTGGCCCTGTCCATAGGTGGCCCATATATAAATTAGAATTTTTTGTTGGATGACATATAGATATTACAATAGATCTAATTGATATTAATACAACATGAGATAATTTAGATTCCATGACATTTAGACTGAAGAATTGCAGAGCACAGTTGTACTTTAAACACAATAATACAGTAATATACATACCCTATTTTTGTGTCTTTTGTCAGCGATCGAGGGAGAAATGGCGGAATCCGTGGAAAGGTGCGACTTAATTTTATCAGACATAATTATTGATTAATATTTCCATGCTTGAAAGAATAATTTTGCAATAATAATAATTATAAAAAAATAGCATTTGCGATCATTTGTATAAAAAACATGCACAATTTTATTTCTTTATTTTGCAAAACCTCAGCCAAAAGGGTTGTGCTGGTTTTTGTGCCTAAATAAATGTGTATTTTTCCATTTTCCTACACCAAAAGAAAAGTTCGGGCATTTTTCATTCACACATTTCCAGCAAAAACGTACATTTCACATAATTATTATTTTATGGTATGGCTTCTATAGTTATAAATTGGCACATAAATTTAACAAGTTTATAGCAGGAAATGAACTTAATTTCTCCAAGTGAATATGACAACAGAAATTTATTATTTTTATTATTTTACCAATCATTTGTTGGAATCATAAATTTTTGCCACATAATTATATCGTATTTTATGATAGAGCTGCAATGAAACAAAAAATCTTTTGTGGTGGATTGAATTTAAATTCGGCTTTTCCTCGATGGGTTTTTGTGAGTTTTTATTGTTTAAGAAAAACAATATCCTGCTCTACAATAAAAACTCACAAAAACCCATCGAGGAAAAGCCGAATTTAAATTCAATCCACCATGAATCAACCCTCGATCGTGAACTTCTACTACAAAAAAATCTTTTATTCATTTTGTTCTTTAACTTTTAGTTTCATTAAAAAATATTTTTTATTACCAATTCCTTAACAGCTTAATTGCATTCTTAAGTTGGTTTGATTTTCAATAATATTAAAAATCAAATAAATTTTAGATACAAAATTTAACCAATTTAATATAAATTTATGGCAATGATATTGTAATTTGTATTGATTGAATTACTAAAATATATTTCATTTGTGTTTTTAGTGATCCAGAAAATTAAGTTTCAAAACCTTCTCAAATTTGCGAGAGGGAAAATGACCCAAAGTGAGAAACCTCAGGTGATTGGAAGAATTGGCCATCAGAAAAAAATACAGTGTGGCAAAAATAATGAAAAAAATGCAGTTTGTAAGCATATACATAAAACAACCCTGGGAAACTAAATTATTGTGCGATTTCAGCCACTTTAATTTGTTGATAAAGGAAATCCAAAGTCACCTCCAGGCACACATAACATACTTCTGATACCGAAGAGCTGATACTGGAAACAGTCCAGTGGGTGTTCACTATAGCCAGACTATTATTTGCGCCTCACGTTATAACAAATAAGCAATTGATTTTTTCCATTGATAGCATTGAAGAAAAATGATGGTTAATGATATAATTGCTAGTCGCGTAGAACAGGCGTAAAATAATGAATAATCAAAGATTTTATTGTTGTAAATAATTCCTTCAATCGATTATGACTTGAAAATTTTCCAGAAAATACAAATCTTGACAATTCATTTACACTAAAGAAAAAAAATGATTATTTAAAAATAAAATTTATTATTTATTTGATTTATTTTATATTAAATTATGTTGAAATGATAAGCTTCTTCCTCTCTCCATTGTCCTTTTATGCAAATAAAAATGCAAACTTAATTTAATGATTAAATTTTATAAATTTTTACGGTTCAAGAGCTATAATTATAATAATTATTAATAAGAAAATGAAATATACAGTTTCCAATTCCTATATTTATGTAAAAAAAAACATTGAAATATATTTAATTTTGAAATGTGCTTTTGCTAATTTGAGTTGCAAGAAAATATTATGATAATCAATGACAAGTATCTTTTTCTCATTCAATTTTTTATTCTGATAATAGTTTCTAAATATTTTCAAATTAAACTGTCACACTTTCAGGCGCCCCAAGCGTGTGCGAATCGAAGCGGTGCTGCACTGACTCCGCGTTTGGAAAACCTATTTCAGGTGTGCAGATGCCACGTGGGGGGCGGCACAATTGTTCCGCGGGGGTTGGTCTGCGCACAAGGGCGGTTCTCCGCGCCCTCGTCTGCGATATAGTCATCCTTTCGCCACGCTCCTGAGCAAACCTTCGCAGCATGGTAAGTCCTCACTTGTGCAAGCTTTCATCTTTTATTGCTAAGTTTTCTCTTTCAAATCTTAGTTAAATGTACTTTTCAATGAAAAATTTCTAAAAAAATATCAGTTTAATAGTGTGTAAAATTAAACTTTAAGAAAAACTACAGAATTTTTATCAGATTTAAAAGAAGAAATGAGATTTTCTTGAAAAAATAATGAAATAATATTAAGAACCATAATATGGTAATAAATTAATAATCATTTTCCATAAGATTTTGGACTTATAAAATTAAATGGGCATTTTAAACATAAATTAAAAAAAGGTGAGAAATAAATAATGAATATTCAAAAGCGCAAAGAGCGGCTGAAAAGGACGGCGCTTTTGTTGTTATGATAAATTGAATCAATTTGAAATGGAAAATAGCGGCCGAGTTTCAACTCATGTGTTGCATTTGTAATTATCCATCGAGTCGGCAGCGCAATGTTGTTCGACGTAATTGACTTGCCTGCAAGCCAAATGAGTTGTCATTTGATTGCACATGCAAATAATGACTTCCATCCCGTGGAATGTGTTTGCCGATCAAAATAAGCGCCCTGCTCACAACTCAATGGTTTTACACGTGCCAATGAGGGCACTGAAATTTAAATTCATTTTTAGCTTATATCGGATTTAGTTACTCAAACTTAAAATTAACCGTTTGTATCCTTCAATTAATTTAATCAAGAGTTAAAATTAATGGAAACTTGATCAAATTGAAAGACTTCAAAATACAGTTGCACAGCAGTTAAAATTATTATATTTCAATTGACCAGATTTGATTTTTTTTTAATTCAATGTAATTTATGTTTATTTTTTTTTTATAAAAAAAACGATTATTAAAAAATAATGTTAACAATAAAAATTAAAAAAAAAAATCAAAAGAAATTTTAACGTGAATTCAGAAACTGAGCGTGAAATTCAGTGCTTGGAAAACGAATTTTAATGTAAAAAAATATATAATAATAATAAAAACAAAAAAAAACTGTCATACTAACAAATTGAAAAAAATGTGGAAAAAGCATTATTTCTCACAAACCTCATCGGCACAATGTAATAAATGATGGTGAGTTGATGTAAAAATTGTCCCATTTCACATCTTAAATAAAAAAAATTTTTGTAGTAGAAGTTCACGATCGAGGGTTGATTCATGGTGGATTGAATTTAAATTCGGCTTTTCCTCGAGGAAAAGCCGAATTTAAATTCAATCCACCAAAAAAATAATTAATAAGAACACAAAGTTTTTTGCTGATGTTTTTAAATACATTTAAATCTCTTAATTGTATTTCAAAATTTAGATGCATTTCATTCATTTTTCCTCTATTCCTCATTCAATATTCATCTACAGAACGTATTATCTAATCAAAAAATTATGAGTTATGTATTGATGATTTAGTTCAATTGAATTCTTGTTAGCTATTTCATTGATCAGGTTAATTTGGAGAACGCATGTTTTGAAAATCGCAGTAAGCTAGAAAAATGTGTAATATCAAGTGAGTCGTACTAGCAGAAATTCAAATTTAATCCTAAATTTAAAAGTCAATTATTATTGATATTCTGCACTTCATTTGATACTTTCTGTAAAATAACTTCATATTATCCAGAATTCAAATTAGAAATATTCATTTTTGCTCGATTTTGGCGTAGCATCTAATTAAAAGAACGAGACGGGATTTTGTGCCAAAAAAATCAAATGGGCCTGAATTGTAGCCGCAAGGTGTTTCCAGTTTTCCGTGTTGTGGCGGAAATATTTCATTATAACAAGCAGAGAGAGCACAAATCATTTTCTTTTTGAGCTTGGCTCGAGGCCGAAAACCTAATTTACCTGTGCGCCAGTCCGAGAAACGGAGTGACGCGCGTCTCGCGGAAAAGACAAGCACAAATTGTATTATCTCTCCAAACAAAACCGTTGCACAGACCAAGCAAGAGGGAAATAATCTCCGTGTCTCGGTCGGAGATGCAACCGGCGCGGCAGGGCGGGCGAGCGGATTGCATAGTCGGCTCGACGACAGGCGTTATCAATATTTAAGGCGTGTGTTCTTGATGCGACCGTGCATCTTAGTCAAGTTAGCGCAGTCGGGGGTCCCGCGGGGTTGCCGCGTGTCGGCGGTCCCTCAGGTCTGCCACTCGCTCTCTCTCTTCAAAGGAAGAAAAATCGCACCTGCAGATTTTGATCTGCGATGCGGATGTTTTAATCTGACGCCGGCGGTCCTAATCAAATAAAAAAGTTATGGAGCATGATTACACACCGTGAGAGAGTAGCGAGCCGACCGAGAACATACACACGTGTATAAAGAGGAAAACAAACACGGGCTCAAAATTAATTTACGAGCGATATGATTTACACCCCAAGGCACATGACGTGCACGTCTCCCTTCTCTCGCCGAACAAGCTCCAACGCTTCGAATTTTTCAACTTAAATTTTTTAAGCTGAGAGGCCTGCGAGTTGAACTGGTATACCCATTGTTTTCGCTTATTATTTCCAGGAAGAAACGGAGGATAACAAAAATATTTGCAGTTAACAGGCATGTTCTTTATTTGGAAAATGCTCAAAACCGAAAAATGAGGGAATAAAGCAAAGAATTGATTTATAGGATGGTCACCGAAAATATTACAAATTTAGGTTCCCACAAACAAAATCTATGGATGTTTGAAATTCGAACTGAAAATTTTATTAAATTACGTCTGCAAAACTACTTTAGACATTAGGCCACACTTACATTATTTATTTGTTGGTTTAAACATTTTGACGAGTGGCATTATATTTTTGTGACACTGTAAACAAAAGAGTTCATTATTATTTTTCATTAGTAGCCCAAAACGGCTTTCTTACTTTAATTCATTGTAATTTTCAATACGAATATTACTTTTGGTGCGATATTTTGTTGTAAGCTTTCAAACATCGTTCAATTTTAAAGCATTGCCGCAAAATGGAATTGAAATTAAAAATTTTAAATTGATGCATTTCTAATAATTTTTTTCTGGCGAGAAACATTAATTTTCTATTACAAATTTTCCTCAAATCTCTTCCAATAAATCCTAAATATTATTAAATTTTTTTATGAATTTAAGGAATTTACAAAAAAATGGGAGAATTTGTGACAAAAGCACGATTCGGTGGAGATCATCTCAAGTGTCTTCTCCGTATAGGTGAGAGATTCAAGTCTTTGGAGAGAGAAAGTCGACACATTTGTGGCACCTTTTGTGTTTTATCGCGAGAGTGGTGTGTCACTTTCGGATCGCGCCGCGTCAAACGCAGCAAGTGTCACTCTGGAAAGGCGGTGAATAAAACAAGAGCTCGCGTCGTCTGCAATGTTTGCCTCGGCGCGCGCCAATTAAAACACACGCACCGCATTTCGGTCGGTTGCAAAATCGATCGAACGACGGGCGAGCGAGCGATAGAGAGACACAGAGCTACACATGCATGCATTAATTTGCAGCTGAATGCACTAATTAGACAGGGCGCAAATTTCCGTGAAATGTAATTGGCTCTGGGTTTAATTGTGGCGAGGTGACGAGTGGCTTTTCGCAACTTCTGCACATGTGCTGGAAACATGGTTTTCCAACAACAAAAAAAGGTGTCGCGCAATTAAGCACGAATGTACAGAACTAAATAATTATCCTCTCCACGATAGTGGGGAAATTTCAGGTGCTGTTGAGTAGTTTTAGTTTTCGACTACCGGTGTGAATTTTTTTTCAAGGCGTCTCGAAAGTTTAGGCCGAATAAATTATACTGTTTTGAAATTGGAGGGGTTGCGTGCGGTCATTACGTCGGCGTGGGCGGCGGACCGTAAGAATTATGTTCCGAGGGAGGGCGGACATCTGAGAAAGCACCACTAACTCTGATGCATAAGAAAAGGTGTAAATCTTGGTCGAAACGCCGCCTTTGCCCAGCTGGAAGAGAATCAAGCCTGCTTTCCCTTGAAAAGAAAAATAACTTTTTTCATTTAAAGAGAGAAGCAGTTTCTACTTTTGAATTCAATTGGTTGAAAAGAGAGAGACGTTTTGCAATTTACATTTCCTAAGAACTTTAAAAAATCATACAACTGAGAACAATTTCATTGGTAAAAATTAAAGCTGGCCAATTCTTGCACCAAACAAACAAAATTTCATGTACAAAATTTATGTTTTCCTCTCGAAGCTGATTTGCATGTTGAAGTTGCTTGTTCCCTTTGAGGGAAGGAGAAGACCCTTTTTTGTTAAAGTAAAATTAAAGGTTGCAACACTAATTTTGAATTAAGAAACGAAAACGTGAGCTGCCTGACAAAAAACGCTGGGTTTAAAGAACGGCTTCCCTCTTCTTTGTCTGATTTGCGGTCGCATTTTTTTTATACTTTATTTGCCTTTTTCCAGGCTTTTTCCACTACATTTATTTTTTGATTGGATAGAAATGGGTCGCTGGCAAAAATGCCGTCGTGATTTGCACAATACTAATTGATCGGCAGCACGGCAGGCTCGCTTTGATCTGTCTGAATCCTCTGGCGGCTGCGATTAGTATGCGTGCGGCGCCCCGTGCACACCCAGCAGCTTTTGCTCCTTTTTTATGCTTGACTAACGTGCAGACGTGCCTACCTGCGCACCCCATATCATTTCCCAGCAGCTTTGTTTTTAAATAAATTTGGGAACGGCGTCTTTCGTCGCTCCCTCGGATCACATTTTCTGCCACGATCAACCACGGTGTTTTAAAAATCAAGATTTAAGAAAGAATTTTTGTGTAGATGAAGACTTTTAACAGTTTTAAAAAATGATTTGTTATAGAATAAGGTAAAGAGTTTTATTTTATCCTATGTTTATTTTAGATTTTAATGAGCAATAATTTAGTATTTTTGTATTATTTTAATTAAATATTATAACAGTTAACAATAATTAGTAAAATTAAAATACACATCAAAAGCATTTTTGTGATCAACTATCACTAATGAAAGAGACAAATCTACGTACTTTTGAAAATGAAAGGAAAAAGCTATCAGAAAATTAAATATGATG